GGCTCTGCCGAAGAAGAAGTGTACTTGCAAGCTCATTGGGAGTACCCCAGACCCAGACATGAAACCCTAAACCCTAAACCCTAAACCCTAAACCCCAAACCCCTAAACCCGAAACCCTAAACCCCTAAACCCCTAAACCCTAAACCCTGGAACGTGTTGGCGCCCTGCTGTTAGGTTTACGGTTTAGGGGTTAGGGATTAAATAGGGTTTAGGGTTTAGGGTTCAGGGTTCAGGGTTCAGGGGTTGGGGTTAGGGTTTGGGGTTAGTGTTTGATTTGAAAAGTCATCTTGGGCCACATAGGATACGGAAGTTTCGGCTCCCGTGTTGAGACTTGGCCTAACCATACAGGCCCGGTTCTATGGGTTCAGTCCTATATCCTCTCAAGCCTTTGTTGTTTTGGGATATTTTGGGGTACCTTTCGCGGAGCTGTATCTACCCTACTGTCACCTAGATTATTGTTACAACCGCCGATGCATCAAGGTGACCTATCTTGTGACCACCCTAAATAAGGGACTGAAAGCTATCCCGAGAGCCTTCAACTAGGCCATAAACCCGACCCCAACCCTCAACCCAGACTTATATAAGCCCTGAACCCCAAATCCTAACCCTAAACCCGAATCCCTAAACCTTAAACCCGAAACCCTAGACCTTAAGCAGCAGCAGGTGGTGGCCTTGTAACTGTACCGGCCTCTGGCACCAGAGGCCGGAACCCCAAAGGATTTCAGGTTTTGGGCTCTTGTAGGGTTTTAGGGCTTAGGGTTTAGGGTCTTTGGGTACTAGGCTGGAAAGCCCTGAGCTCCCGAAGCCTTTCAGCCCTGAACCGCTGGGTTTAGGGTTTTGGGGGTTTGGGCTTTAGGGGCTTAGGGGTTTGGGTTTGGAGTTTTGGGTAACAAGCAAGCCATCTTAGGGCATGTGCCATTGCCTGATGCCTTAGTCCCGAGACGCTCAACCCTAAACTAACTCTTTTAAGAGCCTCCGGCTCAAGCCGCCGACCCCGCAGGAGAACAAGTTTAAGGTTTGGGGTTTGGTGGATTGGGTTTGCTGTTCGGGTCTGGGTGGGGGGGTAGAGAAGCTGATTGGGCGGTCCTTCGCAATGGGGGCGGGGGGTAGGGGGGAGGGTTTTTTTTTTTTCCAAAAGAGCCCCTTGTGCGCTGTGCGCGGTGTGGGTGGCCTGCTCCTCCACGGAAAAGCTGCCGGGGTACCCCCCCCCCCCCCCCCTCCGCGTTTTGGGGCCAGGGTCGGCGGACCCTAAACCCTATGCCCTACACCCTAAACCCTACACCCTAAACCCTACGCATGAGGATTTCGGGCTTGAGGAGTTTGGGAGCCCACCCTGGCACCCCTCTGACATTTTGACAGGTCAGGGTTCAGGGCATATTGATTGGGTTCTCCGAAATCCGGTTCCCCTTTTGCTGCGCGGTTTCCGAGAGGGTTTGGACTTGAAGGGAAGCGCTCTTGAGAAGCTCTTTAGAAAGGCTCAGACAGCCTGCATTCAGGCAGTGCGCTGTGACAATAAGGTCGCACGTACTTCATTTGCTAGGTGGGTGCAGCTACCTTTCTGCCGGGGACCTCGTTCCCAACTACCCATGAAGCTGCTAAGTGCACTTCAGGAGCCTGGAGCAAGAAGAGCAAGCATCAGAAGAACAAGCCGAAGAAGTTGGAGTGGCGGAAGGCAGAGGGGGGATGGGATCAATGCAGGGGCCCTGTGGGGAGCAAGCAAAGCCTTGTGAAGCACGCCCTGCTGGAGTTTCTGCCGTTTAGACAGGGGTAGTTGCGAGCTTATGCATAAAGGCAAGTGGTACTACCACCTGGTGTAAAGTCAAGTGGTATTACCTGCTATTGCTTCTTAATTACTGAGGGGGGCGCACCCTAAACCCTAAACCCTAAACCCTAAACCCTAAACCCTGAACCCTAAAACCCCTAACCCCTAACCCCTAAACCCTAAACCCTAAACCCTAAACCCTAAACCCTAAACCCTAAACCCTAAACGCTAAACGCTAAACCCTAAACCTTAAACCCTAAACCCTAAACCCTAAACCCTAAACCCAGGTGCAGAAGCCCTCGCCGACCTACCAGTGAGAGCAGCGCGGCGCCTCAACAGCCTCCACCCCACAACGAGGGAGGAGCTCCCCCAAAGGTGGCGCGGGGCATCTTAGGCCACAAGGAAGATACTCCCAACCGAGCTTCCTTGACAAAAGACCTCTAGGGTTTAGGGTTTAGGGTTTAGGGTTTAGGGTTTAGTAACCTCCAAAAGGGGGCCATCATGTCAGGTCAATCCCCCAGGTATAGTGGCTCGGGACATAAGCCCCATTGTTTTCAAGTTTAGGGGTTTCTCAGGTTTGGACTTTGGGGCTTGGGAAACTTTTGCTTTCTGGCCCCCGGAGTTCGTAGAAGGGTGGGCTGTTAGCTGCCAGAAATACCCTCCATTTTTCACAACAGAGAATTTGTGATCACTGCGACGAAATGCGTTTCACCCACAGACCTTCGAGAGAAGTGCGACCATCTCATCATTTGTTGTTTCAAGACAAAAGCTTCTCCTTAAGCCTTGAAGCGCCCTTAGTTAACCCCAAATCTCCCCAAACCCCAAACCCGGCACCCCGAACCGAACCCTGAACCCCAAACTGAAGCTTACGCCAGAAGAACCCCAAATCCCCAAACCCTCTCAACCCCACCTACACCCGAGTGAAGCCTTCAGCCACAATCCGTGGAGTCGGTCTGGAGCCTCCCAGAAATGTGTTTTCTGCGCAGAGGAAACCTCGGGTTCCTTTTGCTCAGGTTCCGTTTGCCAGGGCTTCGGGTCAACAGGGTTTAGGGTCAACAGGGTTTAGGGATTTAGGGTTCAGGGCTTTAGGGTTTTAGGGTTTTAGGGCTCTGCCTGCAGCCTCATAGAGCTTCGGCCGTGGACTCCAGGGTGTACTAGGGCGGTATCCCAAGCCCCCCCCATATACAGGAACACAAAGGGTGAAACAATCGACCCACCCCTGTATGGGAGCCTAAGGGCCAAGCGCTTGAAAGCCCTAAATCCTAAACCCTAAACCCTAAACCCTAAATCCTAAACCCTAAACCCTAAATCCTAAACCCTAAACCCCAAACCCTAAACCCTAAACCCTGAACTCTGAACCCTAAACCCTAAACCAGGGCTTACGGAAGTTTGAGGAGGTTTGTTTCGGATCCGTGCGCGCTGCGTCGAAGGGCACCTGTCTGGGAGACGTCGAACGCGAAGGGCCCTCCATACCAAGCCCGGCCTATACACAACAAAAACAGCTTCGACGAGGCATTTGAGACCCTAAACCCTGAACCCCCCGAAGGGGTTCTGCCCCCAAAGACTTTAAAACCCAAACCCCTAAACCCTAAACCCCAAACAGCAGGCAACTATGCTCAAGCGCCCTATAGATGTGACCCCAGCTCGCTGGTTGGAGGTTGGTGAGAGGCGCGGGCCTAAACTCCTAAACCGTGAAGCTTTCAAATACCAACATGGGTATTTCAATTCCCAAATACGGGAACCCCTTTATGTGCCCCTAAAATATTGTAACCCTTATAGGAACCCTCGAAAGCCCCAACATGCCTCCTTAAAAGTCTTTCTGGGGGTTGAAGATAATAGACCCCCCCAAACTAGGATTCCTTTACAATAAGGACCCCCCCAAACAAAGGCCCCAACAAAGGCCCCAAAGGCACCAACAAAGGCCCAAACAAAGGCCCCAACAAAGGCCCCAAAGGCCCCAACAAAGGCCCCAAAGGCCCCCAAAGGCCCGTGATACGATCCACTGAGATCCCCAAGGTCCCCCAGGCGCCAAAGGCCCCAAAGGCCCCAAAGGCCCCAAAGGCCCCAAAGGCCCCAAAGGCCCCAAAGGCCCCAAAGGCCCCAAAGGCCCCAAAGGCCCCAAAGGCCCCAAAGGCCCCAAAGGCCCCAAAGGGTGCAAAGGCCCCAAAGGCCCCAAAGGCCCCAAAGGGTGCAAAGGCCCCAAAGGCCCCAAAGGCCCCAAAGGCCGCAAAGGCCCCAAAGGCCCCAAAGGCCCCAAAGGCCCCAAAGGCCCCAAAGGCCCCAAAGGCCCCAAAGGCCCCAAAGGCCCCAAAGGCCCCAAAGGCCCCAAAGGCCCCCAAAGGCCCCAAAGGCCCCAAAGGCCCCAAAGGCCCCAAAGGCCCCAAAGGCCCCACAAGCCCCCAAGGCCCCCAAGGCCCCAAAGGCCCCAAAGGCCCCAAAGGCCCCAAAGGCCCCAAAGGCCCCAAAGGCCCCAAAGGCCCCAAAGGCCCCAAAGGCCCCAAAGGCCCCAAAGCCCCCAAAGCCCCCAAAGCCCCAAAGGCCCCAAAGGCCCAAAAGGCCCCAAAGGCACCAAAGGCACCAAAGGCCCCAAAGGCCCCAAAGGCCCCAAAGGCCCCAAAGGCCCCAAAGGCCCCAAAGGCCCCAAAAGCCCAAAGGCCAAAGGCCCCAAAGGCCCCAAAAGGCCCCAAAGGCCCCAAAGTCCCCAAAGGCCCCAAAGGCCCCAAAGGCCCCAACAAAACCCTTCAAAACCCTTCAAAACCCTTCAAAACCCTAAACCCTGAACCCTGAACCCGGAACCCTGGGCCCAAAACCCAAAGCCCTGACCCTAAACCCTAAAACCCTCAGCCTTGAACCCTTGAACCCTGGGCCCTGAACACTAAGCCCTACGAACCCTGAACCCTATACCCTGAGCCCTAAGCCCCTAAGCCCTAGGCCCCTAAACCCTGGACCCTAAGCCCTATACCCTGAGCCCTGAACCCTGAACCCGAAACTCTTCTTGGATGAGGTGGGGGTTTACGAAAATAAGGGACCCCTTCATACAGAAGGATCCCCTTATAATACCCTACACCCTGAACCCTAAACCCTAAGCCCTAAACCCTAAACCCTAAACCCCTAAACCCCTAAACCCTAAACCCGAAACCCTCAACCCGAAACCCTAATGCCTAAACCCTAAACCCTAAACCCTAAACCCTAAACCCCAAACCCCCACCAGGTGTCTGGGGCGACCCAGCCCCCAGGCATGGCGGCCGTGTCGCACCTGACGCGAGGGGCCTGGGAGCTTATTCGGGGGTCCCGGGTTTAGGGTTTAAGGTTTAGAGGTTTAGGGGTTTAGGGTTTTGGGTCTGGGGGTTTAGGGTTTAGGGTTTAGGGGTTTGGGGCTTAGGGTTTGAGGGTTTTTGGGTTTGAGGGAGTCTCGAGTTTCAGGGTTTAGGGCTCACGAGGGCTTTCAAGCATTTAGGAACTGGGGCTTTGCTTGAGGTTCTTGGGTAATCCGAAGCAGGGTCAAGTGATAAGCACTCAAATGACAGGATTCCCACCCAAGTCCCCAGAAACAGAAACGGCCCCTGCAAACTTTAGGGTTTAAAGGATTTAGGGTTTAGGGTTAGGGAAACCCCCATCCCTGTCAAGTCCTTCAAAACCTTCAACAAACCTCAAAGGCTTGCCACACTCCCGAAGTTGTAAGCCCCAAAACTGCGATACACGCCAAGCCATGAGCGGCATTGAGCCCCCAAGCAGCTCATGTACTCAAGGCAGCGCCCCAAGCGTACGCTAAGCCCGAAGCCCTCGAAGCTCCAGAAGCAGCAGGGCAGCAGCTTCACTCTTGCACAACAACCTGGCGAGCTCGTCCAACGGGTGGCCCGGAGAGCTTTCAAAAAATACTGGCTTTGGCATGCTTCGGATGTTCTCCCTTGTTTTGGAAGGAATGTTGGCTGGTTGGGAGTTCCCAAGCTAAGGCCCTGAGCCCTTGAAGCCGCAAGCCCCAAACCCCTGTATTGTGAATCCTATTCTGAAACCCAGGTAGCCTACCCAGGTAGCCTAAGACCCCCTGATTGAGGTGAGTAGACCTTCTACTACGCAGTATGGGTCCGAGTTGTGAATTAAAGTATCTTCCCGGGAGCTTGACAACCCAAAACATCCCAATGCACCAGGTGGGTCGTTGCCATCCACAACTCGCTGAATGCAGGCTGCTTGGAGTTCAGGGATATGTGGGCTTTTGCCTTAGAGGGGGACAATATTCGAGTCGTTTATATACTTAGGATCGGAGGAGGACTGCTATGAGTTACATGCCTTCGAGCTTTGGGGCCTTTGCAGTCCGGATCAGCCCCACAGGCTTGCGGGTTGAATCGGTGTCCTGTCTTCCGAAGCCCTCAGTCGAGTTTGAAAGGTCTGCTTTCTTCACGGTTTGGGGATGAGGGGTGAACACCCCAAAACCCTCAAACAACCCTGAATACTAAGCCATAAGCCCGTTTACCCTAGACCCTAAAGTTTGGAGTTCAGGGTTTGGAGGATTTAGGCTGAAGCACTGCAGGCTTCGGAGTTAGAGAACAATCCCAACCCTTCAAAGCCGCCCTTAGCGTGGTGAAGGCCCCTGGAACCCTAAATGCCCCAAAGCAACAAGAACTAAGCAACAAATCTCACAACCTCTCAAAGCCCGGTAAGCCCCACAGAGCCCCAAACATCCCTACAAACCCCAAACCCCAAACCCTAAGCCCCAAACGCCAAACCCCAAACCCCAAAAACCTTGCAAGCCCAATGCATTGCACCGACGGGAGGCCACGGCAAGCTGCTGTTCCATGCCCTCGCATCGGGCCAAAGTAAGGACCGAGGGTTGAGAGAGAAGCTGCCAGGGGTGTAGGGCAGGCCAGGCGTCTCCTCCTTCAAAAATGGCAGGGTTAAAATGTTTGTAGAGTTCAGGGCTTCCCAGGGATTGTAGGGCCTTTTTCCCAGACCCTTTGAAGCCTTTAGCCCAAACCCCCCCCCCCCCCCCCAAACCCCTAAGCCCTTCACCTAAACCCCTAAACCCTAGATCCGAAAATCCGAAAGCCCTTCGAACCCAAACCCCCAACCAAAACCCGCCTCCCTTCCCCCTCCCCCCCCCCCCCCCCCCCCCCCCCCTTCCCAAGCATGAAAGCAGGACGGTCCTGAGGTGACCCAGGCCAGCCGCTCTGTAGGAATACGCCGGCTCTGGTGTAGTTAGGATGATGGTTTTTCGTTGGGCCACTCCCACCTCTTTCAGAAGGACCTCTCAGAACGACCGTGCCCTGAACCTCCTGTCGACCTGCGTGGTCTTTGGTTTAGGGTTGCAGTCCCTAGGCGCTCAAACCCTGAGCAGCCGGACGGTCAAGCTGCCCGCATTCAACTTAAGTTGCTGCTTGGTGTGTGGGATCTCCTCGACGCCCTTAGCTTCAAACGCCAGGCCCCCAAAACCAAAGCAAGCATCTTGGAAATATACGCAGTCGAAATTACAGTAGGTCATCTGGGAGCTGCATAACTCGACAGGAGGCGTAAGGGCTTTGGGATGACCCTTACTGTATCTTCTAAGCCGTAATCATCTTTGTTGAACAAGCATCCCCCTCCCCAACAAATCCAGCAGCAAGACTTCTGCATCTTGATACGAGCTGCCGGCTGGGATGTTAACCCCTTACACTAACAGTCCTTAGTCGGGATGAACGTCCCCCCCGGCCCCCTATTCTAATCCCTATCAAGGAGCTGCTAGTATAAGGGTGAAGCCCTAGAGTTGCTTTGCTGTGAAGACCTGGACCGATTTGAGGGTTATAGGGGTTTCATAGATATGGGGGCTCACACAAATCTAGGGGCCAAAAAGTAAGATCCCCTTGCAATAAGGGCCCCAATACAAGAAGGCACCTACTAATTCTCGGAAACCCCATATGGTTTAAGGTTTTCGGGTTTTTGGGCCTTTTGGGACTTAGATTCTGCACCCCAAGCCCTAAGCCCTTTGGGGCATCCAAAGGCTGGGGCCCCCCCACCAGGCAACCTCCATTCGCTTCTTGGAGACGATGGACGGGCCGGTGCTCGTCGCGGCTCGCCTGGAACAGCTCATGGTTTCCCCCCCCCCCCCCCCCCGCCCACACGCAAATCTCGAATTCACACCGCAGGCCCCCAAAACGGTCGGTTTTTCAACCGTCAAGAGCCATACAGTATGATCAAATCCCGTAGACCCCAAACCATATGTAAACTCTAGTGATACACGCCGGGGGCAGCGGTCAAGGCAATGGTGCAAGGGGATATGGCAGATGCGGATTATCACCCGAACATGTACACGGAGGAAGTGAATCGGGGGAGGGCCCAATACTTCCCTGCACAGGAGATGGTTAACGCGCTCATGGTAGATTCCTTGAGGATCACATTGACGGATAGGGCTACCAATTTGTGTGCGTCGGCGATTTTTAAGAACTGGGTACCCGAGTTTGAGCGACGGGATAGACTGATGGCAGAGTTGCATGGAGTGCAAGTTTTGTTAGATGGGGTTGTTCGAAACGCCAACCAGATTCCCATGGTTCATCCACACATGATGTATGGGCCGCCAAAACCTTGCGTCCTGAAGCCCCATATTAAAACCTGACATCCTCACGGCCAAACCCTGCACGCCTGGGCGCGGAGTTGGGTTTAGTTTTAGGGGGGTGTGCAACTTACCGGCCTCGAGGGCTTCGGGGGGTCAGAGGCAGGCTACCCCGCTCTCCCGAAGCCTCCACGGTTCAGCACTCTGCCGAGCGGATCCCCAAGCCCTTGCCACGTGGCTGCTGCGACTTGTGAGGTGACCTCAACCAACGGCACGCAGATCTATGCTGAGGCCAGTGGGATGCTTCCCGAAGAAACCCCTTAGAACCATTATCAAATATTATCAAATGGGTGCTCTTTTTGTCTGAGTGTTGTTTTTTTAACGGGAGCGAAACCCTCAACTGCAACATGGCGGGGTTTGAGCTCAACTACGAGCCCTTTCTCCGTACCCAAACCTTGAAGAAAGAGGTTGTTACCAAGACACCCACAATCAAAAGGGGCCATATTTTCGATTCACCTCCACATCAGTGTATGGTCGCCAGCATTTAGGGGTTCAAGGGAGCCGACATTGAGGGGTTGAGGGTTTGGGGTTTCGGGGGATCCAAGTAGAACCTTGACGACTCCTGAACCCCATACACCCATACGCATCAACCTTCCCCCTTCCCTCCCTACCCCCACAACAAGAGCACCAGGACGCAACAGCCCTCATTTTCTACCTGCCTGTCACAGACGCGGGGCGGCCAAACTGGGTTTTGGAGTACTATGCTTTAACCCTTGTTTTGGTTCTGGGTTCCTAATATAGCTACTTTACCCAAAAAGTATATGTTTCCTTTTTTTTCTGCTACAAATGGGGAAAACGTTCCCAAGTCCCCAGACACCCTAAACCCTAAACAATCCCGTTTCACGCCCATCGTGTTTTGCGTTAAGATCTTTGGTGGGTTTGCAACGCTTCTAGGGAGTTGAAGAGTTTCGGCTTTTCGGGGTAATGTAAGTGCTTCGGGGTTTCCGGTTTGAGGTTTTTACGGTTTTGTTTTCGGGCTTTTTGGGGCTGTGGTGGGGTTAACTCATCAAGAGAGATGCCACTGCGAAGTAGGACTACCAATGGTTGACCCAACAAAAACCAATCCCAAATCCCTAGCTCCGAAAACTTGCAACCATACGGTTTCAACCTGTATCCCACAACAACACCCTTGAACAAGATTGTAATATAATATAAAGTTTGATTATACATTAAAATACAGTTGGATATATATAAATAAATAAATAAATAAATATATATATATATATATATATACATACATACATAAATACATATACATATGTATATATATATATATATACATATATATATATATATATATATGAACCGTAAGCCGGAACCCTAGAACACTAGAACCCGGTCCCCCCAATGTCACAAGCCTGGCCCGAAGTCCTTCCTGCACTCTGAGGCTGCGAGTCCCGACAGCCTCAGGTATCACCAGGAGAGCGGCATCCAGGGTTTAGGGTTTAGGGTTTAGGGTTTAGGGTTTAGGGTTTAGGGTTTAGGGTTTAGGGTTGAGGGAGGGTTTGTGGGCTTCATCCATAAATGCCCAGTTGCCCAAACCAAGGCAGCTTCTTTCGCCCTCGCAAATGTATAGAGACTCGTAGCCGAAGAGAACAGTCGATTGCCTGGTCTCATTGCAGTGGCCAACTGGCGAGAATTGTGGGCATCACCTGGCGGATCTTTGTCAGAAACCAGGACTGGAGCGCATCATGAGCATCAGCTGGGCGCAGCTGTGTGCTTGCGCAGCCGCCGCTGGCGCGCATCATGAGCATCACCTGGGCGTATCCTCGAGGGCTGGGCCAGCCACAGCGCGCATCACGAGCATCAGCTGGGTGCTTGCGGAGCCGCCGCTGGCGCGCATCATGAGCATCACCTGGGCGTATCCTCGAGGGCTGGGCAAGCCACAGCGCGCATCACGAGCATCAGCTGGGTGCTTGCGGAGCCGCCGCTGGCGCGCATCATGAGCATCACCTGGGCGTATCCTCGAGGGCTGGGCCGGCCACAGCGCGCATCACGAGCATCAGCTGGGTGCTTGCGGAGCCGCCGCTGGCGCGCATCATGAGCATCACCTGGGCGTATCCTCGAGGGCTGGGCCAGCCACAGCGTGCATCACGAGCATCAGCTGGGTGCTTGCGGAGCCGCCGCTGGCGGCCATCATGAGCATCACCTGGGCCAATTCCTCGGCACGCTTTGAATTTAACAGCCTAGAGCCGCGTTTGCAGCACGACCCGCAAAGCCGTAGAAGCCTTTGTTCGCCAAGGGCAGCTAGAAGGTACATGAGGCAGTTAAGGAGGCTGAGGTTAAGGCTACCAGCAACCAAAATACCAAATATACAGCCGGACAGACCCTGAAAAAGGAACTCTAAGCTCCGAGTATGCCTCCAGCGACCCAAACATGTTCCGCTTCGGCAGGCGGCATGCTTTGTCCCAACCCTTCAGCATATTGTGCCTGCCTCGGACAGGCATTGGGGTGTACTATAGGGGCCGGAAGAATCACGCATAGTATTCCCTTCTGGTCCGTTTATAGTTACACTACAATACCCACCAAACCCTATTCTAATTGTTAAGACCCCCTATGTTGTGTGGGATCAGAAGCCGTTGCTGGCTTGGTTGAGCACCACAGCAGCAGCACAAAGCAGCAGCAACTCAGAGGAGGGAAGGGGGGGGGGGGGGGCGGAGGAGGAGGAGGAGGAGGAGGAGGCGGAGGAGGAGGAGGAGGAGGAGGATGAGGAGGAGGACGACGACGACGAGGAGGAGGAGGAGGCGGAGGAGGAGGAGGAGGAGGAGGAGGAGGAGGAGGAGGAGGAGGAGGAGGAGGAGGAGGAGGAGGAGGAGCCAACGCAACAAACAGCAAGCAACAAGCATGATGCCATGTGCGAAAACGTGCACCCTTCTGAACCCTACATTGCTGAGAAACCAAGAATGCTTTGTGGGCTTAAAACAGCTTCTGTTGTAAGTACGGACGCGTACGGCTTACCCTGGACAGATCCAAAACCCTCGGCATGCCCTTAAAATCTGAAGCCTCAAACCCTCAAACCCTGAACCCTACAGAGTTTAAGGCTTTAGGGTCAGGGTTCGGGGTTTAGCGCTTTTTGTCTAGGGTTTAGGGCTTGAAGGCCTGTAGGGTGGAGGGCTTCAAGGCCGTTTCTAGGGATCTCGGGCTTGTGGGGGTTTAGGGTTCAGGGTTCAGGGTTTAGGGTTTAGGGTTTAGACTTTAGAGTGGGTATGGCTGAGAGTTTAGGACTTCCAGTGACACCCTCGTTTCCCTTTTTTCACAAGGGGGGCACGGACCTGGGATTCTGAAACCCGACGTCCTCAACACCAGGCTCCACCTCTCCCTTTAAACCCTAACCCCTAAACCCGAAACCCGAAACCCTCAAGCCTCAACCCTAAGTCCCCCCCCTTCTCCTGGTGCTTGGGAGCTGAGGTCGTCGGCACTTCCAAGGACCCCAAGACTTGTTGGGTTCAGTGTTTGTGCTCTCGCTAAACCCTAAACCCTAAACCCTAAACCCTAAACCCTAAACCCTAAACCCTAAACCCTAAACCCTAAACCCTAAACCCTAAACTTTCCGGGTAATCAAATGGTCTATAAATATTAAAATTGTTTTTTCGGGTTTCTAGAGGGTGCAAGACTTACATGCACTGAGCGGTTTGGGCGGTTGCGTAGGTTTCCAGTCGTTAGGGGCTAGGGCTTAGGGTTCATGGTACAGCTTGATACTTGGTGCTGGTCCGGTATTGTTGTCTGTGTCTTCAGGGTTCGGGCTTCCGTGTTAGCAATGATCGAATTGTCACAGACATTGCGTCGAATCGTCCTAAACCCTAAACCCTAAACCCTAAACCCTAAACCCTAAACCCTAAACCCTAAACCCTAAACCCTAAACCCTAAATCGTAGCTCTTGAAGCGATTTGAGGGTTTACTGAGCTGAACTGAAGAGTTGATGCCTTTGTGGAATCGGGGGGGTGGACGGGCGCTTAAAGGGTCTTCTTATCAGCATATACTGACTGCGCAGAGTTGAGAGTGGACCGGTTCAGGGTTAGGGTTTAGGGTTTAGGGTTTAGGGTTTAGGGTTTAGGGTTTAGGGTTTAGGGTTTAGGGTTTAGGGTACCCAATCCAACCCACCAGCGGGTGTTGCTCATGTCCATCATTCTTCGGCCACCACTCCAGCCCCTTACAGTGCACCCCTAAACCCTGCAACCCAAACCCACCAAGTTGCCGGAAGCTCCGCTGAGCCCCTGTATCCTGAGCATGTTGAAGGTTGAAGGCTTAGTGTTTGCATTCTTCGTTTATGGCGTTAGGTCTAAGGCTCTTTTATAGAGGATCCTCAGCCTTAAGCCCCAATCCCTACACCCTAAACCCTAAACCCCAAATCCCAAACCGCCTAAACCCGAAACCCTAAACCCTAAAACCTAAGCCGCAAATCGTACGCTCTTGAGCCTTCGGGGGTTTTGGACCCCTCCAGCGTGGCGCGCACCAGGGCACCATCTGGCCCGTCAGCGCCGTGGCCGCTGGACAATACGTTCCCTGGCATGGTTTGGGGTTTAGGGTTTAGGGTTTAGGGTTTAGGGTGTAGGGTTTAGGGTTTAGGGTTTAGGGTTTAGGGTTTAGGGTTTGGGGCTCAGAGTTGAGGGTTTACGGCCAGCTTAGGGGGTGGCAGGGAAGGCCCCAAACCCTAAACTGAAGAAAAGTAAGGCCTAAATGAAGGGTGGTGCCTAAAATGGCCCAGAGGCTGCCTGGAGAAGTGTTGGGGACTTAAAATTGTGTCGATGCCAACCCTGAAAGGGCTGGTAAGGAAGCAAAGGGTTGAACCTTCCCTCAAATTTATCAAAGGTCAATCGATGTCAGCTCCTGCTTCACCAAACCCTATTATCCCGCTTTGCTTCGGGGGGGCAGGAGCTAGAAACCCTAAACCCATGATGCGCCGACCCCCAGGCACTTCATGGGGCCGAAGCGCCTTCGCAGCGAGAAACCCACTAACCCCTAAACCCCTAAACCCCTAAACCCCTAAACCCCTAAACCCCTAAACCCCTAAGCCCCCAAAACCCCTAAACCCCTAAACCCCTAAACCCTTAAACCCTGAACCCCTAAACCCCTAAACCCCTAAACCCCTAAACCCCTAAACCCCCAAAACCCCTAAACCCCTAAACCCCAAACCCTAAACCCTAACCCTAAACCCTAAACCTCAACCCCTAAACCCTTAAACCCTGAACCCTACAAGCTCAGGTTCAGTTGCACGAGTCCGCGCCGTCGAGTCCCACCGGCGAGGCCATGAATGCCAGCCCGATTCCGGCTCTTTAGAGTTTAGAGGTTGAGGCGAGTTGTGCTTGGGGGTCGGACTGCAGGAATATGTTTCTAACAAGGGTTTGCGGGTTTAGGGGTTTAGGGGTTTAGGGGTTTAGGGGTTTAGGGGTTTAGGGGTTCAGGGTTTAAGGGTTTAGGGGTTTAGGGGTTTAGGGGTTTAGCGGTTTAGGGGTTTAGGGTTTTAGGGGTTTAGGGGCTTAGGAGTACTTTTACATGTTCCCTTGGTTGGGTTAAGAGAGTTTATACTGGGACTCTTTTCAGAGGGTTTAAGAGGCTCCAGCCAATTTTTGGTTGAGTCTAGGGTTGTTGATGTTACGTGCTATTGTGGGAATCACCGCAACTACGGTTGCTGCTCTTACCAGTCACTCCCCTACTTTGCTGAGCTGTACTCTTTTTTGCTGCGGCTGCATTCGCCAGTTTATAGGCCGACTCACAGACCACCAGCCAAACGTCAACCCCAACCCCCAAACCAACCGGTTGTGGGTTTAGGGTTTAGGGTTTAGGGTTTAGTTAGGGTTTAGGGTTTAGTTAGGGTTTAGGGTTTAGGGTTTAGGATTTAGGATTTAGGGTTTAGGGTTTGTGGGCGCGGAGGGCTAAACCCTTTCAAGCCTCCAAACCTGCGCCAAACCCAGGCCAAGTGCAGGCGCCCTTGCCAGTCACCACCAACGGTCACTCAAGCCTCAAAAGCTTCTTAATCCTAAACCCTAAACCCTAAACCCTAAACCCTAAACCCTAAACCCTAAACCCCTAAACCCTAAACCCCTAAACCCCTCAACCCCTAAACCCCTAAACCCCTAAACCCCTAAACCCCTCAACCCCTAAACCCCTAAACCCCAAACCCTAAACCCTACTCCGAAGATGCCCTGCAAGCCCCCATTTACGCCCCCCATGTACGCCCCCCCTGAAGCCCCAAACGCCAGGGAGCCCGGGAGGTTGGATCTATTTCAGGGAGTCAGGGTTTCGGGCTTAGGGTAGGGTTTAGGGTTTAGGGTTTAGGGTTTAGGGTTTAGGGTTTAGGGTTTAGGGTTTAGGGTTTAGGGTTTAGGGTTTAGGGTTTAGGGTTTAGGGTTTAGGGTTTAGGGTTTAGGGTTTAGGGTTTAGGGTTTAGGGGCCCTTGCAGGCTCATGGCCCCCTTCGTCCGCCACCCACGCAACACATACATCAGCCCCCTTAAGCCCTAAACTAAACCCCAATCCCCCCCCCACCCCGAAGCCCTAAACCGCAAAAATGCCTAAGCAGCCAAAAGGTAGCCGACCTGTGCTATTGCGCACTTGCAGATGCAGCGGGAGCCTCAGGATTCACCTGGGTAATTTTTTTCTCCTAGCAAAAGTTGCCAAGCTGTTGCATGTTCAGGGTTTAGTCTGGAGATTGCGGTTTAGGCCGGTGCTTGTAGACTAAGGTGTGGGTGGGTTGTTAGAGATTCAAGTTTAGCGTAAAGTGTTGGTCGACGAGGGAGGAGGATTCATAGATAAGGCTTAGAGTTGAGTGTTTATTGACTATAGTGTTCACAGTTGGATGAATCAACGTTCTCTTGAATCTTCTTTGCAAGCGACTTTCAGGAAGACACACGAGCCCTCGGCCCTAACTTGTCCAACTTCTTAGCTTGCCCATCCACATGTACGAACCGCTGAACCCTCCTAAACTGTACACTCGAGGCATTGTGGAGGTGAGGGTGTTCAGGGTTTAAGGTTTAGGGTTTAGGGTCCCCGAGTTTCTTACCAAGCTCGCGGAGTGCATTCACATGCCAGATCGTGGACAGTTCGCTTCACTCCAGGAAGATGGGCACCTCTTGACAAGCCCAAATATCCCACTAGCTGTGCTCCATATCTTCAAGGACTTCTTTGAATAATATGAATGTACGACTGAACTTATGTACCAGGTTATTTCCAATGCTTCTGTCTGGGTCTCTTCGTCTCGTATCTGTGCATGAATATGTATGTGTATATGTGTATGCACCCTAGTTCATGTATCTGTGCAGCTGTGCTGGTCATGTTGTCCATGTGTGGCTAACTGGACAATGAGACCCGAAACCGTGGCGAAGCTCAGTTGGGTGTAGGGTTTAAGGTTCAGCGTCCGTAGCCCTACATACCCTAAACCCTAACCCTAAACCCTAAACCCTAAACGCTAAGCGCTAAACCCTAAACCCTAAACCCTAAACCCTAAACCCTAAACCCTAAACCCTAAACCCTAAACCCTAAACCCTAAACCCTAAACCCTAAACCCTAAACCCTAAACCCTAAACCCTAAACCCTAGGAGGTTTCGGGTCGGCCAAGGTAGTATCCGTGCATAACAACGGTGACCTGCGAGTGTCGCTCACTCAGGGCTGCTGCCCAGAGACTCCAAAACCCCTGAATTAAGGAATATACCTTAAATCATATTAGGGTTCCTACTATGCTATAAGGTATATTGCTTAATTAAGGGGTTTTGGAGTCTCTGGGTGAGGCGTTTTTCTTCCTTTTCGAACCCTTGGGTTTAGTAGGGCTGACGGATAAAGTTAAGTACCTGAAACAAGGTTTGGGCTTTGGGGTTTGAGGGTTTTAGGGTCTCGGGTTTACGGTTTCGGGCTTGCAAAGCCAGAAGAATGCATTCCCCGATGTCCTTCTCAACAAAAAAACGCTCAGCCTCCTAGAGCCCTGGATCAACCTAGACCCTATTAGGGTTTAGGGTTTAGGCTTTAGGGTTTAGGGTTTAGGGTTTAGTGTTTAGGGTTTAGGGTTAGGAAACGTTGAACCCTCCATTAAACTTGTAAACCCTGTTCACTTCAACCATTAAATCCCATAAGCCCTTAAATCCCTAGACGCCCGCGACCCTGACGTTCACCAGACTTACGAGACTATTGGGTTTAGATGGGTTTGGTTACATCATGGGACCCCCGGGGTTTGGGTTTGTTTAAGGTTTTAGGGGTTTAGGGTTTTAGGGTTGAGGGTGTACTTGGAGGTTCAGAGGGGTTGTTCGGTAGGGAAACTCACTGATTTCGTTTTACGCTTATCTCTAAACCCTAAACAGAAAACCCTAAACCCTAAACCCCTCTTATCAAAATGCAACACCTTAAACTCTTATTGGGCATAGGCACGCCTCTTGACTTTTCTTTTTTGTAGGCACAAGGGTAGGCAGGCCGGTTCGTGGGCACAGGCACGCAAGGTCGTAGGCATAGGCAACGCCGGTTCGTGGGCAGAGGCATGCCGGTTCGTTGCACCGTTCGCGGGTCTCGGGTCAGGGCGAGGCTTGTCAAGGGGATGGGGCGTCACACAGGGGACACACCCTCCGTCTCGCCGAAAACCTGGATACGTGTGGGGTCCTAAGGGGTGTCAGGGGGGGTCATGGTGTCAGGCAAGCCCTAGGGTGTGGAGTCTTAGGGTGTATGGATTGAGTGAACTTTACAATTTCTTGGGTTCTTTGTGGTGAAAAGCTTTGTTTTGGGGTCTCAGGCCTGAGCTGAGCTTTCGCCCGCAACCTCCTAAACCCCAGGCCCTAAGCCCCGAGTTTTGGGTTTAGGGTTTACCCAGAACTTCCCAAGGCCCTAAACCTTAAACCCTAGACCCTAAATCCGAAACCCTAAACCCTAACCCCTAAACCCTAAACCCTAACCCCTAAACCCTAAACCCTAATCCGCACAGCGAACCTCAGGTGGTCGGCATCTGCAGATGCGCCGTACACAAACATCGAGGTGATACCTTCCATCTGCCAGGCCGGCCCCGTGAGCTCAGGTGGCTTGGGACCCAGTGTAGGCCCTTATTCCCCTTTTCTTTGGGTTCAGGTTCCCCCAGAAGCCCCTTTACACCAACACTTTTTGTTCCCAGGCTACTCTTGGGTTCGGGTGGTTTGGGGCTTCCAACAGCCATTGGCTCTTCAGGTCTTGCCAAAGCGTCTTGCTCGCTGCCGTTACAGTTCATCGCCTGCCGAGCATCCGGCCCGACCGAATTGTAGTGGCTCAGGGTCAATTAGGGGAGAACACGGGAGAGCCCAGGTTCCGCAAGAATGCTTCTGACCCCCAACCCGCAACTCCCGAAGCCTTGAACCCCGACCAGACCCAGAACCACACCCGAAGTCCGAAACCCCCAAATACCTGAACAACAAATCCATACTTGGAGGTTCATGGGTAGTTTTACTTTGTAAGTAACGACACTATGGCTATAGCTGGCTACAACCTTGTTTCGGGTTCTTAAGTATGGCGAATGTTGCTCCCGATTCAATAACATTACCCGCTGTTAGGCTTTGAAAATGTTAATTCAGCCCCCCCCCCCCAATTGACAAGTTCCTCAACCCTCGACGCCTCAACCTCTCAACCTCTCAACCCCATCAACCTCTCAACCCCTCAACCCCTCAACCCCTCAACCTCTCAACCTCTCAACCTCTCAACCTCTCAACTCCTCAACTCCTCAACTCCTCCCCTCAACCCCCAACACCCCGCCCAAACCCATTTCTTGTTGTAGCGTCCAAGAATCACGAACCTTTTTTGGGGGGGCCCCGAGATACTAATTGCCCTTAAACCCTGAACCTGGCACCCTTCAGCCTTCTGGTAAGCCCTCAACCCTAAACCCTAAACCCTAAACCCTAAACCCTAAACCCTAAACCCTAAAATCCCGATGATGGAAGGCCCCAGTGCGGATTCTGTCCGTCAAAGCCCAGCTCGCCCTAGCGGACGGGCGCAGCCCCCAGTGGCCGGTTCTCCGGAAATTGTGGGGCTTTGGGGCTTCAGGGCTCAGGGGTTTAGGGTTTAGGGTTTAGGGTTTAGGGTTTAGGGTTTACGGTTTAGGCTTCAGGGTTTAGGGTTTAGGTTTAGGGCCACAAGAACCCCGAACAAGGTCATGACCAGCTACAACTATAGTTTCTCTACTCGCATTCAGGGCCTAGGGGTGAGACAATCTGCAGTTTGGGATTTAATTTGGGGTTTCGGGAGTTTAGGGTTTCTACGGCCAGTTCTCTACGTGATGGTTCCTTTTAAGGGGTTCCGAGGAGAGTACAGCGGGACTTCCTATTTGGGGTACCCCAAAAAGTTACCATCGCGTGGAGAAGCTGGGGGGTTACAGGGGGGGTTCGGAGTTTAGGGTTTAGGGTTTAGGGTTTAGGGTTTAGGGTTTAGGGCTTAGTGTTTAGGGTTTAGGGTTTAGGGTTTAGGGGCATTGCAGTGCACTTGGCTGTTTCAGGGAGGTTCCCCAAAAGGGGGACTTGGTGCAGGCTGGGCCCGATCAGCGATGTGCGATGGAAGAATCGCTGTTGAACTGTACTTCAGGCTTCAAAGTAGACGGTTTAGGGTTTAGGGTTTAGGGTTTAGGGTTTAGGGTCCGAAAATGCCTACATCCACGAGAATCTGACCCTGTCAAACCCTAAATCTAACCCGCTGAACCCTTGATCGACTAAACCCGCCCCGTAAACCCTTGTAAGCCCGAACCCCCAAACCACTGAGCTCTACACCCTAGAAACCCTGGACTTAACTCCCTAAGCGCTATACAGCCAAAACCCTGGCCCCTTTCGACAAACAACCTAGACCATAAACCTTAAGACCCTAAGACCCTAAGACCCTAAAACTTTAACACCCTCAACCCTAAGACCCTAAACCCCTAAACCGACACCCCTAAACCCCAAGACCCCAAGACCCTAAGACCCAGAAGCCCTAAGACCACCAGACCCGAAACTTCCCTCAACTCAAAGACCCTGAAACCCTCAACCCTGAGTCCCTAAACACCCTAAACCACAAGACCCGAAGACCATCAAGGCCACAAGTTGCTAAACACCAAAAGATCATTGAGGGGGGTTCCGAAATTCGGGGTACCTTATTGGGGGTCCTTACAGGGACTCATACTCTAAACCCTAAACCTTAACTAAACCCTAAACCCTATTTGGGGGTCTATTAGGGTCCCCTATTTTCGAACCCTAAACCCTAAACCCTAAACCCTAAACCCTAAACCCTAAACCCTAAACCCTAAACCCTAAAACCCGAAAACGTGGTGTTACCCTGGCAGAGCTTCGAAGGCCCGGCACGATCCTGCTCCTTGATGCGATATCGAGGGAGGTCAAGGTGCTGCTCCGGAGGGGTTTAGGGTTTAGGGTTTAGGGTTTAGGGTTTAGGGTTTAGGGTTTAGGGTTTAGGGTTTAGGGTTTAGGGTTTAGGGTTTAGGCTTTGGGGTCTAGGGTTTAGGGTCGAGTTGTGCGTTCAGGGGTTTTTGTTTTTTTTGTGTTTAGGGTTGAACGTTTGGAGCTTGGGGTTGAGGGGTTTTGATCTTGGTGAGGGTTTGAAGCTTCTGGGGTTCAGGGGTTCGGGGGTCTGGTTGTTTAGGGGTGTGAGACCTTTAGGGTTTACAGGAACCTAAACCCTAAACCCTAAACCCTCAACCCTGAACGCTGAACCCTAAACCCTAAACCCTAAACCCTAAACCCTAAACCCTGAGGAGGGTTCCAGCCCTGGCGACCGGGATGTGCTCTTTACCCTAAACCCTAAACCCTGAGGAGGGTTCCAGCCCTGGCGACCGGGATGTGCTCTTTACTCATAAAGCACCCTCTCATGGTCTGCTGATGCAAAAAATGGCGCCAAAGCCTAGGCCGTCGCCTCAAACCCGAAACAAAAAACTGGCACCCTTGACCTTGTAATAGAAAACCCTTGTCAGACCCTCGATGCCCCTGCCTTCCCCCTTCCCCCCCCTGCTCTGCCCCAAATTGTACATCATGCTTGTTTCGGATGACGTGAAGTAAATTCCAAAACTAGGTCCCCCCCCCAAAGAAAATAAAAAGAGGAAACAACCATTGGGTGTAGGCAAGCCAAGCAGCGTGGAGCTGTGCCAGGCCGAGATCACAGCCCATGCGCGATGGCTCTCTGCGGCGGTCTCCAGAGAGGACCCTCAATCACCTTTGCCGTTTAGGGTTTAGGGTTTAGGGTTTAGGGTTTAGGGTTTAAGGTGAGTCCAGAGGGGTTTGGGAACTTTGCATGGCTTCGGGTTCGAGGGCTGAGGGTTCAGGGCTGAGGGTTCGGGCTTTCATCGTCCTGGCTTCCGCGGCGCCGGTGACCTCAGATGGAGGGACTGGAGGGATGGATGGCACGATTTCAGTGTAGCAACTACACCCCCGAAAACAAACCGCAGAATGCATACCCCTGGCATCCGGGCAAAATCCTAAACCTCAGAGCCAAAACCCGTGCAGAAGATGCCAAGCTGTAGGAGTAGCTCTTTGAAAGGATTCCGACATGGGCCTCATCGTCAGCGTGGGTGAAGACACGGTGCTGAATGTCTGGCAGGCGTGCTGGCACTCAGCCCGAAGTAGGCCCTCAACAACCGTGAAAGCCCTAAGCCCTAAACCCCAAACCCTAAACCGTAGGCCCCAAACCCCAAACCCTAAACCCCAAACCCTAAACCCTAAGCCCTAAACCCTAAACCCTAAACCCTAATCATGACAATTGGAGGGGGGAGCTGGATTTTTTGGGTTCTTCAAAGAGCCTTGAGAACCCTTAGCCCTCAGTGTTTGCTGACCCTTGGAGGGTAGCAGAGTTTTGGGTTTAGGGTTTAGGGTGTAGGGTTTAGGGGCCTGGGGCCCAGGGGCCCTAAATTTCTTTCTTCCCGCCAAGGCCCTGAACATCCTCGCTTTTTCCGGTTTTCGGGAGGTCGAACCAGTCGAAGGAACGGTGTCACTCCACCATTCAGCCGTGGTGACAGACAAGGTGCGGCTGCAGTCCTTTCATTTCTTTGGGGTTCAGGGTTTAGGGTTTAGGGTTTGGGGTTTAGGGGGGGCTCGCTGAAGGTTCATGGGTACTTCTCATGTGTAGGTGAACTAGGGTGCCTGCTGTTGTATTTTGAACCTCGCTTTGACCTACTTGCAGCTACCCAATGAGCCTTCAAGTGGGAGGCCTGACCCTAAACCCTAAACCCTAAACCCTAAACCCTAAACCCTAAACCCTAAACCCTGTATCGCTGAACCGAATCCCCCTCGCCAGCTCCTCTGCGGCGTGGCGCTGCACGGCTCGGGCGCCTCTGTGGTCGCCTACGACTCGGCCACCCGGCCTCAGTGGGGTTTAGGGTTTAGGGTTTAGGGTTAGGGTTTGGTTTGGCATTGGGGTTCTCGGACTCAGAGGGGTTTATCGGCGGGTTTGCGGATCTTGGAAGCGCAACGCCCGAGGATCAGCTGTACCACGTGAACTTCTGACGGGGCCTTTGTAGCCAGGCGCACTGGGGCCTCAAAAAAGGCTCGAGCTTGGGGCTCAGAAGCACACCAGCTGATTCCTCCAGGATCCACCCCAAAAAGCACCGTCGACGCCCTTGTAGAGGTCTCGTAAATCGACGCCAGGATCTCATTTTCAAGGCCGAAAGCTTTCATGCAGGGGGGGCTCTAAACCCAAAGCCCAAAATCTCAAGCCCTAAAGCCCTAAACCTCCCCTCCCCTCACGGATTCGGTTTCACAGGCGCCCAGGCGTCACGGGCCGAAGAGGGCCAAGGAAGCCAAGATCGCCCTCTCGCATATTCGCATAGAAAGGGCTTCGGCGCGAAGGCCATTCAGCATGCTGGGTTGGGGTTGTGGGTTTAGGTTCTAGGGTTTAGGGCTTACTGTGCAGGGTTTAGGGTTTAGGGTTTTGGGTTTAGGGTTTTGGGTTTAGGTTTGAGGGTTTAGAGGGTTTAGCATCATTAGCACGGAAGAGGACATTCTGGATCCAATGTGCTGCTGCTGCTGCTCCTACTACTACTACTACTACTACTACTACTACTACTACTACTACTACTACTACTACTACTACTACTACTACTACTACTACTACTACTACTACTACTACTACTACTACTACTACTACTACTACTACTACTACTACTACTACTACTACTACTACTACTACTACTACTACTACTACTACTACTACTACTACTACTACTACTACTACTACTACTACTACTACTACTACTACTACTACTACTACTACTACTACTACTACTACTACTACTACTACTACTACTACTACTACTACTACTACTACTACTACTACTACCTACTACTACTACTACTACTACTACTACTACTACTACTACTACTACTACTACTACTACTACTACTACTACTACTACTACTACTACTACTACTACTACGACTTTTTGTTCTTGTCATTGCTATTGTTATTGTTAATGTTGATGTTGAGGTTGATGCTAATGTAAATGTAAATGTACATGTGATTGCTATTGTGATTGTTATTGTGGGTGTTGTTGTTGTTGTTGTTGTTGTTGTTGTTGTTGTTGTTGTTGTTGTTGTTGTTGTTGTTGTTGTTGTTGTTGTTGTTGTTGTTGTTGTTGTTGTTGCACTACCAGCTCAAGCCGCCCGCGCATGGTAGCTGTCGAACCGGCCAAGGCCCCGAACTTCATCTCTTTAACAGCTTTCGGGGCCCACCTAACATCTCAAGGCTTTTAGCTCTTGCCAGCTGATGGTCATTTCGAGGCTTTAGCCTCCTGCAATTGAGATTCAGCCGCAGACAGCAAATCCACGAGCTGGCCCGGTCCCAATTCCGGGGGGAGCACACTAGCGAGGTCTTCTCCGAAGGATTGCAATCAATGTCCCTGTGCAAACTTTTAGCCTATGCAACTTCGTAGCAGGGTTCCCAGCTCAGAGTCATTCCGCTTCCATTAGCTAACGGTAGGATGTTGTTGATGCTGCCTAGTAGCCTTGTTAGTTGCTTGGCTTGTTGGTAGGTTTGTAGTAGCCGCTTAAGCCATAAGCACCACTCTGCAGCTACTGCTTTTCCTTATATGCACGTTTCGACGCTCATATCTGCTGTGTCAGCAGAGGCCTGAGCGAGAGAGTTTCGTCTAGTTGCAGCAGCCCATGGTCTTATGCGCTAGCTCCTCTTCTCAACTGACCGAGCATTTAAGTGGGGCTAACGTGTGAATAATACTATGATTGAATGCTCTGCTTTGTGAACAACTGCACTGCTCAATTTCTGGGTTGGGTTTCAGGCTTCGTGTTTTCTTGTTGTGTCGTATAGTGCAAAGTGCAGTTTTTGCCTGCTATACACGGGCTTGGTCAAAAATCGTGTGAGGTCTCCTCCTGGTTCACTGTCCACCGTGTTGCAGCTAGTATGTGCAGAGTGCAGTTTTGGCCTGCTGCGAAAGGGCTTGGTCCAAAGCCTTGTGAAGCCGTGTGAGGTCTCCTCCTGGCTCACTGACCTCCGTGTTGCAGCTAGTCTAGCCCAGCTTTTGGCGATAGCTGCCGGGCAAGACAGTCAACTAAAGCGCTTCTCTTGTCCTGCTTTGTTCTTGTTTGCTGGCGGCACTTTACACTTTGCTAGCGGCACTTCACGCACAGCGCTCTAGTTGACTTAGAACTAGCCGTCTTTTTCAAGTCTTTCTACCCGTCGATGCCCGCCAAGGTGTGGGACATATCCCGCACATGCGTCCCAAATGAATGTTGTTGTTGTTGTTGTTGTTGTTGTTGTTGTTGTTGTTGTTGTTGTTGTTGTTGTTGTTGTTGTTGTTGTTGTTGTTGTTGTTGTTGTTGTTGTTGTTGTTGTTGTTGTTGTTGTTGTTGTTGTTGTTGTTGTTGTTGTTGTTTGTTGTTGTTGTTGTTGTTGTTGTTGTTTGTTGTTGTTGTTGTTGTTGTTGTTGTTGTTGTTGTTGTTGTTGTTGTTGTTGTTGTTGTTGTTGTTGTTGTTGTTGTTGTTGTTGTTGTTGTTGTTGTTGTTGTTGTTGTTGTTGTTGTTGTTGTTGTTGTTGTTGTTGTTGTTGTTGTTGTTGTTGTTGTTGTTGTTGTTGTTGTTGTTGTTGTTGTTGTTGTTGTTGTTGTTGTTGTTGTTGTTGTTGTTGTTGTTGTTGTTGTTGTTGTTGTTCTTGTTCTTGTTCTTGTTGTTCTTGTTCTTGTTGTTCTTGTTCTTGTTGTTCTTGTTCTTGTTGTTCTTGTTCTTGTTGTTCTTGTTCTTGTTGTTCTTGTTCTTGTTGTTCTTGTCCTTGTTGTTCTTGTCCTTGTTGTTCTTGTCCTTGTTGTTCTTGTTCTTATTCTTCTTCTTCTTCTTGTTCTTGTTGTTCTTGTTCTTGTTCTTGTTCTTCTTGTTCTTGTTCTTCTTGTTCTTGTTCTTCTTGTTCTTGTTCTTGTTGTTCTTGTTCTTGTTGTTCTTGTTCTTGTTGTTCTTGTTCTTGTTCTTCTTGTTCTTGTTCTTGTTCTTGTTCTTGTTCTTGTTGTTATTATTGTTGTTTTTGTTATTGTTTATTGTCATTGTCATTGTCATTGTTGTTGTTACTGGTGTTGTTACATGATAAGTATGATGAATATTGTAAGATGAGTTCTGAGTGCTTCACTGAAAATGATAGTCTTTGGGGCCGCATCTAGAATGTATCTTAACTGCTGCAATTCCATGAGTTCTTTTTGCTTGGCTTTTCATTTGCTTGCGCGCGCCTTCTTCAATCCTAAGCCGGTCCCACATGCCCCGAAACCTCGGCCACTAAAAGTTTCGTCTATGTCCATGACAACCTTGTGCAAGAAAACCCAATTTTCTAGCAAGGAAGGCCAGGCAGCTAGAGCGCTCTACCCCCAGGCAACTTCTCAGTTCGAATGGCTCCCTCTGAATTCCGTAAGCGCGACATGCGCGAGCAGTTATGGACCCCGAACCCACCCTCAGCCCCTAGCAACTTGACCTTTGGAAGTTCACAAAACGCAAGAGCCTTCAAGCGCCCCCCCCCCCCCCGGCTCCATGCGCCTCCTGTGCCTACTCACAAAAATCCTGAACCCGCAGCCCTCAACCTTCAACCCTAAACCCTAAGCCCTCCACCCTAAACCCTGGGCAGACCATACGTGCAACGTGTGGGCAAACCATAGGTGCTGCGGGTAAAACAACCCCGCCATGCGCCTCCTGCGCCTGCTCTGTGTGGTCGCCGTGGTGGCCCTGTCGCCTGATGAGCTCCGGGTTCTCAGGGAGCTCTTTCCGCAACACGAGGGGGTGCCCTGCCTGGGGCCAAAGGTGGAGTGCAAGCAGGGCCACTTGGTGCGGCTCGACCTGAGCAAAACGGAGTTGAGGGAGGTCCCGGAGTCATTGGGCAACTTGATGTGGCTGGAGCAGCTTGATTTGCGGCAAAACCAGCTGCAGAGCATCCCCGAGTCGCTGGGCAGCTTGACCAGGCTGAGGAGGCTACTTTTGAGCCACAACCGGCTGAAGAGCATCCCAGAGTCACTGGGCAACTTGACGCAGCTGATACGGCTTGATTTGAGCCACAGCCAGCTGAAGAGCATCCCCGAGTCGCTGGGCAGCTTGATGAGGCTGGAGAGGTTAATCTTGAACGACAACCAGCTGGAGAGCGTCCCCGAGTCCCTGGGCAGCTTGACGCAGCTGACGTATCTTCGCTTGACACGCAACCAGTTAGAGAGCATCCCAGACTCGCTGGGCAGCTTGACGTGGCTGACGTGGCTTAGTTTGAGGCACAACCGGCTAGAAAGCATCCCCGGGTCCCTGGGCAGCTTGACGCACTTGACGTGGCTTGATTTGAGCCACAACCGGCTGGAGAGCATCCCAGAGTCACTGGGCAGCTTGACGAGGTTGCGAGGTCTTTATTTGAGCCACAGCCAGCTGAAGAGCATCCCCGAGTCGCTGGGTAGCTTGACGAGGCTGGAGAGTTTAGTGTTGAACGACAACCAGCTTCAGAGCATACCCGAGTCGGTGGGCAGCTTGACGCAGCTGACGTGGCTTCGCTTGACACGCAACCAGTTAGAGAGCATCCCAGACTCGCTGGGCAGCTTGACGAGGCTGACGAAGCTTGATTTGAGCCACAACCAGCTTAAGAGCATGCCTGAGTCACTGGGCAGCTTGACGAGGCTGGAAAGTCTTGATTTGAGCCAAAACCAGCTGAAGAGCCTCCCCGAGTCGCTGTGCAGTCTGACACAGCTGATGAAGCTTGACCTTCGCAGCAACAGCCTCGCAGAGCTACCTGATGCAATCGGCAGGCTCGGTAGCTTGGTGGTTCTGCAGGCTGACAGGAACGTCCTTACCAAGCTGCCCCAGAGCTTAGGACAGGTCGCAAGCCTCAAGCAGCTTTATTTACAGCACAACAAGCTCCAAGATTTCGTTGCAGGCCCGGCTCTGCCAAGCCTTGAGGTGTTGCTTCTGCAAAGCAATCGACTCCAAGCCATCGAACAATTTTGTCAACTGCGGAACCTTACCACGCTTTATCTGCACAAAAACCATCTGAGCGGCCGCATCCCGCCGTGCCTGTCAGCCTTGTCATCTCTAAGAGTTTTGACTCTACATGAGAACCGCTTAACTGGAGAGATCCCTAGGGGGCTTCCGGCAATGCGCTTCTTGAAAGTCCTGACGCTCCATCAGAACAAGCTGTCGGGCCGAATTCCTCTAGATGTCGGGTCTTTCGAGCAGCTTGCCTTCCTGTCAGCGCACGCAAATGCTTTAGCAGGGCCAGTTCCAGAGCTGAACTTGACAGACGGCTGCACAAACGACGACTCTTTCAGCATGATTGTGGAAGATGCTGTTTACGGCTCCACGGAGTTCACATGTGCAGGCCCCATATTACCATTCCTGTGGACGACCCAGAAACTGAAGCAGACGTTCCAGGATGCTTGCCCGGAGCGTGTTCATACGTGTGAAAAGGCTTCTGCGAGAGGCCCAACGCTTCTCCTGCATGGCAATCGCTTGTCTTGTGAAGCTCCTCGCGACGTAACTGCTGTTCCGGAATCCTTGAGATCGCTCGTAGTCATCGGCAACATGCTGGGGGATCCATCAACGAAGTTGCCGGACTGGGTCGCAAAGGTGGAGCAACAACCGTTCCTCTACGTCTCCGTCTCCACTGCGCGCCTTTTGTGCTGGCGCTTTGCAGCTTTGGCGCTGTTTTTTGCAGGGGCGTGGCGCTTTGTTCTGGGCAGTTGGAATCACCTGCAACTCACAGAGGCTCTCGAGGACGAAACTGAAATCTCTCACCGGTTTCTCGTCAGGGCAACTGGTCTCTTCGCCCCTCTCGCACTGGTGGTGTTTTGTCTCTACGTGTTTGGATCGTTTTACTACGATGGGTGTGGAGACGATTTCCTGAAGAGCACCGTTGCTTACTTCCAGAGTCCAGAATGCGAACTATGGCTTGGCTGCACGTGGTCCGTTTGGAGCTTAGGCTCCGCGTGGCTCTTGCGGCACGTGCCAAAGCCTAAGAAACACCCCGGCCCAGGCCGCCCGAGCGCTAAGACCTGCAAGGCGCTCTGGTGGATTGTATGGCTGGGGTTGGTTCTTCTCCTGTCAGTGCCCTCCATGGCTTACGCCTTCATGAGCACGCTGCCACAGCAAAACCAGCTCCTGACGAGGCCATGGGTGCTATGGGCCATCAAGAATCAAGCTGCCTTGGTCATGATGCTGGTGGACATGCTTGTCACGCCGAAGTTAGCCGCCATGATGTCGCAGCGCTCGCGCATCCGCCGATCGATGCTTCTCATGGCTGCTCGGACATCCACGATGTGGCTCAACGCCGCTCTTTGCATGATCTACCTCAGCGAGCACTGCCAGCGTGGGTGGACGAGGTATTGGAACGTCTGCAATGTGGCTTCCGAGGAGTACAAGGAGTTCAACATCAGTTTGGGACAGCATCAACTTCTTGAGCCCGTCGCCGACTTATGTGGTCAGAACGACCGGTGGTGGGCCACGGACGCTTGCGCGAGGTCTGTGGTGGGTACTCTGGCCCCACTGCTCCTGAGCAAGATGATCCAGCGCGCCTTGCTGCAACCAGTGATAACGGTGCTGCTGTGGAAGCTCTCAGTCAAGGAAGACGGCTCACTCTACCTCACTCCGCTGCGGTTTCTGGGTGTCCGATGGAAGATGTGCACCAGCCGAAACCTCGACAGAGCGCAGCAGGCAACCTTCTTGGTCACTTTGGCAGAGGTGCTGCTGATCTGGGCCCCCTTGATCCCACTGTTGCTGCCCGCAACGGCCCTTGCGGTCACGCTGAACCTGCGCGTCTTCCGCGTGGGGCAGCACGTCTTCGGAGCCGACGTGCCAGAATTAGAAGAGGGCGAGACAGCAAGCATGTCCAGGAAATACATGATGGCCAGTGTGGCGGTGCTCCTAATCTTTCAGAACTGGTTCGCCTGGACCTCCGAGAAGTCCGGCATGTGGCTGCTGGGCCTTGCGAGCTGCCTGGCGGTCGGCCTCATGGGAAGCATTTCCAGCACAGCTGGAAGTCCTGGTGCCCCTGAGGAGGCTGTGGAGTTGGCGACCCTGGGGTCCCCTAGGCCCTGAAGCGCTTTGAAGCGCTTTGAAGGGCTTTGAGAAGCGCTTTCGGCTACACTGAAGGATCAACCCTGAATCCCGGAGTGGATGTCCGAGACGAGATCGCCCTGGCGGGCGCAGCCCCCAGTGGCCAGTTCTCTCGAAGTTGTGGGGTTCAGGCTTCAGGGTTCAGGGTTTCAGGGTAGCGATGCGTGGGGCTAAAAGAACCCCAAGCACGGTCATGACCAGCTGTAGGTACAGTTTCTCTTACGAGTGTTCAGGGTTTAGGGGTGAGAATATTTTCGGTTTGGGATTTCTGGTTTCGGGAGTTTAGGGCTTCTACTGCCAGTTCGACAAGTGGTTCCTTTTCAGGGGTTCCGATTGTAGTACAGTGGGCCTCTAGTTTGGGTACCCCAACAGGGACCGCAATGTGGAGAAGCTGCCGGCCTCGCCGGCCTCAGTCAAAGGGCTACGGTTAGGGGGTTTACAGGGCTTAAGGCCTCGTCGTTAGGGTGTTAATGAGTTCAAGCAGAGTAGTTTCAGGGAGGTTCCCCCAAAAGGTCCAAGGGAGTGTCTGGGTTTTGGGCAGATTCTGAACCCTTGGTTGAGGGTACGGTTTAACCGCACCGTGCCATATCAGCGACATGCAATGTAGGGAAGCTTCGCTTTGAGCTGTAGATCAGGAATGTCGGGCCCTTCGTATGCTTCAAAGAAGAGAAGGTTCATCCGGAAGCCGATCTGTTTCACTGAACCCTAATCGGCAAAACCCTCAACCCCTAAGCCCCTCTAAGCCTCAAACCCTATGAACCCTTAACAACCAAAACCTCCAAACCCCCAAACCCTGAAACCCGAACACTCAACACCCTAACACCCTGACCCTAAAATCCTAAGCCCCCAAATCCCATATTGAAACATGTGTTACTCTGGGACCTTTGAAAATTCGAAGGCCCGGATCGATCCTTTTGCTTGATGCGATATCGAGGGAGACCAAGGTGCTGCTCCGAGCATGCTCAGGGTTTAGGGTTTAGGGTTTAGGGTTTAGGGTTTAGGGTTTAGGGTTTAGGGTTTAGGGTTTAGGGTTTAGGGTCTAGGGTTAAGGGTTAGTTTAGGGTTTAGGGTTTAGGGTTTAGGGTTTTTGGGGGTTTGTTAGGGTCTAGTCGCTGTGTGAGGGGGATTCAGCGTGTAGGGAATCGGCCTACACTCGGGATGAGACTCTCCGAATCCAGCTCACCCATCGAAGCATCCCAAAAGAGAATCCAGCCCCCCAGGCGCCCTTTGCCGTGGGAAGAAGAAGTCTCTTCGGCGTTCCGCGTGGTCTTGAACCCCTGTGAAGCCCCTTGGCACCCCCAGAAGAGGCTTTTCGAACCGTCCCACCGTGACCCCCAGATTATGAATCATGCTTTCTCGGACACCTCGTTTGATATTTAACTGCTCAGAACACTAGGACCCCCTTGGAAGAAGAGAAGAGGATATTTAACTCATCCGAACACGACCCCCGTTACGAAAGAGAAGAGAAAACAGTCATTGGGTGTAGTGAGGTACACCCCCAGCAGCGTGGAGCCACACCAGGCCGAGATCACGGCCAATGCGCGATCTCCAGAAGAGGACCTTCACCTCCAAACCTGAATCCGAAGGGTGGAAGGACCCTTAGGGCTTAGGGTTCAGGGCTGAGGCTACGGGGCTGAGGGTTTCGGGTTGAGGTGTCGGGCTTTCATCGTCCTGGCATCCACAGCACCGGTGACATCAGATGGAGGGGATGGATGGCACGATTCAAGAGCATCGCAAGGGATGCTTGTGTGGGGTAGCTCCGCAGTGTAGTGTAGCACCTACACCCCCCAAGCCCCAAACCGCAGAATGCATCCCTGCTGTCCGGGTAAAACCCAAACCTCAGAGCCCAAAACTCTAAACCAGGATCCCGACGTGTTGCCTCGTCGTCAGCGTGGGTGACGACGCGGTACTGAATGTTTGGCAGGCACGCTCAGCACGAACTAAGCCCTAAACGCTCTAAGCCTGGAAGCCCTAAGCAAACCCTACGCATCTTACACCCTAAACCCTAAACCCTAAACCCTAAACCCTAAACCCTAAACCCTAAACCCTAAACCCTAAACCCTAAACCCTAAACCCTAAACCCTAAACCCTAAACCCTAACCCTAAACCCTAAACCCCCTAAACCCTAAACCCTAAACCCCTAAACCCTAAACCCTAAACCCTAAACCCTAAACCCTAAACCCTAAACCCTAAACCCTAAACCCTAAACCCTAAACCCTAAACCCTAAACCCTAAACCCTAAACCCTAAACCCAAAACCCATCCAGATGTATCTGCAAGCCCGAGCATCACGCCGCAGCTCTTTGACATTAGGCTAGGGGTGCCTACGGGGGAAGTTCTTTGATGGCCCTGTGAACCCTATGAACCCTTAGTCGAAGGAGCCGGTGCCGCTCTACTAAACCCTAAACCCTAAACCCTAAACCCTAAACCCTAAACCCTAAACCCTAAACCCTAAACCCTAAACCCTAAACCCTAAACCCTGAACCCTGAACCCTGAACCCTAAACCCTAAACCCTAAACCCTAAACCCTAAACCCTAAACCCTAAACCCTGCAGCGACTGAAAAGGTGCGGCCGCAGTTCAGGGCTTAGGGTTTCGGACTTGAAGGTTCACGGCTACATAAAATGTAGAGGTTTAGGGTTTAGGGTTTAGGGTTTAGGGTTTAGAGCTGCCCAATGCGCCTTCAAGTGGGCTTGTTTCTTGTGGTAGAGAATCGGTTCTAGGCCTGTATCGCTGAACCAAAAAAACAGCCTTGATCTTTTGTCTCTGTTGGTAGGGGGGTTGAAGGTTTAGGATTCCAAGCCCCCCAGCTTCGAATCGAAGCCACAAAGTCAGCTTGGCTCTAGATCTGACAAGAGCAAGTGGGTCCCAGAAGCGCGAAGCACTAAGAATCCTAAGTCACAACGTAGCTCTATCCAAAATCCAGAACAACAGAACGAGCAACCACAAACACCTACCGTAAACCTTACCTAAGCCCTATAGCCGCCAAGCTCAACACACCAGCACAGAGAGCGCCTTCAAAACCCCACGCGTTGCACTCCGCATCGAACCCTCCCCCTCCCCCCCCGCCTGCTAATCCGGGTCAACGGGCAATGTAGGTTGCTGCCCTAACCCCCCCTTTAAGGACCAGTAGTACGCGCAAAGAAGAACAAGGTCTGAGCCCGAGACCCTCGTGTCCTGCACCGCCCTGGGCTATTCAGAAAGTGGCCTTTGCAAGGACACTCCTGAAAGGCTTCTGGGACGACTTGAGGGCCCTCGGCTTCCTCGAAACCTTAAATTCAAGAAGATCAACTTGTTTTTTGTTGACCCCACTCGCGTATCTTGTGGGTGGCTGGGATGGGTTTGACGCCCTAAACCCGAAGCCCCCCCACGCCTCCTTGCACAACCCCAAACCCTATAAACCCTACCCCTCCCTCTGCCAGATCTTCTGCGGCGTGGTGCTGCACAGCTCGGGCGTCCGTGGCCGCCTACTGTACGACTCGGCCTTCCGGCCCGGTGGGGAGGGAGGGTTAGAGGGCCCAGAAAGTTCACCCTGAATTCAAGAATAGTCTTGAACTCACAATGAAAGGAGGCCCGACGTCCTATTGCAGGATGAACATGCTTACAGTGTATTCCTCGATATACCTCCATCCTGTGAGATTTAGGGTTCTTTTTTTGGACAGAACATTTGATCTTCCTTCTAAGGTGTTGCCACGAGTTCTCTTTGAGCTCCAGCTTGCTAAAACAGAGCCCGGGAGGCCAAAATAAGTCCGTAAGCCCGAGCCTTCTCCAACCAAACCTCGAGTCACAGATTGCTTTTCTACCCCCCCCGCCCACACACTTGAACGACCACCCAAAGAACCCTTGAATGTGCCATTTTTTCATTCGGGATGGGGGCAGTTATTATGGTGGGGGGCCCTAAGCCCTAAACCCTAAACCCTAAACCCTAAACCCTAGACCCTAAACCCCTACATGCCCCAATTGTGGCTCCAACCTCTCCCAAATCTGAGGATGTCAGCATTGGGGGCATGGAACCACGGGACTTCTAAAGGGCTTTGAGCTTTTGGTGGTTGTAGCAGCTCCCTTTTCTGGGTTTAGGGTGCATAGGGTTTAGGGCCCAAAGTATCCTTGGAAGCGCAACGCCCGAGGATCAGCTACGTGAACTTCTGACGGGGCCTTTGCAGCCAGGCGCACTGGGGCCTCAGAAAAGGTTTGGTAGCGGTCTCGTAAATCGATGCCAGGATCTCATTTGCAAGGCCGACAGCTTTCATGAAGGGGGGGGCGCCTCTAAACTCACAGCCCAAAATCCCAAACCTAAGCCTCCCCCCTCCCCCTCGGAGAACCGCGCTCACGGACGGATTCGGTTTCACAGGCGCCTATCTCGCATGCTCGCATAGAAAGAGGGCCTCGGCGCGGAGGGGTAGTAGCATCCACAAATTTCTGAGCTGCTTATGGCTAGACAAATCAAGGAACAAGATAAACTGTCAGCAGAATACAAGAATACAAACATGAAATACAACTGCAAGTCAGGAAGCACGCTGATCACATGTGATGATGATGATGATGATGATGATGATGATGCTGGTGATGATGATGATGATGATGCTGGTGATGATGATGATGATGATGATGACGATGATGATGATAATGATGATGATGATGATTATGATTATTGTTGTGATTGTGTTATTGTGTTATTGTGTTCTTGCGTTATTGTGTTATTGCGTTACTTTGTTTTTGCGTTACTGTGTTTTTGTGTTATTGTGCTATTGTGCTATTGTGCTATTGTGCTATTGTGTTATTGTGTTATTGTGCTATTGTGTTATTGTGTTATTGTGCTATTGAGTTATTGTGTTATTGTGCTATTGTGTTATTGTGATTGTTATTGTTATTGTTCTTGTTCTTGTTCTTGTTCTTGTTCTTGTTATTGTTATTGTTATTGTTATTGTTACTAGTTTTATGCTTATTATCCATTATGAGTTGGGGGCCGCATTCTAGAATATATCTTAACTGCTGCAATTCCATGAGTTCTTTTTGCTTGGATTTCATTTGCTTGCGCGCGCCTTCTTCAATCCTAAGCCGGTCCCACATGCCCCGAAACCTCGGCCACTAAAAGTTTCGTCTATGTCCATTACAACCTTGTGCAAGAAATCCCTATTTCTAGCAAGGAAGGCCAGGCAGCTAGAGCGCTCTGCCCCCAGGCAACTTCTCAGTTGGCCCCCCTTTAAATTCCTCAAGCGCTATATGCGCGAGCATGTACGGACCCCCCCTCCCCCCGTAGCAACTTGACCTTTGGAACCTCAAGCGTCCCCTTCCAGTTCAAAAAAACGCAAAAGCCCTCAACATGCGCCTCCTGCGCCTACTCTGTGTGGTCGCTGCGGTGGCCCTGTCGCCTGAGGAGCTCCGGGTTCTCAGGGAGCTCTTTCCGCACCACAGGGGGCCGCCCTGCCTGTTGGGGCGCAGGGTCGAGTGCAAGCAGGGCCACTTGGTGCGGCTCGACCTGAGTGATTCGCAGTTGAGAGAGGTGCCTGAGTCTTTGGGCGAACTGATGTGGCTGGAGCAGCTTGATTTGAGCTACAACCAGCTGAAGAGCATCCAGGGGTCGCTGGGCAGCTTGACGAGGTTGTGGAGGTTACATGTGAGCCGCAACCTGCTGAAGAGCATCCCGGAGTCACTGGGCAACTTGACGCAGATGACATGGCTTGATTTGAGCCACAACCAGCTGAAGAGCATCCCCGACTCGCTGGGCAGGTTGACGAGGCTTGGGAGTTTATTCTTCAACGACAACCAGCTGGAGAGCATCCCCGAGTCGCTAAGCAACTTGACACAGCTGACGTGGCTTCGCATGACACGCAACCAGTTAGAGAGCATCCCAGAGTCGTTGGGTAACTTGACGCAGCTGACTTGGCTGCAAATGAGGCACAACCGGCTGGAGAGCATCCCAGAGTCACTGGGCAGCTTGACGAGGCTGACGGAGCTTGATTTGAGCCACAACCGGCTGAAGAGCATCCCGAACTCGATGGGAAGCTTGACGAGGCTGAGGGAGCTTGATTTGAGCCACAACCAGCTGATGCGCATTCCCGAGTCGATGGGAAGCTTGACGAGGCTGATAAATCTTGAGTTGGGGCAAAACCACCTGAAGAGCATCCCCGAGTCGCTGGGCAGTCTGACGCAGCTGACGTGGCTTGACCTGGGCAACAACTTCCTCGCACAGCTACCCGACGCAATTGGCAGGCTCGATAACTTAGTGGTTCTGCAGGCCGACAGGAACGTCCTTGCCGAGCTGCCTGAGAGCTTTGGACAGCTCGCCAACCTCAAGCGGCTCTATCTACAGCACAACAAGCTCCAAGATTTCGTCGCAGGCCCGGCTCTGCCAAGCCTTGAGGTGTTGCTTCTGCAAAGCAACCGGCTCCAAGCCATCGAACAATTTTGTCAACTGCGGAACCTTACCACGCTATATCTGCACAAAAACCATCTGAGCGGCCGCATCCCGCCGTGCCTGTCAGCCTTGTCATCTCTAAGAGTTTTGACTCTACATGAGAACCGCTTAACTGGAGAGATCCCCGGAGGGCTTCCGGCAATGCGCTTTTTGAAAGTCCTGACGCTCCATCAGAACAAGCTGTCGGGCCGAATTCCTGCAGATGTCGGGTCTTTCGAGCAGCTTGCCTTCCTGTCAGCGCACGCAAATGCTTTAACAGGGCCAGTTCCAGAGCTGAACTTGACAGACGGCTGCACAAACGACGACTCTTTCAGCATGATTGTGGAAGATGCTATTTACGGCTCCACGGAGTTCACATGTGCAGGCCCCATATTACCATTCCTGTGGACGACCCAGAAACTGAAGCAGACGTTCCAGGATGCTTGCCCGGAGCGTGTTCATACGTGTGAAAAGGCTTCTGCGAGAGGCCCAACGCTTCTCCTGCATGGCAATCGCTTGTCCTGTGGAGCTCCTCGCGACGTAACTGCTGTTCCGGAATCCTTGAGGTCGCTCGTAGTCATCGGCAACATGCTGGGGGATCCATCAACGAAGTTGCCGGACTGGGTCGCAAAGGTGGAGGAACAACCGTTCCTTTACGTCTCCAACTCCACTGCGCACCGTTTATGCTGGCACTTTGCAGCTTTGGCGCTATTTTTTGCAGGGGCCTGGCGCCTTGTTCTGGGCAGTTGGCATCACCTGCAACTCACAGAGGCGCTCGAGGACGAAACTGAAATTTCTCACCGATTTCTCGTCACGGCAAGTGGTCTCTTCGCCCCTCTCGCACTGGTGCTGTTTTGTCTCTATGTGTTTGGATCATTTTACTACGATGGGTGTGGAGACGATTTCCTGAAGAGCACCGTTGCCTACTTCCAGAGTCCGGAATGCGAATTATGGCTTGACTGCACGTGGTTCGTTTGGAGCGTAGGCTCCGCGTGGCTACTGCGGCATGTGCCGAAACCTAAGAAACACCGTGGCGCACGCCCGGGCCGCCTGAGCCCCAAGATTTGCAAGGCGCTCTGGTGGGTTGTATGGCTGGGGTTAGTTCTTCTCCTGTCGGCACCCTCCATGGCATATGCCTTCATGAGCACGCTGCCACAGCAAAACCAGCTCCTGACGAGGCCCTGGCTGCTATGGGCCGTCAAGAATCAAGCTGCCTTGGTCATGATGCTGGTGGACATGCTTGTCACGCCAAAGTTGGCCGCCATGATGTCGCAGCGGTCGCGTATCCGCCGATCGATGCTTCTCATGGCTGCTCGGACAGCCACGATGTGGCTCAACGCCGCTCTTTGCACGATCTACCTCAGCGAGCACTGCCAGCGTGGGTGGACGAGGTATTGGAATGTCTGCAATGTAGCTTCCGAGGAGTACAAGAAGTTCAACATCAGCTTGGGAAAGCATGAACTTCTTGAGCCCGTCGCCGACTTATGCGGTCAGAACGACCGGTGGTGGGCCACGGACGCTTGCGCGAGGTCTGTGGTGGGTACTCTGGCCCCACTGCTCCTGAGCAAGATGATCCAGCGTGCATTGCTGCAACCAGTGATAACGGTGGTGCTGTGGAAGCTCTCTGCCAAGGAAGACGGTTCACTCTACTTCTCTCCCCTGCAGTTTCTGGGTGTCCGATGGAAGATGTGCACCAGCCGAAACCTCGACAGGGCGGAGCAGGCAACCTTCTTGGTGACATTGGCAGAGGTGCTGCTGATCTGGGCCCCCTCGATCCCACTGTTGCTGCCCGCAACGGCCCTCGCGGTCACGCTGAACCTGCGCGTCTTCCGTGTCGGGCAGCACGTCTTCGGAGCCGACGTGCCAGAATTGGAAGAGGGCGAGACAGCAAGCATGTCCAGGAAATACATGATGGCCAGTGTGGTGGTGCTCTTGCTCTTTCAGAACTGGTTCGCCTGGACTTCCGAGAAGTCCGGCATGTGGCTGCTGGGCCTTGCGAGCTGCCTGGCGGTCGGCCTCATGGGCAGCATTTCCAGCACAGCTGGAATTGCTGGTGCCACTGAGGAGGAGTCTGTGGAGTTGGCGGCCATGGGGTCTTAGGCCCTAGCGCTTGAAGCGCTTTAAAGGTCTTTAACGTGCTTTTGGCTACACTGAAAGCAGGATCAACCCTGAATCCCGATGGAAGATCGGAAGGCCCCCTGTGCGGATTCTGGCCAGCAAAGACCCATATGGCGGATGGGCACGCGACCCCAGTGGCCAGTTCTCTCGAAATCCGGGGGTTTAGGCTTCAAGGTTCAGGGTTCAGGGGTTCAGGGTACTTGTAGCTATGCGTGGGGCTATAAGAACCCCAAGCAAGATCATGACCAGCTGTAGGTATAGTTTCTCTATTGCTAGTGTTCAGGGTTTAGGGGCGAGAAAATTTTGGGTTTGGGCTTTGTGGTTTCGGGAGTTTAGGGCTTCTATTGCCAGTTCGCTAAGTGGTGGTTCCATGTCAGGGGTTCCGATTGTAGAGGCTTCGGGGTTAGGGTGTTAATGAGTTCAAGCAGAGATAGTTTCAGGCCCGTTCCCCAAAAGGTCCAAGGGAGTGTCTGGGTTTGGGCAGATTCTGAACCCTTGGTTTAGGTTACGGCTTGGCCGCAGAGTCCCCGAAAACCCAAAAAGGCCGACCGGGCCATAGGGTCAGTTCTCAAAAATCAAGTCCCTTTTTGGGTACCCTAGAAAAGAGGGGCCGCCTTCTAGTAAGGACGCCAAAACAGACCATAATTTAGGGACATCACCATATCAGCGACATGCAAAGTATTGAAGCTTCGCTTCGTATGCTTCAAAGTAGAGAAAGGTTCATCCAAAGCCGATCTGATCCACCGAAAACCCTGAACGGCAAAACTCGACAGATGCTTAAACCGCCCGAGGCCCATGTAAGCCCCAAAGCCTATGAACCCTGACGCCTTCTAAACCCGCGTAAACCTCTTCTTAAGCCCCAAGCCACTAATTCTAAACCCTCCAACACCCTCGGCTTAGATCCCTAAGCGCTATACAGCCTAAGCCCGAAAACTTACGCCCCCTCATCGCCCAGAATCCCAAGAGCTCCAGGTCCCAGAGTGGCCTCATTTACACACAATCTGAACCTAAAACCCCCACACCCTAAAACCCTAACACTCGAACACTCGAACACTCGAACACTCGAACACTCGAACACTCGAACACTCGAACACTCGAACACCCTAAGCCCTAAGCCCTAAGCCCTAAGCCCTAAGCCCTAAGCCCTAAGCCCTAAGCCCTAAGCCCTAAGCCCTAAGCCCTAAGCCCTAAGCCCTAAGCCCTAAGCCCTAAGCCCTAAGCCCTAAGCCCTAAGCCCTAAGCCCTAAACCCTAAACCCTAAACCCTAAACCCTAAACCCTAAACCCTAAACCCTAAACCCTAAACCCTAAGCCCTAAGCCCTAAGCCCTTAACCCTGAACCCTACCATATGATTATCAACCTTAATGGTATTCGGCCCATTTTGCGGATTTTGGGCCTATGCCCACGAATTTTTGGGCCGCCGGGCCTGTGCCCACGAAATTTCTGGGCCTTGCCCACGAGCCAAAGGCCCAAGAAACTCCTGGGCAAGACCCAAAATTCGTGGGCATAGGTTCGGGGCTTCGTGGGCACAGGCCCGGGGCTTCGTGGGCACCAAGCCCAAGGGGGGTTTCTCGAGGGAGGGAGAGCCACTGAGTACGAAATGCCAGCCTCCTTGGGAACTGGCCTGGCGACCATCGAGGGAAGAAGTTTTTGGAAGTAGGCAATTGACTTCCGTTTAGGCCTAAACCCCAAAAAGGCTCGGTTCGGGTGGCTTTGCCGCTTCGGACGGCGTGGGGCGTGGGGTGGGAGAAAGGTGTTTTCGAGCCTAGTCTACATCCCCAGCACCGCTGCTGCGCCATAATACAGCAAACCCTGAACCCTAAATCCCAAGCCACAAACTGGAATATAGCGAAAAGAACACCCTGTTATAATATGCGCGAGCAACGGACCCCCCACCCCCTCCTCCCCCCCAAGCAACTTGATCTTTGGAACTTTTGGAAGCTTTGGAACCTCTGAAGATCTTGAGGCTCAAGCGTCCCCTTCCAGTTCAAAAAACGCAAAAGCCCTCAACAACACCCCCCGGCTTCATGCGCCTCCTGCGCCTACTCTGTGTGGTCGCTGCGGTGGCCCTGTCGCCTGAGGAGCTCCGGGTTCTCAGGGAGCTCTTTCCGCACCACGAGGGGGCGCCCTGCCTGTTGGGGCGCAGGGTCGAGTGCAAGCAGGGCCACTTGGTGCGGCTCGACCTGAGTGATTCGCTGTTGAGAGAGGTCCCGGAGTCATTGGGCGAACTGATGTGGCTGGAGCAGCTTTATTTGAACCGCAACCAGTTGAAGATCATCCCCGAGTCGATCGGAAGTTTGCCGAAGCTGACGCATCTGGATTTGAACTACAACCAGCTGCAGAGCATCCCCGAGTCGCTGGGCAGCTTGACGAGGCTGGGGAGGTTATATTTGAGCCGCAACCCGCTGAAGAGCATCCCAGAGTCACTGGGCAACTTGACGCAGCTGACATGGCTTGATTTGAGCCACAGCCAGCTGAAGAACATCCCAGAGTCGCTGGGCAGCTTGATGGAGCTGGAGTGGCTGGGGTTGAGCCACAGCCGGCTGGAGAGCCTCCCAGAATCGCTGGGCAGCTTGACGAGGTTGGAGAGGTTGTTTTTGAACGACAACCAGCTGGAGAGCATCCCCGAGTCGCTGGGCAGCTTGACGCAGCTGGCTTGGCTTTATTTGAGCGACAACCGACTGGCGAGCATCCCCGAGTCACTGGGCAGCTTGACGCGGGTGAGGTGGCTTGATTTGAGCCAGAACCGGCTGACGAGCATCCCCGAGTCGCTGGGCAGCTTAACGCGGCTGGGCAGGCTTGATTTGAACGACAACCGGCTGGAGAGCATCCCAGAGTCGATGGGAAGCTTGACGAGGCTGAGGGAGCTTGATTTGAGCCACAACCAGCTGATGCGCATTCCCGAGTCGATGGGAAGCTTGACGAGGCTGGGAAGTCTTGACTTGAGGCAAAACCAGCTGAAGAGCATCCCCGAGTCACTGGGCAGCATGTCGCGGCTGGGCAGGCTTGATTTGAGCGACAACCGGCTCGAGAGCATCCCAGAGTCACTGGGAAGCTTGACGAAGCTGAGGAAGCTTGATCTTCGCAGCAACTTCCTCGCACAGCTACCTGACGCAATTGGCAGGCTCGGTAGCTTAGAGGTTTTGCAGGCTGACAGGAACTTCCTTACCGAGCTGCCCCAGAGTTTAGGACAGCTCGCCAACCTCAAGCGGCTTCACTTGCAACACAACATGCTCCAAGATTTCATCGCAGGCCTGGCTCTGCCAAGCCTTGAGGTGTTGCTTCTGCAAAGCAACCGGCTCCAAGCCGTCGAGCAATTTTGTCAACTGCGGAACCTTACCACGCTGTATCTACACAAAAACCATCTGAGCGGCCGCATCCCACCGTGCCTGTCAGCCATGTCATCGCTGAGAGTATTGACTCTACATGAGAACCGCTTAGCTGCAGAGATCCCCAGGGGGCTTCCGGCAATGCGCTTCTTGAAAGTCCTGACGCTCCATCAGAACAAGCTGTCCGGCCAGATTCCTGCAGATGTCGGGTCCTTTGCGCAGCTTGCGTTCCTGTCAGCGCACGCAAATGCCTTAACAGGGCCAGTTCCAAAGCTGAACTTGACAGACGGCTGCGCAAACGACGACTCTTTCAGCATGATTGTGGAAGATGCTGTTTTCGGCCCCGTGGAGTTCACGTGTGCAGGCCCCAGATTACCATTCCTGTGGACGGCCCAGGACCAGAAGCAGATGTTCCAGGATGCTTGCCCGGAGCGTGTTCGTACGTGTGAAAAGGCTTCTGCGAGAGGCCCAACGCTTCTCCTGCACGGCAATCGCTTGTCTTGCGGAGCTCCTCGCGACGTAACTGCTGTTCCGGAATCCTTGAGATCGCTGGTAGTCATCGGCAATATGTTGGGAGATCCATCAACGAAGTTGCCGGACTGGGTCGCAAAGGTGGAGCAACAACCGTTCCTTTACGTCTCCAACTCCACTGCGCACCGTGTATGCTGGCACTTTGCAGCTTTGGCGCTGTTTTTTGCAGGGGCGTGGCGCTTTGTTCTGGGCAGTTGGAATCACCTGCAACTCACAGAGGCTCTCGAGGACGAAACTGAAATCTCTCACCGGTTTCTCGTCAGGGCAACTGGTCTCTTCGCCCCTCTCGCACTGGTGGTGTTTTGTCTCTACGTGTTTGGATCGTTTTACTACGATGGGTGTGGAGACGATTTCCTGAAGAGCACCGTTGCCTACTTCCAGAGTCCAGAATGCGAACTATGGCTTGGCTGCACGTGGTCCGTTTGGAGCTTAGGCTCCGCGTGGCTCTTGCGGCATGTGCCGAAACCTAAGAAACACCGCGGAGCACGCCCGGGCCGCCCGAGCGCCAAGACCTGTAAGACGCTCTGGTGGATTGTATGGCTGGGGTTAGTTCTTCTCCTGTCGGCACCCTCCATGGCATATGCCTTCATGAGCACGCTGCCACAGCAAAACCAGCTCCTGACGAGGCCCTGGCTGCTATGGGCCATCAAGAATCAAGCTGCCTTGGTCATGATGCTGGTGGACATGCTTGTCACGCCAAAGTTGGCCGCCATGATGTCGCAGCGCTCGCGCATCCGCCGATCGATGCTTCTCATGGCTGCTCGGACAGCCACCATGTGGCTCAACGCCGCTCTTTGCACGATCTGCCTCAGCGAGCACTGCCAGCGTGGGTGGACGAGGTATTGGAATGTCTGCAATGTGGCTTCCGAGGAGTACAAGGAGTTCAACATCAGCTTGGGAGAGCATCAACTTCTTGAGCCCATCGCCGACTTATGCGGTCAGAACGACCGGTGGTGGGCCACTGACGCTTGCGCGAGGTCTGTGGTGGGCACTCTGGCTCCACTGCTCCTGAGCAAGATGATCCAGCGTGCCTTGCTGCAACCAGTGATAACGGTGGTGCTGTGGAAGCTCTCTTTCAAGGAAGACGGTTCACTCTACTTCACTCCGCTGCAGTTTCTGGGTGTCCGATGGAAGATGTGCACCAGCCGAAGCCTCGATAGAGCGGAGCAGGCAACCTTCTTGGTGACATTGGCAGAGGTGCTGCTGATCTGGGCCCCCTTGATCCCACTGTTGCTGCCCGCAGCGGCCCTTGCAGTCACGCTGAACCTGCGCGTCTTCCGTGTGGGGCAGAATGTCTTCGGAGCCGACGTGCCGGAATTGGAAGAGGGCGAGACAGCAAGCATGTCCAGGAAATACATGATGGCCAGTGTGGTGGTGCTCCTGCTCTTTCAGAACTGGTTCGCCTGGACTTCTGAGATGTCCGGCATGTGGCTGCTGAGCCTTGCGAGCTGCCTGGCGGTCGGCCTCATGGGCAGCATGGCCAGCACGGCTGGAATTGCTGGTGCTGCTGAGGAGGAGTCTGTGGAGTTGACGGTGCTGGGGCCAAGCTCTTGAAACGCTTTTAAGGGCCTTGGCTCCAGTGAAAGAGGGATCAACCTTGAATCCAGATGGAAGGGCCCCCTGCGCGGATTCGGTCCGTCAAAGCCCAGCTCGCCCAAGCGGACGTGCGCAGGCCCCCAGGGGTCAGTTCTCTCGAGATTTGTGTGGCTTAGGCTTCGGAGCTCCAGGGTGCAGAGTTGCTGTAAGTGAGGCCATAAGAACCCCAGAGAAGGTTCTGACAAGCAACGCTATGGTTTCTCTACTAGGCTTCAGGGTTTAGGTGTGAGAAAACCTGGGGTTTGGGATTTTTGGGGTTTCGAGAATTTAGGGTTTCTATGGCCAGTTCTCTAAGTCATGGCTCCCTTGAAATCTTTGAGGGGGTTCCGATGATAGTACGGTGGGCCTTCTATTTTGGACGCCCCAAAAAAGGACCCTCGTGTAGAAAAGCTACGGGCCTCGGTTAAAGGGTTAGGCGTTTGAAAGTTGGCGGCTTCGTTCTAGGGTGTTTAGGGCTCAGGTAGACATGATATAGTATTTTTTCTTAGATTGTACCTTATTTCATTTATGTCATTTATTCTGACATCATTCTGTCACCGGGCCCTATCAGCGATATCTAGTGAAGGGAAGCTTCGCTCTGAGCTGTACTTGAGGTAGATCCGGCCCCTTATGTGCTTCAAAGTAGAGAAGGTTCATCCGAAACCCCGAACTCCTTTGAAATGCTCAGCCCCCCAAAAAACTGATCCCAGCCCACTGAGCCCTTGAATCCCTAAGCCCAACAAACTCTAAGCCCCTAAACCCATGCAAACCCTACAATTCCTGAAGCCCTATTAAGCCTCTACTGAATTACGCCAACTCCAAGCCCTCCAAACCCCCTAGACTTAAATCCCTAAGCACCATACAGTCGAAACCCTCCAAAACCTGCGCCCCCTTAAACCTTATAATCCTAAGAACTCCAGGACCAAGAGTGGCCTCATTTACACAAGCAACCTACACCCTCAAACCCCAAACCCTAACACCCTAAGACCCTAAATTCCCAAACTCCAAGTTTTCATTTTAAAGCTGTGTTGCTCTGGGACCTTGGAGCTTCGAAGGCCCGGCAGGATCCTTCTCCTGCGATATCGGGGGAGATCACGGCGCTGCTCCGAGCGTGTTTAGGGATTGTGGAGTTTGTGGGTTTAGGGCCCTCTAGTTGTTTTGGGGTGTGAGAAGGCTTTAGAGTGTCGGGAACTCGGAGGAGGGTTCAGGCGCTAATGATCGGGATCGTCTCCCTGGGTCCAGTTCATAGAAGATCCTCGGTGGTTTGGCGACAGGCCAAGGCGTCCTTTGCACCCCTGGGGAATGCCAAGTTGTTTTCGGCTTCTTCCCCGTAGTCTTGAGCCCCCGTAGAGTTTTCAAACCCTCTATGCCAACCTTGACCCCCAAATTGTATGTTTATCGTGCTTTTCCGGATACCTCGTTTGATATTTAACCGACCCTAAACCCTAAACCCTAGACCCAAACCCTAAACCCGAAACCCTTAACCCTGAATCTTCAACCCTAAATCCTAAACCCTCAAGGCCCTACAACCCTAAACCCTAAATCCTAAACCCTTAGCCCTTAGAGAAGAGAAGCGGATACAATCATTGTGTAGCAGCGTGGAGCCACGCCAGGCCGAGATCACGGCCCATGCTCGCTGGCTCTCTGCAGTGGTGTCCAGAGAGGACCTTCATCACCTCCAAACATAGATCCGAAGGGTGTAGGGCCTTTGGGGTTTAGGGTTCAGGGTTTAGGGTTTAGGGTTGTAGGGCCTTGAGGGTTTAGGGTTCAGGGCCGAGGGTTTGGGGGCCTAGGGTTCGGGGTTAGGGTGTCCGGCGTCCACAGCGCCGGTGACATCAGATGGAGGGGATGGATGGCACGATTTCAAGAAGCGCACGATGCTTCTGTGGGGTTGTTCCGCAGTGTTGTGTAGCCCCTACACCCCCCACACCCCTAACGGCAGAAATGCAAACCCCTGCCATCCGGGTGAAGCCCTGCACCGCAGAGCCCGTGTGGGTGACGACACGGCGCTGAAGGTTGGCAGGCGCGCTGGCCCTCGGCCCGAACTAAGCCCCAAATGGTCAAACCCTGGAAGCCCTGACCTCAACCTACGCATCCTGAAGCTGTGTCTAGATGTGTCTGCAAAAACCGAACATCACACCGCAGGGGGCGGGGGGTAGGGGGGGGGGGGGGCGCTTCTTTGGGTTTAGGCCTTTGGAACCCTAACTAGGTTCAAGGAGCCCTGAACCCTTGGCCCTCAGTGTGCCCTGAACCTTACAGCAAAAGGTGGCAAGGGTTTCGGAGTTTTGGCTGAGGACCGAGGGGCCCTGCATTTCTTTCTCCCCACCAATGCCCTTGAGCATCCTAGCTTTCCAACAGAAAGCCCACCCTCAATTCAAGAATAAGTTCGTAATGAAAGAAGCCCGAAGTCCTACGGTAGGATAAACATGCTTCAAGTATATTGCCTGAAATACCTCCCTCCTGTGAGATTTAGGGTGCATTTTTTAGATGTTTGGTCTTCCTTGCAAGGTGTTCCCACTAGCTGGCTTCGAGTTCCAGCTTCCTTAAACCCCGCCGCCCCAAACTCCCAAAGAATCTTCAAGCCCGAGCCTCCAACCAAACCTCGAATCACAGGTTCGTATACTAACACGCCCCCTCCCCTCTTGAGCTACCGCCCAAAGAAACCTTGAATGCACCTTGGTCTTTTTCGGGATGGCGGCAGTTATTGAAGGTTGGGAGGGGGGGGGGGGTAAGTATAGGACCCCATGACCTAAGAAGCTAAAAGACCAACACCCGGCTTCGAGCTTTTGGTGGCTGTAGCAGATCATTTTTGTGGGTTTAGGGTTCAGAGGGTTTTGGGGCCCAAAATATCCTTGGGAAGCGAAACCCCCAGGATCAGCTGTTCCACGTGAACTTCTGACGGCCTTTGCAGGCACACTGGGGCCTCACAAAAGGCGCGAGCTTGGGGCTCAGAAGCACTCCAGCTGATTCCTCAAGGATCTGCCCCAAGAAGCAAAGTCGGCGCCCTTGTAGAGGTCTCGGAAATGCCAGGATCTCATTTTCAAGGCCGAAAGCTTTCATGCAGGGGGGCTCCAAGCGCAATGCCCGAAATCCCAAACCCTAAACCTCCCCTCCCCCTCAGAGAGCTGCGCTCACGGACAGATTCAGTACTTTCACAGGCTCCCAGGCGTCACGGGCCGTGGAGGGCCGCAGAAGCAAAGATCGCCCTCTCGCATATTCGCATAGAAAAAGGGCGTCGGCGCGGAGGCTATTCAGCATGTTCTTGGGGGCTGGGGCTTAGGGTTGAAGGTTTAGCATCATTGGCACGGAACAGGACATTCTGGATCCGATGTGGGTGGGGGCACATCCTGCTGGCCTACTTCAAAAGGGGCACTCTGCATGTGCACCAAAATCCGTGTAGCTGTAACTAGTGTTAGGACTCCCCAGACAATAGGTACCACAAATTTCTGAGCTGCTTGTGGCTATACAAACCAAAGAACAAGATGAGCTGTCAGCAGGATACAAGAATAAAAGCATGAACTACAAATTCAATTCATGAAACACATTTGATCATATATTTGTTACTATTATCCATCATGAGTGCGGCACTTGGTAATGATAGTCTTTTGGGGCGAGATATCTAAGATATGTCCTAAATGCTGCAATTTCATGGGCTCTTCTTGCTCGCCTTCTTCAATGCTAAGCCGGGCCTACATGCCTCGAAAGCTCGGCCACCAAAAGTTTCGTTTATGTCCATGGCAACCTTGTGCAAGAAAGCCCAACTCCCCCCTAAACCCTAAGCCCTAAGCCAACGCCCGAAGCCCTAAGCCCTAAGCCCTATGCCCTAAACCCTGAACCCTGAACCCTAAACCCTAAACGCTAAGCCCTAAGCCCTAAGCCCTAATGAAGCCCTAAGCCCTATAAACCCTAAGGAAGCTACCCTAGGCGGCTTTTGGCAAGGCAGGCCAGGCAGTTAGCGTGCGCTACCCCCAGGCAACTTGTCCGTAGTCGTGCGAGTTTAGGGTTTAGGGTTTAGGGTTTAGGGTTTAGGGTTTAGGGTTTAGGGTTTAGGGTTTAGGGTTTAGGGCATTTACGGAATCCCCACCCCAGGCCCCCCCCTCGCAACTTGATCTTTGGAACCTCCGAAGATCCAGCAGATCAAGCGTTCCCTTCCAGTTCACAAGACGTAAGAGCCCTTAAAAACAACCCCGCCATGCGCCTGCGCCTGCTCTGTGTGGTCGCTGCAGCAGCCCTGTCGCCCGAGGAGCTCCGGGTTCTCAGGGAGCTCTTTCCGCACCACGAGGAGACGCCCTGCATGGGGCCAAGGGTGGAGTGCAAGCAGGGCCACTTGGTGCGGCTCGACCTGAGCGGTTCGGAGTTGAGGCAGGTCCCTGAGTCTTTGAGCGAACTGACATGGCTGGAGAAGCTGGGTTTAAAGCAAAACCAGCTGAAGAGCATCCCAGAGTCGCTGGGCAGCTTGACGAGGCTGAGGAATCTTTATTTGAACGACAACCAGCTGGAGAGCATCCCCGAGTCGCTGGGCAACTTGACGCAGCTGACGTGGCTTGATTTGAGGCACAACCAGCTGAAGAGCATCCCCGAGTCGCTGGGCAGCCTGACAAGGCTGTGGAGCTTAGACTTGAGCGAGAACCGGCTGGAGAGCATCCCAGAATCCATAAAACGCTTGACGAAACTAATGAGCTTAGATTTGAACGACAACCGGCTGAAGAGCATCCCAGAGTCGCTGGGCAGCTTGATGGAGCTGACTTGGCTGGGTTTGGAACACAACCAGCTAGAGAGCATCCCCGAGTCGATGGGCAGCTTGACTAGGCTGGAGAGGTTTTTTCTGAACGACAACCAGCTGGAGAGCATCCCCGAGTCGCTGGGCTGCTTGACGCAGCTGATGTGGCTTCATTTGAACCACAATCGGTTGGAGAGCATCCCAGAGTCGCTGGGCAGCTTGATGGAGCTGACGTGGCTGGGTTTGAGCCACAACCGGCTGGAGAGCATCCCCGAGTCGCTGGGCAACTTGACACGGCTGAAGAGGTTTAACGTGAGGCGCAACCAGCTGAAGAGCATCCCCGAGTCGCTGGGCAGCCTGACGCAGCTGACGTGGTTTGATTTGAGCCACAACCAGCTGGAGAGCATCCCCGAGTCGCTGGGCAGCTTGACAAGGCTGGAGATGTTATATTTGAACGACAACTGGCTGGAGGGCATCCCCGAGGCGTTGGGCAGCTTGACAAGACTGGCAAGGTTACATTTGAGCCGGAACCGGCTGGAGAGCATCCCAGAGTCGTTGGGCAGCTTGGCGAGGCTGTCGAGATTCCATTTGAGCGACAACCGCCTGCAGAGCATCCCAGAGTCGATGGGCAGCCTGACGCAGCTGACGTGGCTTGATTTGAGCCACAACCGGCTGGAGAGCATCCCCGACTCGCTGGGCAGCTTGACACAGCTGACGGGGCTTGATTTGAGGCAGAACCGGCTGAAGAGCATCCAGGACTGGCTTGGCAGCTTGACGTGGCTGAGGCACCTTTATTTGAGCGACAACCGGATGGAGAGCATCCCAGAGTCGCTGGGCAGCTTGACGCGACTCGAGCAGCTTTATTTGAGCAACAACTGGCTGAAGAGCATCCCCCAGTCGCTGGGCAGCTTGACACGGCTGGGCTGGCTTGATTTGAACGACAACCAGCTGACGAGCATCCCCGAGTCGCTGGGAAGCTTGACGATGCTGATGGAGCTTGACCTTCGCAGCAACAGGTTTGCAGAGCTACCTGACGCAATTGGCAGGCTCGGTAGCTTAGAGGTTTTGCAGGCTGACAGGAACTTCCTTACCGAGCTGCCCCAGAGTTTAGGACAGCTCGCCAACCTCAAGCGGCTTCATTTGCAACACAACAAGCTCCAAGATTTCGTCGCAGGTCCGGCTCTGCCGAGCCTTGAGGTGTTGCTTCTGCAAAGCAACCGGCTCCAAGCCATCGAGCAATTTTGTCAACTGCGGAACCTTACCACGCTGTATCTGCACAAAAACCATCTGAGCGGCCGCATCCCGCCGTGCCTGTCAGCCTTGTCATCTCTAAGAGTTTTGACTCTACATGAGAACCGCTTAACTGGAGAGATCCCCAGAGGGCTTCCGGCAATGCGCTTCTTGAAAGTCCTGACGCTCCATCAGAACAAGCTGTCGGGCCGAATTCCTGCAGATGTTGGGTCTTTTGCGCAGCTTGCATTCCTGTCAGTGCATGCAAATGCTCTAACAGGGCCAGTTCCAGAGCTGAACTTAACAGACGGCTGCACGAACGACGACTCTTTTAGCATGATCGTAGAACATGCTACTTTTGGCTTCAAGGAGTTCACGTGTGCAGGCCCCATATTGCCATTCCTGTGGACGACCCAGAAACAGAAGCAGATGTTCCAGGACGCTTGCCCGGAGCGTGTTCATACGTGTGAAAAGGCTTCTGCGAGAGGCCCAACGCTTCTCCTGCACGGCAATCGCTTGTCCTGTGGAGCTCCTCGCGACGTAACTGCTGTTCCGGAATCCTTGAGATCGCTGGTAGTCATCGGCAACATGTTGGGGGATCCATCAATGAAGTTGCCTGCCTGGGTAGCAAAGGTGGAGCAACAACCGTTCCTTTACGTATCCATCTCCACTCTGCGCCTTTTGTGCTGGCGCTTGGCAGCTTTGGCGCTCCTTTTTGCAGGGGCCTGGCGCCTTGTTCTGGGCAGTTGGCGTCACCTGCAAATCACAGAGGCGCTCGAGGACGAAATTGAAATCTCTCACCGCTTTCTCGTCACGGCAAGTGGTCTCTTCGCCCCTCTCGCACTGGTGCTGTTTTGTCTCTACGTGTTTGGATCGTTTTACTACGATGGGTGTGGAGATGATTTCTTGAAGAGCACCGCTGCTTATTTCCAGAGTCCGGAATGCGAACCATGGCTTGGCTGCACGTGGTCCGTTTGGAGCTTAGGCTCCGCGTGGCTCTTGCGGCATGTGCCAAAGCCTAAGGAACACCGTGGCGCACGCCCGGGCCGCCCGAGCGCCAAGACCAGTAAGGCGCTCTGGTGGATTGTATGGCTGGGGTTGGTTCTTCTCCTGTCGGCACCCTCCATGGCTTATGCCTTCATGAGCACGCTGCCACAACAAAACCAGCTCCTGACGAGGCCCTGGGTGCTATGGGCCGTCAAGAATCAAGCTGCCTTAGTCATGATGCTGGTGGACATGCTTGTCACGCCAAAGTTGGCGGCCATGATGTCGCAGCGCTCCCGCATCAACCGATCGATGCTTCTCATGGCTGCTCGGACAGCCACCATGTGGCTCAACGCCGCTCTCTACACGATCTACCTCAGTGAGCACTGCCAGCGAGGGTGGACGAGGTATTGGAATGTCTGCAATGTGGCTTCCGAGGAGTACAAGCAGTTTAACATCAGCTTGGGAGAGCATCAACTTCTTGAGCCTGTCGCTGACTTATGCGGTCAGAACGATCGGTGGTGGGCCACGGATGCTTGCGCGAGGTCTGTGGTGGGCACTCTGGCGCCACTGCTTCTGAGCAAGATGATCCAGCGTGCATTGCTGCAACCAGTGATAACGGTGGTGCTGTGGAAGCTCTCTGTCAAGGAAGACGGTTCACTCTACTTCACTCCCCTGCGGTTTCTGGGTGTCCGATGGAAGATGTGCACCAGCCGAAACCTCGACAGGGCGCAGCAGGCAACCTTCTTGGTCACATTGGCAGAGGTGTTGCTGATCTGGGCCCCCTTGATCCCTCTGTTGCTGCCCACAACGGCCCTTGCGGTCGTGCTGAACCTCCGCGTCTTCCGTGTGGGGCAGCGCGTCTTCGGAGCCGAAGTGCCAAAATTGGAAGAGGGCGAGACAGCCAGCATGTCTAGGAAATACATGATGGCCAGCGTGGTGGTGCTCCTAATCTTTCAGAACTGGTTCGTCTGGACATCCGAGAAGTCCGGCAGGTGGCTGCTGAGCCTTGCGAGCTGCCTGGCGGTCGGCCTCATGGGCAGCATGGCCAGCACGTTTGGAAGTTCTGGTGCCACTGAGGAGGAGTCTGTGGAGTTGGCGACCCTGGGGCCAAGTGCTTGAACTCCAGTGAAGGGATCGGCCAGGAACCAGATGGAAGGCCCCCTGCGCGGATACGGTCCGTCAAAGCCCAGCTCGCGCTAGCGGACGTGCGCAGCCCCCAGTGGCCAGTTCTCCGGACATTGTGGGGTTTAGGGCCTTAGAGTTGCTGTAAGTCTATTAGAACCCCAGAGAAGGTTATGACAAGCAAAGCTATAGTATCTCTACTAGGCTTCAGGGTTTAGGGGTGAGAAATCCTGGGTTTCGGGATTTGGGGTTTCGGGAGTTTAGGGCTTCTACGGCCGGTTCTCTAAGTGATTCCTTTCAAGCGGTTCCGGTGATAACACAGCGGGCCTTCTATTTTGGATACCCCAAAAAGGACCAGGAACCCTAAACCCCAAACCCTAAACCCCAAACCCTGAGCAGCTACGGGCCCCGGTTAAAGGGTTAGGGGTTACAGGGCTTGCGGCTTCGGGGTGTTTAGGGCTCAAGGGTTCAGGGTTTAGGGGTCCAGAGTTTAACCGGTGACATTACAGTGCAGTTGGGCTGTTTCAGGGAGGTTCCCCAAAAGGTTCAGGTGAGCTGCTGGGTTGGGTAGATTCAAACCGGGTTTAGGGCACAGCTGAGCCAGCCCAAAACCCAAGACCCCACACCTTGCGTCCAGCGACCTTTGGCGTGGCTCACCGTGCCCTATCAGCGATGTCGAGTGTGGGGAAGCTTCGATTTTTTGAGCTGTGCTTCAGGTATATCGGGCCCCTTGTGTGCTTCAAAGTAAGGAAGGTTCATCCGAAACCCCGAATTCCTTTGAACCCCTCAGCCCCCAAGCATCTGATCTAGCCAACTGAGCCCCTTGAATCCCTAAATTCCCCTAAGCCCTCCAAGCCCCCCTCGACTTAAATCCCTAAGCACCATACAGCCCAAAGCCCCAAAACCTACGCCCCCTCAGACCCTATAATCCTCAGAACTCCCTACAGCCCTAAAACCTTAACACCCTCAGACTCTAGGACCCTAAATTCCTGAACCCCAGAACCCATGCCACCCTGGGTTTCTCTGGGACCTTAGAACTTCGAAGGCCCGGCACGATCGTGCTCCTTGATGCGATCCATCGGGGGAGATCAAGGCACTGCTCCGAGCTTTCGGAGAGTTTGCGGGTTGAGGCTCCTCTAGTTGTTCAGGGGTGTGAGAGGGCTTTACCGCGTAGGTAACCCGGAGAACATTTCCCGCGCTGATGATCGGGATCGTCTCTCTGGGCCGAGTCTCTGGGTCCAGTTCATAGAACAGCGCCGGTGACACTAGATGGAGGGGATGGATGGCACGATTTCAAGAGGCGCAAGGGATGCTTCTGTGGGGTTGTTCCGCAGCGTTGTGTAGCACCTACACCCCCCAAACCCCAAACCCCAAACCCCAAACCCCAAACCGCAGAATGCATGCCCCTGCCATCCGGGTGAAACCGTACACCTCAGAGCCCGAAACTCCAAACCAGGATCCCGACTTGAGCTTCGTCGTCAGAGTGGGCCATGGCGCTGAATGCTTGGCAGGCGCCCTTAAACCCGAAACCCCACCCCTCAGCCCTGACCCCCACCCCCCGTTTCCCGCATCCCTCTTCCAGGGGACCAACTTTTTGGGGATTCAGTGGGGTGTAGGGTGTAGGGGAAGGGTGGCTTCGGGTTTAGGGGTTAAGGTCTAGGGTTTAGGGGTTAGGGTTGATAGAAATTGTATAGGTTAGGTGTTTTGGGTTTTTGCTCTCTCTCTCTCTCTGTCTCTGTCTCTGTCTCTGTCTCTGTCTCTGTATCTGTATCTGTCTCTGTCTCTGTCTCTGTCTCTGTCTCTGTCTCTGTCTCTGTCTCTGTCTCTGTCTCTGTCTCTGTCTCTGTCTCTGTCTCTGTCTCTGTCTCTGTCTCTGTCTCTGTCTCTGTCTCTGTCTCTGTCTCTCTCTCTCTTTCTCTCTCTCTCTCGCTCTTTTGCTCTTTCTCTTGTGTATGGGGGTGGGGGAGGGCGGGGGAGTTGGGGGCTTGGCGGTTCGGCACCGGGGTTCGAGCGCCCAGAGGGGTTGATGGGCGCAGGACCCAGAAAAGCCCGGGGGTGCTGGTGCTTCTCGGGGCTGCAAGACCCAGAAAGCCCTTAGTTCAACACCTTGCATTCGCTTTTGAAAGACACCCTAAGTCCTATCGTTTTATGGGACAACCATGGTTAACGGATTTCCCTCACTTGGGCTGAGTACTTTGTGGGGAGCCTCCCTACCCGCCAGGGACCGAATACCTTCATCTTGTGGCGTGTAGGGTGTGTTTTTGGATACAATTCATGGCCTTCTTTAAACCCAGCCCCAAACACCCAAAGAGTCCATAAGCCCGAGCCTACCACACCCAAACCTCGAATCATAGGTTCCTATACCCCCCCCCCCCCCCAACCCACTTGAACCACCCAAACAACCCTTCTTTTTTTTTTGGCCTGGTTTCGGATTGGTGTTAAGCTGGGGGGTAGTATAGGGAATAGGACCGCCAGATTTGAGTTGTGGTGGCTGTAGCAGATCATTTCGGGGTGCGGGGGGGTAGGTGGGTGGGGGGGGGGTTGAGGGTGAAAAAGATCCTTGAAGCGCCCTAGGATCAGCTGCACCACGTGAGCGGGCCTTTGCAGCCAGGCGCGCTGCCTGAAAAGAGAGTTGAGTTTGGGGCTCTTACGCACGCCAGAGTTCTTTTCTTCAGGATTTATGCGCCCCAATAAACAATAAACCCTATAAACCCTAAACCTAAGCTTCCTCACACAGGCATCCAGGCATCACGGGCAGCAGAGGGACGCGGAAGCAGAGCAGCCCTTTATTTGCAGAGCAAAGGGCATCGGACACCATGCAAAAGGCCTTAAAGGCTATTCAGCTTGTTCTGGGGTTGAGGTTTTAGGTGTTAGGGTTTGGGTCTGAGTCACATGATCTGGGGGCATGTCCTGCTGACCATGCTCGGCATGCGCCGCAAGATACGACAATCCCTGGTAGTTGCAGGACTCCCATGAGAACAGGTACAGCAAACTTCTGAATTGACTGCGCCATGGCTATGGACATGTAGTGATTTTGCTTAAGCTAGAAAGGGGGGGGGTTGTTCAATAATGTTGCTGTGAATGGGTCTGCAAGGTGGCTTGGCCAGGCCGACATTGGCCACAGTTGCAAGGTTTTCTATTGGGCTGGATTTGCTCACTTTGTGCGCGCTTTTAAAATAGAGTTGAAGTACAAATCGAAGAACAAGGGTAAACTGTTTAAACCATATCAAAGAAACATATGAAACAGAAGTCCAGAAGTCGGTGGACACCTTCTAGCAGAAAAGGCAAAAAGCATGCACACGCTCAGGAAATGTTCAGTTCGAAGGCGCCCCCGCCCCCCACACCCCCAGCGGTGTCGCGCAAACTTTTCTAGACCCTAAAAGCCCTTAAAATCCTATAACCACTAGAAGCGCCTGCGTTCACGGACCCCCCAGCAATTTGATCTCTGGAACCTCTGAAGATCCTGAAGCATCCCCTTCCAGTTCACAAGACGTAAGAGCCCTTTAAAACAACCCCGCCATGCGCCTCCTGCGCCTGCTCTGTGTGGTCGCTGCGGCGGCCCTGTCGCCTGAGGAGCTCCGGGTTCTCAGGGAGCTCTTTCCGCAACACGAGGGGACGCCCTGCATGGGGCCAAAGGTGCAGTGCGAGCATGGCCACGTGGTGCAGCTCGACCTGAGCGAAATGGAGTTGAGGGAGGTCCCGGAGTGTTTGGGCAACTTGATGTGGCTGGAGCAGCTTGATTTGAACTCCAACCAGCTGCAGAGCATCCCCGAGTCGCTGGGCAGCTTGACGAGGCTGGGGAGGTTACATTTGAGCCGCAACTCGCTGAAGAGCATCCCAGAGTCACTGGGCAACTTGACGCAGCTGACATGGCTTGGTTTGAGGGACAACCAGCTGGAAAGCATGCCCGAGTCGCTGGGCAGCTTGACGAGGCTGGAGTGGCTGTATTTGGGCAACAACCAGCTGAAGATCATCCCAGAGTTGCTCGGCAGCTTGACGAGGCTGTTGGTCTTAGGTTTGAGCGACAACTGGCTGGAGAGCATCCCAGAGTCGATGGGACGCTTGACGAGGCTGGGGAGCTTAGATTTGAACGGCAACCAGCTGAAGAGCATCCCCGAGTCGTTGGGCAGCTTGACGCAGCTGAGGTGGCTTGGTTTGAGGCACAACCAGCTAGAAAGCATGCCCGAGTCGCTGGGCAGCTTGACGAGGCTGAGGTGGCTGTATTTGAGCCACAACCGGCTGGAGAGCATCCCCGAGTCGCTGGGAAGCTTGACGAGGCTGGAGGAACTTGATTTGAGCCACACCCAACTGAAGAATATGCCCGAGTCACTGGGCAGCTTGACGCGGCTGGAGCAGCTTTATTTGAGCAACAACTGGCTCAAGAGCATCCCAGAGTCGCTGGGAAGCTTGACGATGCTGAGGGAGCTTGACCTTCGCAGCAACAGCCTCGCAGAGCTGCCAGACGCATTTGGCAGGCTCGGTAGCTTAGAGGTTTTGCAGGCTGACAGGAACGTCCTTGCCGAGCTGCCCCAGAGTTTTGGACAGCTCGCCAACCTCAAGCGGCTCTATCTACAGCACAACAAGCTCCAAGATTTCGTCGCAGGTCCGGCTCTGCCGAGCCTTGAGGTGTTGCTTCTGCAAAGCAACCGGCTCCAAGCCATCGAGCAATTTTGTCAACTGCGGAACCTTACCACGCTATATCTACACAAAAACCGTCTTAGCGGCCGCATCCCACCGTGCCTGTCAGCCATGTCATCTCTAAGAGTTTTGACTCTGCATGAGAACCGCTTAACTGGAGAGATCCCCAGAGGGCTTCCGGCAATGGGCGTCTTGAAAGTCCTGACGCTCCATGAGAACAAGCTTTCCGGCCAAATTCCTGCAGATGTCGGGTCCTTTGCGCAGCTTGCGTTCCTGTCAGCGCACGCAAATGCTCTATCAGGGCCAGTTCCAGAGCTGAACTTAACAGACGGCTGCACGAACGACGACTCTTTCAGCATGATCGTCGAGCACGCCGTTCTCGGCCCCAGGGAGTTCACATGTGCAAGCCCCATATTACCAGTGGTGTGGACGGCCCAGAAACAGAAGCAGATGTTCCAGGATGCTTGCCCGGAGCGTGTGCATATGTGTGAAAAGGCTTCTGCGAGAGGCCCAACGCTTCTCCTGCACGGCAATCGCTTGTCCTGTGGAGCTCCTCGCGACGTAACTGCTGTTCCGGAATCCTTGAGATCGTTGGTAGTCATCGGCAACATGTTGGGGGATCCATCAAAGAAGTTGCCGGACTGGGTTGCAAAGGTGGAGCAGCAACCGTTCCTCTACGTCTCTGTCTCCACTGCGCACCGTTTATGCTGGCACTTTGCAGCTTTGGCGCTATTTTTTGCAGGGGCGTGGCGCTTTGTTCTGGGCAGCTGGCACCACCTGCAAATCAGAGAGGCGCTCGAGGACGAAACTGAGATTTCTCACCGATTTCTCGTCAGGGCAAGTGGTCTCTTCGCCCCTCTCGCACTGGTGCTGTTTTGTCTCTATGTGTTTGGATCATTTTACTACGATGGGTGTGGAGACGATTTCCTGAAGAGCACCGTTGCCTACTTCCAGAGTCCAGAATGCGAACTATGGCTTGGCTGCACGTGGTCCGTTTGGAGCTTAGGCTCCGCGTGGCTCTTGCGGCACGTGCCAAAGCCTAAGAAACACCCCGGCCCAGGCCGCCCGAGCGCCAAGACCTGCAAGGCGCTCTGGTGGATTGTATGGCTGGGGTTGGTTCTTCTCCTGTCGGCGCCCTCCATGGCTTACGCCTTCATGAGCACGCTACCACAGCAAAACCAGCTCCTGACGAGGCCCTGGGTGCTGTGGGTCATCAAGAATCAAGCTGCCTTAGTCATGATGCTTGTGGACATGCTTGTCACGCCAAAGTTGGCCGCCCTGATGTCGCAGCGGTCGCGCATCCGCCGATCGATGCTTCTCATGGCTTCTCGGACAGCCACCATGTGGCTCAACGCCGCTCTCTACACGATCTACCTCAGCGAGCACTGCCAGCGTGGGTGGACGAGGTATTGGAATGTCTGCAATGTGGCTTCCGAGGAGTACAAGGAGTTCAACATCAGTTTGGGAGAGCATCAACTTCTTGAGCCCGTCGCCGACTTATGCGGTCAGAACGATCAGTGGTGGGCCACTGACGCTTGCGCGAGGTCTGTGGTGGGCACTCTGGCCCCGCTGCTCCTGAGCAAGATGATCCAGCGTGCCTTGCTGCAACCGGTGATAACGGTGGTGCTGTGGAAGCTCTCCGCCAAGGAAGACGGCTCACTCTACCTCACTCCGCTGCGGTTTCTGGGTGTCCGATGGAAGATGTGCACCAGCCGAAACCTCGACAGAGCGCAGCAGGCAACCTTCTTGGTCACTTTGGCAGAGGTGCTGCTGATCTGGGCCCCCTTGATCCCACTGTTGCTGCCCGCAGCGGCCCTTGCGGTCACGCTGAACCTGCGCGTCTTCCGCGTGGGGCAGCACGTCTTCGGAGCCGACGTGCCAGAATTGGAAGAGGGCGAGACAGCAAGCATGTCCAGGAAATACATGATGGCCAGCGTGGTGGTGCTCTTTCTCTTTCAGAACTGGTTCGCCTGGACATCCGAGAAGTCCGGCATGTGGCTGCTGAGCCTTGCGAGCTGCCTGGCGGTCGGCCTCATGGGCAGCATGGCCAGCACGGCTGGAAGTCCTGGTGCCCCTGAGGAGGGGTCTGTGGAGTTGGCGGCCCTGGGGCCAAGCGCATGAAGCGCTTCCTTGGCTCCAGTGAAAGCCGGATCGCCCTGAATCCCGATGGAAGGCACCCTGTGCGGATTCTGTCCATCAAAGCCCAGCTCGCCCCAGCGGACTCTCGAAATTGTGGGGTTTAGGCTCCAGGGGTTCCTACAAGAGGGGCGAGAAAAATTTGGGGTGTGGGAGTTATAGTTTCGGGCGTTTGGGGCTTCTCTGGCAAGTTCTTTTAAGTGACAAAGTGGGGCCTTATCTTTGGGGCACCCCAACAAGGGACTGTATGTCGAGAAGGTGCGGGCCTGGGTCAAAGGGTTCAGGGTTACAGGGCTTCCGGCTTCGGAGGTTAGGGCCGGTTAGGGTGTTTAGGACTCAAAGGGTTCAGGGCTGGCCATTGGGTTCCGAGTGTCGGGGCTTGGGCAGATTCTGAATCCTGGGTTTAGGGCACGGTTTAGCCGCGTGTGCTTGAACAGCAGAGAAAACTCATCCGAAACCGATCTAATCCACCGAATCCCTGAACGGCAAAACCCGACAAATGCTTAAACCCCTAAGCTCGTACGAGCCCGAACCTTATTAACCCTTTAGAACCTCTAAACCTTGCAAACCTCTACCCAATCCCCAAACCACGAACTCCAAACCCTCCAAATCCCCAGATTTGAAATCCCTCAGCACTAGACACCCTACGCCCCAAATCCTGCGCCTCTTTAGACCCCAGACTCCCAAGAACTCCAGGATCCAGAGTGGCCCCATTTGCGCAAACAACCTAAGCCCTCAAACCCTCAAACCCAATCACCCGAAATTCCTAAACTCCAAATCCCATGTTACACAGAACCTGAGTTACTCTGGGACCTTAGAACTTCGAAGGCCGGGCACAATCCTGCTCCTTGATGCCTTGATGCGATATCGAGGAGGGGGGATCAAGGCGCTGCTCCGCGCGTGTTTAGGGGGTTTAGGGTTTAGGGTTTAGGGTTTAGGGTTTAGGGTTTAGGGTTTAGGGTTTAGGGTTTAGGGTTTAGGGTTTAGGGTCCTCGAGTTGCCCTCAGGGGTGAGGGCTTGAGCGCGTAGGGAGCCCGGCCCTCCGGGGTTTGTAGTTCATAGAACATCCTCGAGGCGCCCTTCTTGCACCCCCCCTTTGGAAAAAAGAGAAGTCTAGTGGCAGGCTTCTTCCGCGTCGTCTTGAACCCCGGTAGATCCCTTTGCAAACCCTCTTTGCCGCTACCGACCTTGACCCCCCCCAGACTGTAAATCATGCCGTTTTCGGATACCTCCTTTGATGATTGACTCCTCAGAACGCTATAGGAACCCCCCCCCCCCCCTTTCCCTTTAAAGAAGGGCAGCGGTTACAATCGTTGCGTGTAGGAAAGCCCCCAGCAGCGTGGAGCCCGCCAGGCCGAGATCACGGCCCATGCGCGCTGGCTCTGCGGCAGTCTTCCAGAGAGGACCTTCATCACCTCCAGGCCTGAATCCGAAGGGTGTACCCCAAACCCCAAACCCCGCAGAATGCATACCCAGGCTATCCGGTTCAGAAAACCCTACACCTCAGAGCCCAAAACTCCAAACCAGGATCCCGACTTCGGCCTCGCCATCAGCGTGGGTGAAGACACGGCGCTGAATGTTTTTTGCAGGCGCGCTGGCACTCAGCCCAAAGCCCTAAACGCTCGAACCCTGCAAGCCCCAACCAAACTCACCCGACTCTTTGACATGAGGCGAAGGATGACTATTTGTGGGGGAGTTGGAGGTTCTGTTTGTTGAGGACCCGAACCCTCAGCCCTGAGTGTGCCCTGAAGCTTGGAGGGACTGCAAGGGTTTCGGAGTTTTGGCCAAAAACCGAAGGACCCTAAATTTTTGGGGTTTAGGGTTTAGGGTGCCAATGCCCCTGAGCATTGAGCATCCTCGCTCAGGTCGAACCAGTCGAAGGAACCGTGTCGCTCCACCATTCGCGGTGGTGACAGACAAGGTGCGGCTGCAAGCGTTAAGGGCATAGGGTTTATAGGCCTCGCTGGAAGTTTCATGGCTACGTACATAATGGAGAGGTGAACTAGAGTACTTGTGGCTGCATTTAGAGCTTAGAGAACCCTTGCTTTGACCTCCAGCTACACAATGAGCCTTCAAGTAGCTTTAGAGAATCGGGTCTAGGCCTGTATCGCTGAACCCCAAACCCCCTAAACAGGCTTGGGCTTTTGTCTCTGTTTGGCGGAGGGCTTAGGGTTTGGGATTCCAAGCCCTCGCGCTTGGCCAACTCTGAACCCTCCAGGGCCCCTCGGACCCTAAAGCTGAAACCCCATAAACCCTAAACCCTCCGGCCCTCCGCCCTGGTCTGGCCTGCCTGCCCCTCCCCTGACTCTGGCCTCTTCTTGGGCCCCGTCTAGGTTTGAAGCGTTTTTGAAGGTGGGAACTGGGGACAGCCCTAAACCCTAAAAGGTAGTGGTTTGGGCGGTGGCCTGTGACAGCTCACAGCGGGAGGGAGAAAAGAAACCAATGACAGTTGTTCGACTGCATTGGACATCTGTGCCTTCGCGTGACATGCGGCCCCCCCCCCCCCCCCACACCGTGTGTAGGGGCGCCGTTTCCATGTGGTACTTACTGCCGCTGCGCGGCGAGACGCCCTAAACCCTAAACCCTAAACCCTAGCCCTAAACCCTAAACCCTAAACCCTAAACCCTAAACCCGAAACCCGATACATCCCTAAACCCTAAACTCTTAACCCGCCCTTCTGGTCCTGCGCCGAAGGCCCGGGAAGAGCCAACGCTAACCCCCCGTTGCGAAGCCTGAGGCCTAAAACCCTGAAGCCTGGATTTACGAAGAGGATCAACTCCTTTACAGAATTTTGCAGGGCTTGTACACCCTCGTCGAGTATCGTGTGGCCGGTGTGGGTTGAACTACCCCTTAACCCCCCCCCCCCCCCTCCTAAAATTCAGGGCTTGCATCGGTGAGCCCCGACCCCAAAACCCTGGAGACCCCCAAGCCCTAAACCCTAAACCCTAAACCCTAAACCCTAAACCCTAAACCCTAAACCCTAGACCCTAAACCCTAAACCCTAACCCCCAAACCCTGGAGACCCTCAAAATGGGCGCCAGCATCGAGTCGGGGGGGGGGGGGGGGGGAGGTGGGGGGGCAAGCATGTCTCCAGTTTTGGGGCCATGCCTGGGCCTTCGCTCGGTTTTGGTTTGGGGTTTGGGGTTTGGGGTTTGGGGTTTGGGGTTTGGGGTTTAGGGTTTAGGGTTTAGGGTTTAGGGTTTAGGGTTTAGGGTTTAGGGTTTGGGTTTATGGGGTTTGGGGTTGAGGGTTGACCGGCTTGGGGGTTCCCTGGTTCCAGGGAGACTCGCCAGAGGCCTCCCGGACCTGGCTGGGACCTTGCCCCCCCTTCCCGTTCTTGTGAATCGCTTTGGCGCCTTTTTTTTATATATCTTTTTTGCTCTTTTTTTTGCAAGAGGATGACGTGCATCATTCGAGGGACCGCCACCAGGCTTCGCTGTCAGATCCTGGGCCTGGGCGGAGGGGAGGCCAGCCATTAGGGAGATCGAAGAGAAGGTGCTATGAGACCCCCCCAAAGAGGGATGCACCGCTTTACCCGAAGTTTTGGGGTATCTCATTCTACGGGCGAGCTGACGGGTTTTCGCCACTGACCTGCCGGATCGCCGGCGCCAGCTGGAGTGCTTCTGGCTGCGCAGCTCCCTTGCCGCTTCGGAGCGTTCGCCCTGCCCGACGGCCCCGGGCTCACTGGGGTTTAGGTGCGCTACACCCTACATCTCAGCTAGCCCACCTCCTCATTTGCTTGATGCCCCTCAAGGTTTAGATTTAGGGTTTAGATTTTAGCCCCAAACCCCACACCCCTGACCAAGAGCCAAAGCCAACTGCAATTCCTGGAAGGTGAACGCAAGGAATGCAGGCGGCGAGTCTGCCTATGACATGGCCAGCTGGCCTTGATTTTGGGTTGGGCCGTGTTTGGTTTGGCGGCTGCTTTGAAGAATACAAAGTGCTTGGTGTTTAGGGCTTTCGATGTTCGTGGCGGCGTCGGGACTTAGTTTCTTTGTGAACTGAGCATTAACACCGGTTGACGATCTAGAATTCGCATGAGTTTGGAATCATCCCTCCTAATAGTAACCCAGCCCCCCGGCATCTCATGGCGCGCTCGACTTCAGTGATCCAACCTTTCTAAAAGCATGGCAGATGCTGGAAGTCCTGCATGTTCCACAGCGCCTCAGGCTTCGATCGGACGGTGATTTGCAACGTGCAGTGCTTGGACAGTCCTGGGCTGTTGGTGCACGCTGCTGGATGCTGCTGGCGAATGCTGGAGAGAGGCTGCGCGTCAAAAGTCGTACCCCTGCTTCCTGTACTCGCCGTGCAGCGGCCTGTCCTAGCAGGGTACCTCTGCACATCTCTGAAACTTGATCTTTGGACCCTCTGAAGATACTGAAGCTCAAGCCCTTCCGGTTCACAAGCCGCAAGAGCCCTCAACAGCAACCCCCGGCATGTCATCCCTCCTGCGCCTGCTCTGTGTGGTCGCTGCGGCGGCCCTGTCGCCTGAGGAGCTCCGGGTTCTCAGGGAGCTCTTTCCGCAACACGAGGGGACGCCCTGCATTGGGCCACAGGTGGAGTGCAAGCAAGGCCACTTGGTGCGGCTCGACCTGAGTGATTTCAAGTTGAGGGAGGTGCCGGAGTCTTTGGGCGAACTGATGTGGCTGGAGCAGCTTGATTTGTCCTACAACCAGCTGAAGAGCATACCAGAGTGGCTGGGCAGCTTGACGAGGCTGAAGAGGCTGTTTTTGAACGACAACCAGCTGGAGAGCATCCCCGAGTCGCTGGGCAACTTGACGCAGCTGACGTGGCTGCGCTTGACACACAATCAGCTAGAGAGCATCCCAGAGTCGCTGGGCAGCTTGACGCAGCTAACGTTGCTTTATTTGAACGACAACCAGCTGGAGAGCATCCCCGAGTCGCTGGGCAGCTTGACGAGGCTGGAGAGGCTATTTTTGAACGACAACCAGCTGGAGAGCATCCCCGAGTCGCTGGCCAACTTGACACAGCTAGCGTGGCTGCGCTTGACACACAACCATTTAGAGAGCATCCCAGAGTCGCTGGGCAGTTTGCCGCAGCTGGCGTGGCTTTATTTGAACGACAACCAGCTGGAAAGCATCCCTGAGTCGCTGGGCAGCTTGACGCAGCTGACGTGGCTTTATTTGAACGACAACCGGCTCAAGAGCATCCCAGAGTCGCTGGGCAGCTTGACGAGGCTGGAGAGGCTATGTTTGAACGACAACCAGCTGAACAGCATTCCCGAGTCGCTGGGCAGCTTGACGTGGCTCAGGCACCTTTATTTGAGCTACAACCGGCTGGAGAGCATCCCAGAGGCGCTCGGCAGCTTGACGCGACTAGAGCAGCTCTATCTGAGCAACAACCAGCTGACGAGCATTCCCGAGTCGCTGGGAAGCTTGACGATGCTGAGGGAGCTTGACCTTCGCAGCAACAGCCTCGCGGAGCTGCCAAGCGTAATTGGCAGGCTCGGTAGCTTGGTGGTTCTGCAGGCTGACAGGAACGTCCTTGCCGAGCTGCCCCAGAGTTTAGGACAGCTCGCCAACCTCAAGCGGCTTTATTTACAGCACAACAAGCTCCAAGATTTCGTCGCAGGCCTGGCTCTGCCAAGCCTTGAGGTGTTGCTTCTGCAAAGCAACCGGCTCCAAGCCGTCGAGCAATTTTGTCAACTGCGGAACCTTACCACGCTGTATCTACACAAAAACCATCTGAGCGGCCGCGTCCCACCGTGCCTGTCAGCCTTGTCATCTCTCAGAGTTTTGACTCTGCATGAGAACCGCTTGACTGGAGAGATCCCCACGGGGCTTCCGGCAATGCGGTTCTTGAAAGTCCTGACGCTCCATCAGAACAAGCTGTCCGGCCAAATTCCTGCAGATATCGGGTCGTTTACGCAGCTTGCGTTCCTGTCAGCGCACGCAAATGCCTTAACAGGACCAGTTCCAGAGCTGAACTTAACAGACGGCTGCACGAACGACGACTCTTTCAGCATGATTGTGGAAGACGCTGTGTACGGCTCCATGGCGTTCACATGTGCAGGCCCCATATTACCATACCTGTGGACGGCCCAGAAACAGAGGCAGATGTTCCGACATGCTTGCCCGGAGCGTGCTCATACGTGTGAAAAGGCTTCTGCAAGAGGCCCAACGCTTCTCCTGCACAGCAATCGCTTGTCTTGTGGAGCTCCTCGCGACGTAACTGCTGTCCCGGAATCCTTGAGATCGTTGGTAGTCATCGGCAACATGTTGGGCGATCCATCAACGAAGTTGCCGGACTGGGTCGCAAAGGTGGAGCAACAACCGTTCCTTTACGTGTCCATCTCCACTGCGCGCCTGTTGTACTGGCGCTTTGCAGCTTTGGCGCTGTTTTTTGCTGGGGTTTGGCGCTTTGTTCTGGGCAGTTGGCACCACCTGCAAATCAGAGAGGCGCTCGAGGACGAAACTGAAATCTCTCACCGATTTCTCGTCACGGCAAGTGGTCTCTTCGCCCCTCTCGCACTGGTGCTGTTTTGTCTCTATGTCTTTGGATCGTTTTACTACGATGGGTGTGGAGACGATTTCCTGAAGAGCACCGTTGCTTACTTCCAGAGTCCGGAATGCGAACCATGGCTTGGCTGCACGTGGTCCGTTTGGAGCTTAGGCTCCGCGTGGCTCTTGCGGCACGTGCCAAAGCCTAAGAAACACCCCGACCCAGGCCGCCTGAGAGCCAAGACCTGCAAGGCGCTCTGGTGGATTGTATGGCTGGGGTTGGTTCTTCTCCTGTCGGCGCCCTCCATGGCTTACGCCTTCATGAGCACGCTACCACAGCAAAACCAGCTCCTGACGAGGCCCTGGGTGCTGTGGGCCATCAAGAATCAAGCTGCCTTGGTCATGATGCTTGTGGACATGCTTGTCACGCCAAAGTTGGCCGCCATGATGTCGCAGCGGTCGCGCATCCGCCGATCGATGCTTCTCATGGCTGCTCGGACAGCCACCATGTGGCTCAACGCTGCTCTTTGCACGATCTACCTCAGTGAGCATTGCCAGCGTGGGTGGACGAGGTATTGGAATGTCTGCAATGTAGCTTCCGAGGAGTACAAGGAGTTCAACATCAGCTTGGGGGAGCATCAACTTCTTGAGCCCGTCGCCGACTTATGTGGTCAGAACGACCGGTGGTGGGCCACGGACGCTTGCGCGAGGTCTGTGGTGGGCACTCTGGCCCCACTGCTCCTGAGCAAGATGATCCAGCGTGCCTTGCTGCAACCGGTGATAACGGTGCTGCTGTGGAAGCTCTCATTCAAGGAAGACGGCTCACTCTACCTCACTCCGCTGCGGTTTCTGGGTGTCCGATGGAAGATGTGCACCAGCCGAAACCTCGACAGAGCGCAGCAGGCAACCTTCTTGGTCACTTTGGCAGAGGTGCTGCTGATCTGGGCCCCCTTGATCCCACTGTTGCTGCCTGCAGCGGCCCTTGCGGTCACGCTGAACCTGCGCGTCTTCCGCGTGGGGCAGCGCGTCTTCGGAGCCGACGTGCCAGAATTGGAAGAGGGCGAGACGGCAAGCATGTCCAGGAAATACATGATGGCCAGTGTGGCGGTGCTCCTAATCTTTCAGAACTGGTTCGCCTGGACCTCCGAGAAGTCCGGCATGTGGCTGCTGAGCCTTGCGAGCTGCCTGGCGGTCGGCCTCATGGGCAGCATGGCCAGCACGGCTGGAAGTCCTGGTGCCCCTGAGGAGGGGTCTGTGGAGTTGGCGGCCCTGGGCCCAAGCGCTTGAAGGCTTTTAAGGGCCTTGGCTCCAGCAAAAGAAGGATCAACTGAATCCCGATGGAAGGCACCCTGTGCGGATTCTGTACATCAAAGCCGCGCTCGCCCTAGCGCACAGGCGCAGCCCCCAGTGGCCAGTTCTCTGGAAGTTGTGTGGTTTAGGCTCCAGGGTTGGTTCAGAGTAGCTGAGTAGCCATGAGTTGGGCTATAACAACCGCAAGCAAAGTCATGACCAGCTATAACTATAGTGTCTCTACGGGGGTGCAGGGTTTAGGGGCGAGACATTTTGGGGTTTGGGATTTGGGGTTTCGGGAGTTTAGGGCTTCCATGCGCCAGTTCTGTAAGCGATGGTTCCTTTAAAGGGGTTTCGGTGACAATGCAGTGCGCCTTTTACTTGGGTACCCCAAGGAGGGGACCGTAATGACCGTACGTCGAGAAGCTACCGGCCTCGGTGGGTTCGGGGTTACAGGGCGGCTTCGGAGGTTTGGGTGTTATGGAGTTTAGGGTTTAGGGTTTAGGGTTTCAAGGGTTCAAGGTTCCCCAAAAGGTTCAAGTGAGCTGCTGGGTTTGGGCAGATTCTGAATCCTGGGCTCAGCGTACAGGTCAGCCTCTTAGTCCCTGAAAGCCCCCAAAAATGCAATTTGGATCGAGCGACCTTTGGTGTTATATAGGCTGACCGGGCCATATAAGCCACATGCAGCGTAGGGAAGCTTCGCTTTGAGCTGTGCTTCCGGTATGTCGGGCCCCCTCGTATGATTCGAAAGCAGAGGGGGGTTCGTCCGGAACCGATCTAATCCACTGAATCCCTGAACGGCCAAAGCTCGTATAAACCCCAAACCCTATGCACCCTTAAACCCTGCAAGCTTTCGGAAACCTCTACTGAATCCCCAAACCACCAACTCCAAACCCTCCAAACCCCTAGACCTAAACTTCTAAGTGGTATGCAGCCGAACACCCTGACACCCTGACCTTAAAATCCTAAACCCCCCCCCCCCCAAATCCCATATTTAAACCGGTGCTACTCTGGGACCTTGGGGCATCGAAGGCCCGGCACGATCCTGCGCCCTGATGCGGTAGCGAGGGAGATCAAGGCGCTGCCCCGAGCGCGTTTAGGGATTTTAGGGTTTTTGGGTTTAGGGTCCTCTAGTTGTTTCAGGGGTGTCAGGGCGTGTCCATCATAGGAAGTTCTCGATGGTTTGATGATGTAAAGAATGGCTCCTAAACCCTGAACCCTGAACCCTAAACCTTAAACCCTAAACCCTAAACCCTAAACCCTGAACCCTGAACCCTAAACCCTAAACCAACCCTAAGCCCTAGGACAATTTTAGCCCCAGGCGCCCTTGGCACGGCCTCTGGGAAGGAGAGGTCCATGAGGCTTGCTAACGGTTTAGGGTTTAGGGTTTAGGGTTTAGGGTTTAGGGTTTAGGGTTTAGGGTTTAGGGTTTAGGGTTTAGGGTTTAGGGTTGTTTAGGGTTTAGGGTTTAGGGCCCTTTACACCCCGTAACAAAGGGGCCTTAATCGTTTTGGGGGTTGGTATAGCATCATTTTACAGGGGCCACAAGGAAGACTGTTCGTAGTTTTTCCGACCCCTATATGTTCAACACCTTTATAAACTCTCTATGCCCCACTGTGACCCTAAACCCTAAACCCTAAACCCTAAACCCTAAACCCTAAACCCTAAACCCTAAACCCTAAACCCTAAACCCTAAACCCTAAACCCCCCCCCCCCCCCCGCAAATGCTTTTTCGGATAATTCGTTTGTTATTTAAGTCATCCAAGCACTAGGCTCCCCTTCAAAGAAGAGAAGAGGAAACAAGCATTGGGTTTAGGGTTTAGGGTTTAGGGTTTAGGGTTTAGGGTTTAGGGTTGAGGGTTGAGGGTTTAGGGTTTAGGGTTGAGGGTTTAGGGTTTAGGGTTTAGGGTTTAGGGTTTAGGGTATGCCCCCCAGCAGCGTTTAGCCACACCAGGCCGAGAGATCACGGCCCATGCGCGTGATTGGCTCTCTGCGGTCTCCCCACAGAGGACCTTCATCACCCCGAAGGGTGTAGGGGCCTTTAGAGTCTGGGGTTTAGGGTTGAGGGTTGTAGGGTCTGTAGGGTTTAGGGTTCAGAGCTGAGGGTTCGGGGCTAAGGGTTTTGGGGTAAGGCGTCCGGCGTCCGCAGCGCCGGTGACATCAGATGGAGGGTATGATGGCACGATTTCAAGAAGCGCAAGGGATGCTTGTGGGGTTGTGCCGCAGTGTGGTGTAGCACCTACCCCCCCCCCCCAAACACCAAACCGCAGAACGCATGAAAATGGCATACTTGAAGGTTCATGGTACTCAATAACCAAGTATAACTGTACTTATAACCCACTTATAAGCCCCTTAAGTGCCCTAATATGGTTGTAAGTACAGTGATAAGTACAGTTAATAAGCACCATGAACCTCCAGGCAGAGCCCAAAAGTCCAAACCAGGATCCCGACTTGGGCCTCGCCATCCCGAACATCACACTGCAGCCGACTCTTTGACATGAGGCTACGGAGGCCTACTGGGGGGGAGCCTTGGGTCCTAGGTGCTCAGTGTGCCCTGAACCTTCGAGTACAGGGTAGCAAGGGTTTCGGAGGTTCTTGGTGGCCTGGGACTGAGGGGCCCTGCATGTCTTTCTTCCCGCCAATGCCCCCGAGCATCCTCACTTTCTCCTCTCTGTCTTCCGGAGGTCGAACCAGGAAGGGAACCGTGTCGCTCCACCATTCAGCAGTGGTGACAGACAAGGTGCGGCTGCAGCCATTCAGGGCATTGGGTTTAGGGCTCGCGTGAAGGTTAAAGTTCCGTAAACCCTCTGAGCCCCAAACCCACAAAAGGGATCTGCCACAACCAAAAGCTCAGAGCCCTTTAAAGTCCTGTGATCCTATGCTCTCTAAAACGAAAAGACCTACTTGAAGGCTCATCGGTAGCTAAAGTTCAAAGCGAGGTTCCAAATGCAGCCACGCCTTTAGCGTTGCGTGTCAATAGTCCTAAGTGCCTCTGAACATCTCTGAAACTTGATCTCTTGGAGCATCCGAAGATCTTGAAACTCAAGCATCCACGCTGAGTCCCCCTCACAAGACGCAAGAGCGCAAAACAACCCATGCGCCTCCTTCGGCGCCTGCTCTGCGTGGTCGCTGCAGTGGCCCTGTCGCCTGAGGAGCTCCGGGTTCTCCGGGAGCTCTTTCCGCAACACGCGGGGACGCCCTGCCTGGGGCGCAGGGTCGAGTGCAAGCAGGGCCACTTGGCGCGGCTCGACCTGAGTGATTCGGAGTTGCGGGAGGTGCCTGAGTCTTTGAGCGAACTGACGTGGCTGGAGCAGCTTTATTTGAGGCAGAATCAGCTGAAGAGGATCCCTGATTCGCTGGGCAGCTTGACGAGGCTGACGGAGCTTGACTTGAGTCACAACACGCTGGAGAGCATCCCCGAGTCGATCGGAAGGTTGAGGAAGCTGAGGCATCTTGATTTGAACAACAACCAGCTGAAGAGCATCCCAGAGTCACTGGGCAACTTGACGCAGCTGACGTGGCTTGCTTTGAGCGACAACCAGCTGAAGAGCATTCCCGAGTCGACGGGCTGCTTGATGAGGCTGGAGAAATTAGATTTGAACGACAACCGGCTGGAGAGCATCCCCGAATCACTGGGCAGCTTGACGTTGCTGGATAAGCTTTACTTGAGCGGTAATTGGCTGGAGAGCATCCCAGAGTCGCTGGGCAGCTTGGCGCAGCTGACGCGGCTTCATTTGGCTCGCAACCAGCTGGAGAGCATCCCAGAGTCGCTAGGCAACTTGACGAGGCTGACGGAGCTTGACATGAGCCACAACCAGCTGAAGAGCATCCCTGAGTCGATGGGCAGCTTGACGAGGCTGAAGCAGCTTGGTTTGAACGACAACCGGCTGGAGAGCATTCACAAGTCGATGTGCAGTTTGACGAGGCTGGAGAAGCTTCATTTGAGGGCAAACCAGCTGAAGAGCATCCCTGAGTCGCTGGGCAGCTTGACGCACCTCATGCTCCTTTATTTGAGCCGCAACCAGCTGAAGAGCATCCCAAAGTCGACTGGCAGCTTGACGAGGCTGTGGAGCCTGGATTTGCACGACAACTGGCTAGAGAGCATCCCAGAGTCGCTGGGCAGCTTGAGGCAGCTGGAGGTGCTTTTTTTGAGCCGTAACCAGCTGACGAGCATCCCCGAGTCGCTGGGCAGCTTGAGGAGGCTGGACAGTTTGTATTTGAACCACAACCGGCTGGAGACCATCCCCGAGTCGCTGGGCAACTTGACACGGCTGAAGAGGTTTAACGTGAGGCGCAACCAGCTGAAGAGCATCCCCGAGTCGCTGGGCAGCTTGACGCAACTGAGGGAGCTTGACCTTCGCCACAACTTCCTCGCACAGCTACCTGACGCTATTGGCAGGCTCGGTAGCTTGGTGGTTTTGCAGGCTGACAGGAACGTCCTTAGCGAGCTGCCCCAGAGTTTTGGACAGCTTGCAAGCCTCAAGTGGCTTGCACAACAAGCTCCAAGATTTCGTAACAGGCCTGCCAAGCCTTGAGGTGTTGCTTCTGCAAAGCAACAGGCTCCAAGGCAACATCGAACAGTTTTGTCAACTGCGGAAACTTACCACGCTGTATCTACACAAAAACTATCTGAGCGGCCGCATCCCACCGTGCCTATCAGTTGTGTCATCTCTAACAGTACTGACTCTACATGAGAACCGCTTATCTGGAGAGATCCCCACGGGGCTTCCGGCAATGCGGTTCTTGAAAGTCTTGACGCTCCATCAGAACATGCTGTCCGGCCAAATTCCTGCAGATGTCGGGTCCTTTGCGCAGCTTGCGTTCCTGTCAGCGCACGCAAATGCTTTAACAGGGCCTGTTCCAGAGCTGAACCTATCAGACGGCTGCACGAACGACGACTCTTTCAGCATGATTGTGGAAGACACTACTTCGGGCTCCATGGAGTTCACATGTGCAAGCCCCATGTTACAGTACCAGTTGGACCTGTCGGGCCAGAAGCAGAGACAGATGTTCCAGGATGCTTGCCCGGAGCGTCTGCGCACGTGTGAAACGGCTTCGGCGAGAGGCCCAACGCTTCTCCTGCACAGCAATCGCTTGTCTTGTGGAGCTCCTCGCGATGTAACTGCTGTTCCGGAATCCTTGAGATCGCTGGTAGTCATCGGCAACATGCTGGGGGATCCATCCGCGCAGTTGCCGGACTGGGTCGCAAAGGTGGAGCAGCAACCGTTCCTCTACGTCTCTGTCTCCACTGTGCGCCTTTTGTGCTGGCGCTCTGCAGCTTTGGCGCTGTTTTTTGCTGGGGTTTGGCGCTTTGTTCTGGGCAGCTGGCACCACCTGCAAATCAGAGAGGCGCTCGAGGACGAAACTGAAATTTCTCACCGATTTCTCGTCACGGCAAGTGGTCTCTTCGCCCCTCTCGCGCTGGTGCTGTTTTGTCTCTATGTGTTTGGATCGTTTTACTACGATGGGTGTGGAGACGATTTCCTGAAGAGCACAGTTGCCTACTTCCAAAGTCCAGAATGCGAACTATGGCTTGGCTGCACGTGGTCCGTTTGGAGCTTAGGCTCTGTGTGGCTCTTGCGGCATGTGCCGAAGCCTAAGAAACGCCACGGCGCACGACCGGGCTACCCGAGCGCCAAGACCTGCAAGGCGCTCTGGTGGATTGTTTGGCTGGGGTTGGTTCTTCTCCTGTCGGCACCCTCCATGGCTTATGCCTTCATGAGCACTCTACCACAGCAAAACCAGCTCCTGACCAGGCCCTGGCTGCTATGGGCCATCAAAAATCAAGCTGCCTTGGTCATGATGCTGGTGGACATGCTTGTCACACCAAAGTTGGCCGCCATGATGTCGCAGCGGTCGCGCATCCGCCGATCGATGCTTCTCATGGCCGCCCGGACATCCACCATGTGGCTCAACGCCGCTCTTTGCACGATCTACCTCAGCGAGCACTGCCAGCGTGGGTGGACGAGGTATTGGAACGTCTGCAATGTAGCTTCCGAGGAGTACAAGGAGTTCAACATCAGCTTGGGAGAGCATCAACTCCTTGAGCCCGTCGCCGACTTATGCGGTCAGAACGATCAGTGGTGGGCCACTGACGCTTGCGCGAGGTCTGTGGTGGGCACTCTGGGCCCGCTGCTCCTGAGCAAGATGATCCAGCGTGCCTTGCTGCAACCGGTGATAACGGTGGTGCTGTGGAAGCTCTCTGTCAAGCAAGACGGTTCACTCTACTTCGCTCCGCCTTGGTTTCTGGGTGTCCGATGGAAGATGTGCACCAGCCGAAACCTCGACAGGGCGCAGCAGGCAACCTTCCTGGTGACATTGGCAGAGGTGTTGCTGATCTGGGCCCCCTTGATCCCTCTGTTGCTGCCGGCAGCGGCTCTTGCGGTCACGCTGAACCTGCGCGTCTTCCGTGTGGGGCAGCACGTCTTCGGAGCCGACGTGCCAGAATTAGAAGAGGGCGAGACAGCCAGCATGTCCAGGAAATACATGATGGCCAGCGTGGTGGTGCTCTTGCTCTTTCAAAACTGGTTCGCCTGGACCTCCGCGAAGTCTGGCATGTGGCTGCTGAGCCTTGCGAGCTGCCTAGCGGTCGGCCTCATGGGCAGCATGGCCAGCACGGCGGGAAGTCTTGGTGCTGCTGAGGAGGAGTCCATGGAGTTGGCGGCCCTGGGGCCAAGCGCTTGAAGCACTTTGAAGGGCTTTGAAGGGCCTTGGTTCCAGCGAAAAAGTACAACCCTGAATTCCGATGGAAGGCCCCTGGCCGGATTCCAACAGAGCCCAGCCTGCCCTCGGACGGGCGCACCCCCCCGTGGCTGGTTCTCAGGAAATTGTGGCATTTAGGTCAGGACCAACTATAACGAAAGTTTCTCTACTACTGGTGGGGGGAGGGGGGTTTTAACTAGCATCGCTCTGTGACACATCGTCACATCGATCGGCGTGCCGCGCTGTCAGCCTGGGAAGGGTAGACAGCTTCAAGCCTTTTTGGCCGCAAGGGGTCTTAAGTAAGGGTCTTGGCTTCAGCCCCCCCGCCCCCCCCCACCCCCCCCGTGGGGGGCCTGATTCAAGTTCAAGACAGTGCTACATGAAACAAGCGACATTTTCCCTAAACCCGTAGGGAAACCCTAAACCCGATACCCTTCAACCTTCAAGCAAGCCCTCAACCCTAAATCCCGATGGAAGGCGCCTGTGCGGATTCTCTCCGTCAAAGCCCAGCTCGCCCTAGCGGACGGGCACAGCCCCCAGGGGCCCGGTTCTCTGGAAATTGTCGGGTTTAGGCTTCAGGGCTTCGGGATTCAGGGTAGCTGTAAGGGAGGCATGATCAGCAAAAGCAAAAGTTTCTCTGCTTTAGGGGTGAGAAAGTTTGTGATTTGGGGCTTAGGGTGTCGGGAGTTTTGGGCTAAGCGATGGTTCTCTTTAAGGGGTAACGGCACCGTAATGTAGAGAAGCTACGGGCCTGGGGTTGAAGAGCAGGGCTTATGGCTTCGCTTGTTTGGGTTTTAAGAGTTCAGGGTTTGACTGTTGACATTGCTGCGCAGTTGGCTGTTTCAGGGAGGTTCCCCAAAAGGGGTTCCAGTGAGTTTCTTTGGGCAGATTGTGACTCCTGGGTCTAGGGTATGCTTCATACTCCTCCAGGATCTACACGCAACCTTCCGGAGATCTCGTGACTCGTGATGCGGCTGCAGGTTGCATCTTCGAGGCCCAAAGCTTACATGAAGGGGAGCTCTATAAACCCAACACCCGAAACCCTAAACCCTAAGCCTCGCCCGGGGGGACTCTCAACCTAGGGTTAGGGGTTTAGGGTTTAGGGTTTAGGGTTTAGGGTTTAGGCACCGCCTCGGCGGACTTCTACACTGGCTCAGCAGGCCCGAGCACCTCCAGCGAATTGATTATTGTTATCATTATCATGTTCAAAACTATGATTATGATTATCACTGTGATCACTATTACATATCATTATCACCAGTATTGTTGTTATCATCATCATCATCATCATTATTGTTATTATTATGTTTTACGACACCGATGGGACCGTTCGACGTCAGATTTCCTTTTACAGAGTTGTCTTCAACAGGAATCCCATGTCAAATAGCCCTCAAGTGTCCAACACCCCCCCCACCCCCCACCCCCACCCCACTCGTAACTTGCCCTAAACCTCTACAGCCCGCCTCTACAGCGCTTCGATCGAACGCTGATGCGCAACACGCAGTGCCTGGACATTCCAGGGCCCAGGCTGTTGGTTTAGGGTTTAGGGTTAGGTTTTGGGTTTAGGGTTTAGGGTCTAGGGTCTAGGGTCTAGGGCTGGAGAAGCGTTGCGTGTCAATAGTCCTAAGGGCCTCTGAACATCTCTGAAACTTGATCTGTTGGAGCGTCCGAAGATCTTGAAACTCAAGCATCCACGCTGAGTCCCCCTCACAAGACGCAAGAGCGCAAAACAACCCATGCGCCTCCTTCGGCGCCTGCTCTGCGTGGTCGCTGCAGTGGCCCTGTCGCCTGAGGAGCTCCGGGTTCTCAGGGAGCTCTTTCCGCAACACGCGGGGACGCCCTGCCTGGGGCGCAGGGTCGAGTGCAAGCAGGGCCACTTGGTGCGGCTCGACTTGAGTGATTCGGAGTTGCGGGAGGTGCCTGAGTCTTTGAGCGAACTGACGTGGCTGGAGCAGCTTTATTTGAGGCAAAATCAGCTGAAGAGCATCCCCGAGTCGCTCGGGAGCTTGACAGAGCTGACGTGGCTGGGTTTGAATCACAACCAGCTAGAGAGCATCCCCGAGTCGATCGGAAGGTTGAGGAAGCTGAGGCATCTTGATTTGAACAACAACCAGCTGAAGAGCATCCCAGAGTCACTGGGCAACTTGACGCAGCTGACGTGGCTTTATTTGAGCGGAAACCGGCTGGAGAGCATCCCCGAGTCGATGGGCAGCTTGACGAGGCTGGAGAGTTTATATTTGAACGACAACCGGCTGGAGAGCATCCCCGAATCACTGGGCAGCTTGACGTTGCTGGATAAGCTTTACTTGAGCGGTAATTGGCTGGAGAGCATCCCAGAGTCGCTGGGCAGCTTGGCGCAGCTGACGCGGCTTCATTTGGATCGCAACCAGCTGGAGAGCATCCCAGAGTCGCTAGGCAACTTGACGAGGCTGACGGAGCTTGACATGAGCCACAACCAGCTGAAGAGCATCCCTGAGTCGATGGGCAGCTTGACGAGGCTGAAGCAGCTTGGTTTGAACGACAACCGGCTGGAGAGCATTCACAAGTCGATGTGCAGTTTGACGAGGCTGGAGACGCTTCATTTGAGGGAAAACCAGCTGAAGAGCATCCCTGAGTCGCTGGGCAGCTTGACGCACCTCATGCTCCTTTATTTGAGCCGCAACCAGCTGAAGAGCATCCCAAAGTCGACTGGCAGCTTGACGAGGCTGTGGAGCCTGGATTTGCACGACAACTGGCTAGAGAGCATCCCAGAGTCGCTGGGCAGCTTGAGGCGGCTGGAGGTGCTTTTTTTGAGCCGTAACCAGCTGACGAGCATCCCCGAGTCGCTGGGCAGCTTGAGTAGGCTGGACAGTTTGTATTTGAACCACAACCGGCTGGAGACCATCCCCGAGTCGCTGGGCAACTTGACACGGCTGAAGAGGTTTAACGTGAGGCGCAACCAGCTGAAGAGCATCCCCGAGTCGCTGGGCAGCTTGACGCAACTGAGGGAGCTTGACCTTCGCCACAACTTCCTCGCACAGCTACCTGACGCTATTGGCAGGCTCGGTAGCTTGGTGGTTTTGCAGGCTGACAGGAACGTCCTTAGCGAGCTGCCCCAGAGTTTTGGACAGCTTGCAAGCCTCAAGTGGCTTTATTTGCAGCACAACAAGCTCCAAGATTTCGTAACAGGCCTGCCAAGCCTTGAGGTGTTGCTTCTGCAAAGCAACAGGCTCCAAGGCAACATCGAACAGTTTTGTCAACTGCGGAACCTTACCACGCTGTATCTACACAAAAACTATCTGAGCGGCCGCATCCCACCGTGCCTATCAGTTGTGTCATCTCTAACAGTGCTGACTCTGCATGAGAACCGCTTATCTGGAGAGATCCCCACGGGGCTTCCGGCAATGCGGTTCTTGAAAGTCTTGACGCTCCATCAGAACATGCTGTCCGGCCAAATTCCTGCAGATGTCGGGTCCTTTGCGCAGCTTGCGCTCCTGTCAGCGCACGCAAATGCTTTAACAGGGCCTGTTCCAGAGCTGAACCTATCAGACGGCTGCACGAACGACGACTCTTTCAGCATGATTGTGGAAGACACTACTTCGGGCTCCATGGAGTTCACATGTGCAAGCCCCATGTTACAGTACCAGTTGGACCTGTCGGGCCAGAAGCAGAGACAGATGTTCCAGGATGCTTGCCCGGAGCGTCTGCATATGTGTGAAAAGGCTTCGGCGAGAGGCCCAACGCTTCTCCTGCACAGCAATCGCTTGTCTTGTGGAGCTCCTCGCGATGTAACTGCTGTTCCGGAATCCTTGAGATCGCTGGTAGTCATCGGCAACATGCTGGGGGATCCGTCCGCGCAGTTGCCGGACTGGGTCGCAAAGGTGGAGCAGCAACCGTTCCTCTACGTCTCTGTCTCCACTGTGCGTCTTTTGTGCTGGCGCTCTGCAGCTTTGGCGCTGCTTTTAGGAGGGGCGTGGCGCTTTGTTCTGGGCAGTTGGCATCACCTGCGAATCACAGAGGCGCTCGAAGACGAAACTGAAATCTCTCACCGCTTTCTCGTCACGGCAAGTGGTCTCTTCGCCCCTCTCGCGCTGGTGCTGTTTTGTCTCTATGTGTTTGGATCGTTTTACTACGATGGGTGTGGAGACGATTTCCTGAAGAGCACAGTTGCCTACTTCCAGAGTCCAGAATGCGAACTATGGCTTGGCTGCACGTGGTCCGTTTGGAGCTTAGGCTCCGCGTGGCTCTTGCGGCATGTGCCGAAGCCTAAGAAACGCCACGGCGCACGACCGGACCACCCGAGCTCCAAAACCAGCAAGGCGCTCTGGTGGATTGTTTGGCTGGGGTTGGTTCTTCTCCTGTCGGCACCCTCCATGGCTTACGCCTTCATGAGCACGCTACCACAGCAAAACCAGCTCCTGACGAGGCCCTGGGTGCTGTGGGCCATCAAGAATCAAGCTGCTTTGGTCATGATGCTGGTGGACATGCTTGTCACGCCAAAGTTGGCCGCCATGATGTCGCAGCGGTCGCGCATCCGCCGATCGATGCTTCTCATGGCTGCTCGGACAGCCACCATGTGGCTCAACGCCGCTCTTTGCACGATCTACCTCAGCGAGCACTGCCAGCGTGGCTGGACGAGGTATTGGAATGTCTGCAATGTCGCTTCCGAGGAGTACAAGGAGTTCAACATCAGCTTGGGAGAGCATCAGCTTCTTGAGCCCGTCGCCGACTTATGCGGTCAGAACGATCGGTGGTGGGCCACTGACGCTTGCGCGAGGTCTGTGGTGGGCACTCTGGCCCCGCTGCTCCTGAGCAAGATGATCCAGCGCGCCTTGCTGCAACCAGTGATAACGGTGGTGCTGTGGAAGCTCTCTGTCAAGGAGGGCGGTTCGCTCTACCTCGCTCCCCTGCGGTTTCTGGGTGTCAGATGGAAAATTTGCACCAGCCGAAACCTCGACAGGGCGCAGCAGGCAACCTTCTTGGTCACACTGGCAGAGGTGTTGCTGATCTGGGCCCCTTTGATCCCTCTGTTGCTGCCCGCAGCGGCTCTTGCGGTCACGCTGAACCTGCGCGTCTTCCGTGTGGGGCAGCACGTCTTCGGAGCCGACGTGCCAGAATTAGAAGAGGGCGAGACAGCAAGCATGTCCAGGAAATACATGATGGCCAGTGCGGCGGTGCTCCTAATCTTTCAGAACTGGTTCGCCTGGACCTCCGCGAAGTCCGGCATGAGGCTGCTGAGCCTTGCGAGCTGCCTGGCGGTCGGCCTCATGGGCAGCATGGCCAGCACGGCGGGAAGTCTTGGTGCTGCTGAGGAGGAGTCCATGGAGTTGGCGGCCCTGGGGCCAAGCGCTTGAAGCACTTTGAAGGGCTTTGAAGGGCCTTGGTTCCAGCGAAAAAGTACAACCCTGAATTCCGATGGAAGGCCCCTGGCCGGATTCCAACAGAGCCCAGCCTGCCCTGGCTGGTTCTCCGGAAACTGTGGCGTTTAGGTCAGGACCAGCTACAACGAATGTTTCTCCACAACTGGTGGGGGGGGGAGGAGGGGGGGGGGGTGTGGGGGCCTGATTCAAGTTCAAGACAGTGCCACATGAAACAAGCAACATTTTCCCTAAACCCTTCAACCTTCAAGCAAGCCCTCAACCCTAAATCCCGATGGAAGGCGCCTGTGCGGATTCTCTCCGTCAAAGCCCAGCTCGCCCTAGCGGACGGGCACAGCCCCCAGGGGCCCGGTTCTCTGGAAATTGTCGGGTTTAGGCTTCAGGGCTTGATCAGCAAAAGCAAAAGTTTCTCTGCTTCAGGGGTGAGAAAATTTGTGATTTGGGGCTTAGGGTGTCAGGAGTTTTGGGCTAAGCGATGGTTCTCTTTAAGGGGTAACGGCACCGTAATGTAGAGAAGCTACGGGCCTAGGGTTGAAGAGCAGGGCTTATGGCTTCGCTTGTTTGGGTTTTAAGAGTTCAGGGTTTGACTGTTGACATTGCTGCGCAGTTGGCTGTTTCAGGGAGGTTCCCCAAAAGGGGTTCCAGTGAGTTTCTTTGGGCAGATTGTGACTCCTGGGTCTAGGGTATGCTTCATACTCCTCCAGGATCTACACGCAACCTTCCGGAGATCTCGTGACTCGTGATGCGGCTGCAGGTTGCATCTTCGAGGCCCAAAGCTTACATGAAGGGGAGCTCTATAAACCCAACACCCGAAACCCTAAACCCTAAGCCTCGCCCGGGGGGACTCTCAACCTAGGGTTAGGGGTTTAGGGTTTAGGGTTTAGGGTTTAGGGTTTAGGGTTTAGGGTTTAGGGTTTAGGCACCGCCTCGGCGGACTTCTACACTGGCTCAGCAGGCCCGAGCACCTCCAGCGAATTGATTATTGTTATCATTATCATGTTCAAAACTATGATTATGATTATCACTGTGATCACTATTACATATCATTATCACCAGTATTGTTGTTATCATCATCATTATTATTGTTCTTATTATGCTTTACGACACCGATGGGACCGTTCGACGTCAGATTTCCTTTTACAGAGTTGTCTTCAACAGGAATCCCATGTCAAATAGCCCTCAAGTGTCCAATACACCCCCCCCACCCCCCACCCCCACCCCACTCGTAACTTGCCCTAAACCTCTACAGCCCGCCTCTACAGCGCTTCGATCGAACGCTGATGCGCAACACGCAGTGCCTGGACATTCCAGGGCCCAGGCTGAAGGGTTTAGGGTTTAGGGTTTAGGGTTTAGGGCTGGAGAAGCGTTGCGTGTCAATAGTCCTAAGGGCCTCTGAACATCTCTGAAACTTGATCTTTTGGAGCGTCCGAAGATCTTGAAACTCAAGCATCGCTGAGTCCCCCTCACAAGACGCAAGAGCGCAAAACAACCCATGCGCCTCCTTCGGCGCCTGCTCTGCGTGGTCGCTGCAGTGGCCCTGTCGCCTGAGGAGCTCCGGGTTCTCAGGGAGCTCTTTCCGCAACACGCGGGGACGCCCTGCATGGGGCGCAGGGTCGAGTGCAAGCAGGGCCACTTGGCGCGGCTCGACTTGAGTGATTCGGAGTTGCGGGAGATGCCTGAGTCTTTGAGCGAACTGACGTGGCTGGAGCAGCTTTATTTGAGGCAGAATCAGCTGAAGAGGATCCCTGATTCGCTGGGCAGCTTGACGAGGCTGACGGAGCTTGACTTGAGTCACAACATGCTGGAGAGCATCCCCGAGTCGCTGGGTAGTTGCAACAAGCTGACGTGGCTAGGTTTGAGCCACAACCAGCTGAAGAGCATCCCGGAGTCGTTGGGCAGGTTGACGCGGCTGGAGAAGCTTTATTTGAGCGGAAACCGGCTGGAGAGCATCCCCGAGTCGATCGGCAGCTTGACGAGGCTGGAGAGTTTGTATTTGAACGACAACCGGCTGGAGAGCATCCCAGAGTCGATGGGTAGCTTGACGCAGCTGTGGGTGCTTTTATTGGGGCAGAACCAGCTGAAGAGCATCCCCGAGTCGCTGGGCAGATTGACGGGGCTGTGGCAGCTTGATTTGAAGCACAACCAGTTGAAGAGCATCCCAGAGTCGCTAGGCAGCTTGACAGTGCTGACGTGGCTGGGTTTGACACGCAACCAGCTAGAGAGCATCCCCGATTCGATGGGTAACTTGGCGGAGCTGACGTGGCTTGATTTGAGGCTCAACCAACTGAAGAGCATCCCGGAATCGCTGGGCAGCTTGACGGGGCTGAGCAAGCTGTTTTTGAACGACAACCGGCTGGAGAGCATCCCCGATTCGCTGGGCAGCTTGACGGGGCTGAGGAACCTTGGTTTGAGTCACAACCAGCTGAAGAGCATCCCGAAGTCGCTGGGAAGCTTGACGATGCTGAGGGAGCTTGACCTTCGCAAAAACAGGCTCGCAGAGCTGCCAGACGCAATTGGCAGCCTCTGCGACTTAGTGGTTTTGCAGGTTGACAGGAACTTCCTTACCGAGCTGCCCCAAAGTTTAGGACAGCTCGCCAACCTCAAGCGGCTTTATTTACAGCACAACAAGCTCCGCCATTTCGTCGCAGACATGGCTCTGCCAAGCCTTGAGGTGTTGCTTCTGCAAAGCAACCGGCTCCAAGCCGTCGAGCAATTTTGTCAACTGCGGAACCTTACCACGCTGTATCTACACAAAAACCATCTGAGCGGCCGCATCCCACCGTGCTTGTCAGCCATGTCATCTCTAAGAGTACTAACTCTACATGAGAACCGCTTATCTGGAGCGATCCCCACGGGGCTTCCGGCAATGCGGTTCTTGAAAGTCTTGACGCTCCATCAGAACAAGCTGTCCGGCCCAATTCCTGCAGATGTCGGCTCGTTTGCGCAGCTTGCGTTCCTGTCAGCGCACGCGAATGCTTTAACAGGGCCTGTTCCAGAGCTCAACTTAACAGACGGCTGCGCGAACGACGACTCTTTCAGCATGATTGTGGAAGACACGATCTACGGATCCATGGAGTTCACGTGTGCAGGCCCCATATTACCATTCGAGTGGAACGAGGACTTGGGCCAGAAGCAGAGGCAGATGTTCCAGGATGCTTGCCCGGAGCGTGTGCATATGTGTGAAAAGGCTTCTGCGAGGGGCCCAACGCTTCTCCTGCACAGCAATCGCTTGTCTTGTGGAGCTCCTCGCGACGTAACTGCTTTTCCAGAATCCTTGAGATCGCTTGTAGTCATCGGCAACATGTTGGGGGATCCATCAACGAAGTTGCCGGACTGGGTCGCAAAGGTGGAGCAGCAACCGTTCCTCTACGTCTCCATCTCCACTGCGCGCCTTTTGTGCTGGCGCTCTGCAGCGTTGGCGCTGCTGTTTGGAGCTGCGTGGCTCTTTGTTCTGGGCAGCTGGAATCACCTGCAAATCACAGATGCGCTCGAGGACGAAACTGAAATCTCTCACCGCTTTCTCGTCACGGCAAGTGGTCTCTTCGCCCCGCTCGCGCTGGCGCTGTTTTGTCTCTATGTGTTTGGATCGTTTTACTACGATGGGTGTGGAGACGATTTCCTGAAGAGCACCGTTGCCTACTTCCAAAGTCCAGAATGCGAACTATGGCTTGGCTGCACGTGGTCCGTTTGGAGCTTAGGCTCTGTGTGGCTCTTGCGGCATGTGCCGAAGCCAAAGAAACGCCACGGCGCACGACCGGGCTACCCGAGCGCCAAGACCTGCAAGGCGCTCTGGTGGATTGTTTGGCTGGGGTTGGTTCTTCTTCTGTCGGCACCCTCCATGGCTTACGCCTTCATGAGTACGCTGCCACAGCAAAACCAGCTGCTGACGAGGCCCTGGGTGCTATGGGCCATCAAGAATCAAGCTGCCTTAGTCATGATGCTGGTGGACATGCTCGTCACGCCAAAGTTGGCCGCCATGATGTCGCAGCGCTCGCGCATCCGCCGATCGATGCTTCTCATGGCCGCCCGGACATCAACCATGTGGCTCAACGCCGTTCTTTGCACGATCTACCTCAGCGAGCACTGCCAGCGTGGGTGGACGAGGTATTGGAATGTCTGCAATGTGGCTTCCGAGGAGTACAAGGAGTTCAACATCAGTTTGGGACAGCATCAACTTCTTGAGCCCGTCGCCGACTTATGCGGTCAGAACGATCAGTGGTGGGCCACTGACGCTTGCGCGAGGTCTGTGGTGGGCACTCTGGCCCCGCTGCTCCTGAGCAAGATGATCCAGCGTGCCTTGCTGCAACCAGTGATAACGGTGGTGCTGTGGAAGCTCTCTGTCAAGGAGGGCGGTTCACTCTACCTCGCTCCCCTGCGGTTTCTGGGTGTCAGATGGAAAATTTGCACCAGCCGAAACCTCGACAGGGCGCAGCAGGCAACCTTCTTGGTCACACTGGCAGAGGTGTTGCTGATCTGGGCCCCCTTGATCCCTCTGTTGCTGCCCGCAGCGGCTCTTGCGGTCACGCTGAACCTGCACGTCTTCCGTGTGGGGCAGCGCGTCTTCGGAGCCGACGCGCCAGAGTTGGAAGAGGGCGAGACAGCAAGCATGTCCAGGAAATACATGATGGCCAGCGTGGTGGTGCTCTTGCTCTTTCAGAACTGGTTCGCCTGGACCTCCGAGAAGTCCGGCATGTGGCTGCTGAGCCTTGCGAGCTGCCTGGCGGTCGGCCTCATGGGCAGCAGCGCCAGCACGGCGGGAAGCGCTGGTGCCCCTGAGGAGGCGTCTGTGGAGTTGGCGGCCCTGGGCCCAAGCGCTTGAAGCGCCTTGAAAAGCTTTGAAGGGCCTTGGCTCCAGTGAAAGAAGGATCAACCCTGAATCCAGGGCCCCTGTGCGGATTCCTCTAGGGTTTCGGAGTTTAGGGCTTGCATGGCCACTTCTCTAAGTGACGGTTCCTTTTAAGAGGTTCCGACCTGCTGTACAGCGGGCCTTCATTTTGGGTACCCCAAAGAGGGACCATAGTGCAGAGAAGCAGCGGGCCTCGGTTGAAGAGTTAGGGGTTGCGTTAAGGGTTGAGGGTTGACCGTTGCCACTACAGCGCAGTTGGCTGTTTCAGGTTCCCCCAAAAAGGTTCTGGCGAGTTTCTGGGCTTGGGCACATTCTGAATCCCGGGTTAGACCCATGATCCTAGATCCATTGACCTTTGGCGTACTGATCGGGCCCTACCCGCGATATGCAGTGTCGGGAAGCTTCGCTTTGAGCTGTACTTCAGATTTGTCGGGCCGCTTGTAACGCCCTCGTATGCTTCAGGGTACAGAAGGTTACGTCCGAAACTCCAAGCCCCCAATTTCCTGGCAACCCCTGAGTCTCCCAACGTCTGACCCTGTCAAACCCATTCAGACCCTAATTAAATCTAACCCGCTGAACCCTTGAACGCCTAAACCCGATACATGCCTAAACCCCTAAACCTGTACAAGCCCCAATCCTTTAAACCCTCTAAACCCTTGTAAGCCCCGACTTAACCTCCAAATGGTTAAACTCTAAACCCATGAGCCCCTAAACTCAACTCCCTAAGCATGATAATTACAGCCTAAACCCTAAACTTAAGCCCCCTTTTCAACAAATACACAACCAAACCCCAACCCCTAAACCCCAACCCCTAAACCCTAAACCCTAAACCCTAACCCTAAACCCTGGACCCTAAACCCTAAACCCTAAACCCTAAACCCTAAACCCTAAACCCTAAACCCTAAACCCTAAACCCTAAACCCTAAACCCTACAAACCATAGAGCCCAAAGCTTCCAAAGCCCTAAGACCCGAAATTCCGACACCCCAAATCCCACTTTTGAGCCTGTGCTACTCTGAGACCTTAGCGCTTCGGAGGCCCGGCGTGCTCCTGCTCCTGGATGCGACATCGGACATCAAGGCGCTGCTCCGAACGTGTTTAGGGATTTTAGGGTTTGTGGGTTTGTAGTAGAAGCCAAAAAGTTGGAAACTTAATCGCCTCAACCCCTAAGAGTAAAGTATAGGCAAGGTTCTCGGAGTCTTGGTGGCCTGAGAAGGGGCCCTTACATTCCTTCTCCGCCTTGGGAAGGTCGAACACCCCACCAATTCAGCGGTGGTGAAAGACAAGGTGCGGCTGCAGTCGTTACGGGCATAGGGATGAGGGCTCGCTTAAGGATTCATGCGTGCTTGCACTTGCAGAGGTGAACTTGGGGACTTGTGGCTGTATTTAAAGCCTTGCTTTGACCCCTATAGCTACCCAATGAGCCTTTCGTCGAGCTTCCCCGGGCTTCCTGCTCATCCCACGTCCTGATGCGTTTGCCCTTTATTTTTGTTTTAGTTAATCGGGGTCTAGGGCATGTATCGCTGAACCCAATCCTGTTTTTACTTGTTTTTTTTGTATCTGTTGGCGGAGGGCTTATTAGGCTTTGCCCTCACACCACAAACAGAAGCCCCGAAGCGTAACACAGTAAGGCAAGGTCCTGCCTCTCCTGAAGGGCTTGTGGACTGGAGGGGCCCCCTGACAGTGTTTCAAGTTTCAACACCCTAGTCGACGATAAAGTGGGTGGCCGGGGAGAGGGTTGACACCCTCAACCCTCAAAGGCCCCCAGACCTGCACCCTGCACTCTAAGCCCTAAACCCCCTCTGCCAGCCCCTCTGCGGCGTGCTCTGCCGCCTCCGCGGTCGCCAAAGACACGGCCGGGTGGGGGGTAGAAGTTCAACTAGAGCTTGGTTGGAACCGGGGGGGGGGGGGGGGTTGGGTTGTGCTCTCTCTCGCTCTCTCTCTCTCTCTCTGTTTCTCTTTTTCTCAACTCTCCTGCAAGAATATTCGCAATGAAGCCCCGAGGATAAGGATGGTCCCTAAAGCCTAAACCCTAGGCCCTGAACCCTGAACCCTGACCCCTAAAAAGGTACCTTCCTCACTTGGGCTGATAAGGAGTTTTGGGGAGCCTGCCTGCCACGGCAGGGAGACTTGAATGGGCACCTCCACCTTGTGTTTAGGGTTTTTGGGTTTGGGGTTTACGGTTTAGGGTTTAGGGTCTTTGAAATGGGGTTTAGGGTTAGAATCTGTCAGTGCGGCTGCAGAACTGGGGGGGGGGGGAAACATAGACACACACCGATGCGCCGGCGCGATACACACACCGATATCCTGAGGGGAACATCTCTGAAACTTGATCCTTGGAACTTCTGAAGATCTTGATCTTGAAGCTCAAGCATCTCTTAGGGCCTTCCGGTCCCCTTCACAAGACGCAAGAGGCCTCAAAAACAACCCGCCCCCCGCTCCATGCGCCTCCTGCGCCTGCTCTGTGTGGTCGCAGCGGCGGCCCTGTCGCCTGAGGAGCTCCGGGTTCTCAGGGAGCTCTTTCCGCAACACGCCGGGACGCCCTGCATGGGGCGCAGGGTCGAGTGCAAGCAGGGCCACTTGGTGCGGCTCGACTTAAGCGACAACCAGCTGAAGAGCATCCCAGAGTCGCTCAGCAGCTTGACGGAGCTGACATGTCTGGAATTGACGTTCAACCAGCTAGAGAGCATCCCCGAGTCGATCGGAAGGTTGACGAAGCTGACGCATCTTGATCTGAAGTACAACCGGCTGAAGAGCATCCCCGAGACGCTGGGCAGCTTGACGAGGCTGGGGGAGTTACATTTGAGGGGCAACCGGCTGGAGAGCATGCCAGAGTCACTGGGCAACTTGAGGCAGCTGACGTTGCTTGATTTGAGCGACAATCAGCTGAAGAGCATCCCCGAGTCCATGGGCAGCTTGATGCAGCTGACGTTGCTTGATTTGAGCCACAGCCACCTGAAGAGCATCCCCGAGTCGATGGGCAACTTGACGTGCCTGGAGATTTTAAGTTTGAACGACAACCGGCTGGAGAGCATCCCAGAGTCGATGGGCAGCTTGATGAGGCTGAAAAAGCTTTATTTGAGCCACAACCAACTGGAGAGCATCCCCGAGTCGCTGGGCAGATTGATGAGGCTGGAACGTCTTCATCTGAGGCGCAACCAGCTGAAGAGCATCCCCGAGTCGTTGGGCAGGTTGACGCGGCTGGAGAAGCTTTATTTGAGCGGAAACCGGCTGGAGAGCATCCCCGAGTCGCTGGGCAGCTTGACGTGGCTGGAGCTGCTTTATTTGAGCCACAACCAGCTGAGGACCATCCCCGAGTCGCTGGGCAGCTTGACGAGGCTGGAGAGGTTATTTTTGAACGACAACCAGCTGACGAGCATCCCCGAGTCGATGGGTAGCTGGACGGTGCTGCGGGAGCTCGACCTTCGCAGCAACAGCCTCGCAGAGCTGCCAGATGCAATTGGCAGGCTCGGCAACTTAGTGGTTTTGCAGGCTGACAGGAACGTCCTTACCGAGCTGCCCCAGAGTTTTGGACAGCTCCCAAACCTCAAGCGGCTTTATTTACAGCACAACAGGCTCCAAGGTTTCGTCGCAGGCCTGGCTCTGCCAAGCCTTGAGGTGTTGCTTCTGCAAAGCAACAGGCTCCGAGCCATCGAGCACTTTTGTCAACTGCGGAACCTTACCACGCTATATCTGCACAAAAACCATCTGAGCGGCCGCATCCCACCGTGCCTGTCAGCCTTGTCATCTCTACGGGTACTGACTCTACACGAGAACCGCTTAACTGGAGCGATCCCTAGGGGGCTTCCGGCAATGCGCTTCTTGAAAGTCCTGACGCTCCATCAGAACAAGCTGTCCGGCCCAATTCCTGCAGATGTCGGGTCCTTTGCGCAGCTTGCGTTCCTGTCAGCGCACGCAAATGCTTTAACAGGGCCTGTTCCAGAGCTGAACCTATCAGACGGCTGCGCGAACGACGACTCCTTCAGCATGATCGTGGAAGACGCTGCTCTCGGTTCCATGGAGTTCACATGTGCAGGCCCCATATTACCATTCCTGTGGACGGGCCAGAAGCAGAGTCAGACCTTCCAGGATGCTTGCCCGGAGCGTGTGCATATGTGTGAAAAGGCTTCTGCGAGAGGCCCAACGCTTCTCCTGCACAGCAATCGCTTGTCTTGTGGAGCTCCTCACGACGTAACTGCTTTTCCAGAATCCTTGAGATCGTTGGTAGTCATCGGCAACATGTTGGGGGATCCATCAACGAAGTTGCCGGACTGGGTCGCAAAGGTGGAGCAACAACCGTTCCTTTACGTCTCCATCTCCACTGCGCGCCTGTTGTGCTGGCACTTTGCAGCTTTGGCGCTGTTTTTTGCTGGGGCTTGGCGCTTTGTTCTGGGCAGCTGGCATCACCTGCAAATCACAGAGGCGCTCGAGGACGAAACTGAAATCTCTCACCGCTTTCTCGTCACGGCAAGTGGTTTCTTCGCCCCTCTCGCACTAGTGCTTTTCTGTCTCTATGTGTTGGGATCATATTACTACGATGGGTGTGGAGACGATTTCCTGAAGAGCACCGTTGCCTACTTCCAGAGTCCGGAATGCGAATTATGGCTTGGCTGCACGTGGTGCTTGTGGAGCTTAGGCTCCGGGTGGCTACTGCGGCATGTGCCGAAACCGAAGAAACACCGCGGCGCAACATCGGACCACCAGAGCGCCAAGACCTGCAAGGCGCTCTGGTGGATTGTGTGGCTGGGGTTGGTTCTTCTTCTGTCGGCACCCTCCATGGCTTATGCCTTCATGAGCACACTGCCACAGCAAAACCAGCTGCTGACGAGGCCCTGGGTGCTACGGGCCGTCAAGAATCAAGCTGCCTTAGTCATGATCCTGGTGGACATGCTTGTCACGCCAAAGTTGGCCACCATGATGTCGCAGCGCTCGCGGATCCGCCGATCGATGCTTCTCATGGCTGCTCGGACAGCCACCATGTGGCTCAACGCCGCTCTCTCCACCATCTACCTCAGCGAGCACTGCCAGCGTGGGTGGACGAGGTATTGGAATGTCTGCAATGTAGCTTCCGAGGAGTACAAGGAGTTCAACATCAGCTTGGGAGAGCATCAGCTTCTTGAGCCCGTCGCCGACTTATGCGGTCAGAACGATCGGTGGTGGGCCACTGACGCTTGCGCGAGGTCTGTGGCGGGCACTCTGGCCCCGCTGCTCCTGAGCAAGATGATCCAGCGTGCACTGCTGCAACCAGTTATAACGGTGGTGCTGTGGAAGCTCTCTGTCAACGAAGACGGTTCACTCTACTTCTCTCCCCTGCGATTTCTGGGCGTCCGATGGAGGATGTGCACCAGCCGAAACCTCGATAGAGCCGAGCAGGCAACTTTCTTGGTCACATTGGCAGAGGTGTTGATGATCTGGGCCCCCTTGATCCCTCTGTTGCTGCCCGCAGCGTCCCTTGCGGTCCTGCTGAACCTCCGCGTCTTCCGTGTGGGGCAGCGCGTCTTCGGAGCCGACGTGCCAGAGTTGGAAGAAGGCGAGACAGCAAGTATGTCCAGGAAATACATGATGGCCAGCGTGGTGGTGCTCCTGCTCTTTCAGAACTGGTTCGCCTGGACTTCCCAGATGTCCGGCATGTGGCTGCTGAGCCTTGCGAGCTGCCTGGCGGTCGGCCTCATGGGCAGCATGGCCACCACGGCTGGAAGTCCTGGTGCTACCGAGGAGGAGTCTGTGGAATTGGCGGCCCTGGGGCTTCGCGCTTCAGGGTAATCAGCTAGAAGGGAGGGTATGGCAAGATGATAGTTTCTCTGCTTTAGGCGCGAGAAAGTTTGGGGTTTGGGGTTTAGGGCGTCGGGAGTTTTGGGCTAAGCGATGGTTCTCTTTAAGGGGTAACGGGACCGCAATGTAGAGAAGCTGGTGGCCTGGGGTTGAAGAGCAGGGCTTATGGCTTCGCTGGTTTGGGTGTTAAGGGTTCAGGGTTTGACTGTTGACATTGCAGTGCAGTTGGCTGTATCAGGGAGGTTCCCGAAAGGTTCATAAGTGAGTTTCTTTGGGCAGATTGTGAATCCTGGGTTTAGGGACGGATGGGTACGGTGTAGCCGGTCTTCAGCACTCCAGCTTACTCCTCCAGGATTTACACACCCTAGGCCCTAGGAAACAAAGCCGACAACCTTCCAGAGATCTCGTGACTCTTCATGCGGCTCCAGGTCGCTCTAAACCCAGCATCCGAAACCCTAAACTGCCCTAAGCCCTAAGCCTCACCCTCCTTACGGAGAAAAGAGCTCGGACGGATTCGGTTTCGCAGGCTGGCGTCGTGGGCCGCGGAGGGCTTTCGCGCCTTCGGAAAAATGGGCATCCGCGCACCATGGGGAGGCAAAAGGCTATTCAGCTTGTTCTTAGGGTTTAGGGTTTACCATCATTATCACCGAACAGTCCGGATCCGACTCGTTCTGGGGGCATATCCTGCTGACTGTTCCCTTTAAGATACGATAATCCTGGTCGTTATCGGACTCCCAAGATAATTGGTACCGCAAGTTTCCGAACTGCCTATGGCTACACAAATCAAAGAGCAAGACAAACCGTCAGAAATTGAAGGCGCCGGTAATATGGAATACAAACATAATTCACGAAGCCCTTTGACCATAAGATACTCTTATTCTGCGTGCGGCACGCAAGTATTGTAGCCTGTTGAGCTGCATTTAGAAGTTCTATACATACAGTAATCTCACGAATGACTGTTGCTTGAAAATTGTATGTGCATGTGAGGGTGCATGCCTTCTTCAAACCCAAGCCTGCCCTACATGCCCGGAAAACTCGGCCACCGAACGTCTTGTCTGTGTCCATGACAAGCTTGTACAAGAAAACCCATCTCCCCCTAAACCCTAAAGCCTAAACTCTAAACTCTAAACCCTAAACCCTCAACCCTAAACCCTAAGCCCGAAACCCTAAACTTTATAAACCCTATAACCCCAAGGAAGCTGCCCCAGGCGACTCCTCAGTTCGAATAGCCCCCCGCAGCTGTGTCGCGCAGGCTCTTCTAGACCCTACAAGCCTTGTAAGGCTTCTAAAAACCCTGTCAACCCTAAAGACCCGATGCACCCTCCAGAGTTTAGGGTTTAGGGTTTAGGGATCCTATAAACCCTATAAACACTAGGAAGCCCCTGAACCCCGCCAGGCAGAAAAGGCCCTGATCCTGAGCCCTGGCACGCTAAAGCCTTTTGGATGCTCGCATCGGCTCGAATTCATGTGCTTCAGCGTGCGCAACGTTGCATTCACACTCAGGATTTTGTAGATGGGCTTGCGTCTCCGGAGGTTTTCTAGCTCAAACATATGCCTAAAGTTCCCCTGCATCGCTGAGTGTAGCGCTTGAAAGCTTTGTGTATCCAGTTCCTTGGCCGGCGTATCCCAGCATGGAGCCCAGGGGAGCCATGCACAGGAGTAGTAGGGTTTAAGGTTTAGGGTTTAGGGTTTAGGGTTTAGGGTTTAGGGCTTAGGGTTACAATGCAACCCCTTGACTCCAAATCGCACAAGGACCACATGACAGGTACATTAATACAATCCCTGAAAGTGTAAAGGGTAACATATGGTCCCTAGCGCCACATTCCTGGCGAACCGGCAAGTTACCTACTGTTTGCTTAAGAGCCATACAAAAAATGAAGAAGATGATGATGATTTCGATTTCTATACTGCCCTTACAAAGGGGTTTTCGAAATTAGGGGTCCTTGTGGTCATTATTAGAAGCAATTTAGCAGCTGTGGGGGGAGGTGAGGAGAGGGGGCCAGGAGCAGAACCTCTCAGACATCCTCGGGGTGATTGTCTAGGGGTTTACTTGGAGCTTCATGGTACTTATTAACCAATTGTAACTGTACTTATAACCCACTTAGAAGCCCCTTAAGTGCCCTAATATGGTTATACCTTACACCGTCAGTACATTTATAAGGACAGTTCTAACTGTTTAATAAGTACCATGAACCTCCAAGTAGGGGTTTAGGGTTTGGGGTTTAGCGTTCAGGAGTTCCATCAGCCCCTCAAACTGCAGGCATACAGGCCCTGACACCCCAAGCCCTAATTGAGTGGCAAAGACAATCCCGACCCCCCTAAGCCCCAAACCCCAAACCCCAAACCCCAAACCCTAAACCCTAAACCCTAAACCACTTTTCCCAGGCCATGCCGCCCCGAAAGTTCAAAACAGACCACCGACGTGGCGGAGGGCACGCCCTGGCCAGCTTGGGGTGGAGGGTTTACTACTAATTGCTTAAGAACACCGAACAAAATAAACAGATTGGGTAGTATAGGGATGATTTTTTTCTAAATTCTTGTGGGGTTCTTAAGCAAATAGTAGTTTAGAGGGCTCAGGCTTTCAAGGGTGAGGCGGACCAAAACCCCCCTTTCAACTGGGCCCGAGAGGGTGTGGGCGACTTGTCTCTCTCCCTATCCCTAAACCCTAAACCCTAAACCCTAAACCCTAAACCCTAAACCCTAAACCCTAAACCCGAAACCCTAAACCAGCATCTGGGCCTCCTGTAGGACATCCACGCCATGCTTCTCCCCCATGGGTGTGTGTGGCCAATCCCCCTCCTTGTGAGCTTGCAGTCAGAGTATGGAGTGTTGCGAGCAGTTGGCGATAGGGCCTTCAGGGCCGCTGGGTTGAGGGATTGGGTCCAGGGTTTCGCGCTTCCGGGATTCTTTGGGGAACCGGACCCCCCCCCGCCCCCGCCCCCCGCCAAATCCGAGGCGTCGCTCACCTTCAAGTTACTGGTGCGCAGTAGGGGGAACTCGGGAGATAGGTGCCCTATATGCTTCAAAATCTATCGGGTGATATAAGGTGCCTAAGAGCAGTAATAGCCCCGAAGGTACCCAAGCCCCGAAACCTTTTTTGCTGCGCTCTTTCGACACGGCGGAGGCCTCGCTCGCGGTTTACTCTCTTTTTGCAGCTCTGAAGTCGGAGTTTTGGGGCTTGGGGCCAGACCCTTTCAACCCTAAACCCCAAACCCTAAACCCCTAAACTCTCAAACCCCCTTCCAGATGCCTTACCTTGTGGGCTTCAGGAAATCATGACCCCTAAAGCCCTGTAGGCCCTAATCCCGAAACCCTGGACCCCAACTACTCGTAACACCTCCCCCCCCAAAAAAAAGTCGAAGAACAGAATTGCCAGAATCGCCAGGGCCGGGGGCAAGCATGTCTCCAGTTTCGAAGATGCCCGGGCCTCGCTGGGTTGTCGTGCGCTGCCTACGAGCTTTATGCACTGAGTCTGGGACTTGCGCTTTAACATTGGGGCTCGGGCACCATCAGCTGTTACACAGGAGTTTTAGGGCTGAGGCTCCCGGCTTGAGTCTTGATGTTCAGTGAATGCTAATTCGCTCAGCAGCTACACGCTACGTCTCAGCGAGCCCCCCTTCCTGATTTGCATGATGCCCCCTAGGGGTTTAGGGTTTAGGGTTTAAGGGTTTAGGTCTCGGATCTAAGCCCCAAAACCCCAAACCCCTTGACAAAAGCCAAAGCCAACTGCAATTCCCGGGAGGTGAAAGCAAGGAATGCGGGTGGCGAGTCTGCCTATGACATGGCCAGCTGGCCTTGATTTTGGGTTGGGCCGTGTTTGCTTTGGAGGCTGCTTTGGGAATTCAAAGTGCTTGGTGTTCAGGGCTGTCGATGGTGACGGCTTCGGATTTTCGTTTCTGTGTGAACTAAGCATTACAGGAACACCGGTTGACCATCTTGAAACACATCTGGGCAGACGTTAGAAGGACCCTCTAACATGAGTTTGGAGTCATCCCCTCCCCAATCGTAGCCCCCCCGCCTGCATTGTAATGGCACGCTTGACGTCGGTGGTCCAACTTATGTACAAGCATGGCACGCATGGCAGATACTGGAAGTCCTGCATGCTCGACAGCGTTTCGATCGAACAGTGATGTGCAACACGCAGTGCCTGGAAGGTTGCATGTCAAAGTCTTGTTACCTCTGAGCATCTCTGAAACTTGATCTTGGGAAGCCCTGAAGATCTTGAAGCTCAAGCAAGAGCCCTCAAAACTCTACAGCTGCTTTGGGACGTTTCGGGTTTTTAGGCTTTATAAGGCTTTTAAGGCTTTTGGCACTTTCAAGGCATCTAGGGCCAGAGGGGTCCTCATTCTCACAGGTTCACCTTAAACCCTAAACTGCCCTAAACCCCTAAACCCTATAAACCCCTAAACCCCAAAGCTTGGGAGTTTAGGCAATTTTTCGGGGTTCCAAGTGAGGCCTATGGGGGCCTACGGGCTGTGGTTCCGGGGTTTCTTGCAGCTGAAGGCTTGAGGGAAGTAGTGTTCACAAGAGGGTTTAGGGTTTGGGGTTTGGGGTTTATTATCGTTACATAGAACAGCATAATGCATCCTGGGCGGGGCCGCGGTGGGTGCCGAGGCGGAGGGCGTGGGCGGAGGCAGGGGCTGCGTGCGGAGGGCGCAGGTGGAGGGGACGCGCGCGGAGGGGGCGGAAGGCGTCAGAGCCATCAACCGGCTGTCATGTACACGCCCTTCAACCGGATGCATCTCGCTTTGAACCCCGTGTCTTGTCCACGTGTACCCCACTCCCCTGCCCGTCAACCGAATGTCACGCTCCCCGTCCGCGCTCCCCCCTCCTTGTCCGTGTACCCCCCGAACCAGTCCGTCAACCGCACATCGCCCTTCCCCCATGCATGGTCCACGCCTCCCCACGCCCCCCTCCCACAAATGTTCCGAGCCCGCTCCCTTGACTGAGTCGTCCCCGCGGCCTCCCGTCAAAAGTCATTCCGTCCGACCCTCCTACCCCCGAAAGGCGAAAGGTTTCGGGAACAATCCAAGAAAATAACGAGCACGCGCAGAACAGACGTTAAGCGTCCAAGGCACCCCCCTTCCCACACCTGCCCACATGCGCTGCCTGCGCCTGCTCTGTGTGGTCGCTGCGGCGGCCCTGTCGCCTGAAGAGCTCCGGGTTCTCAGGGAGCTCTTTCCGCAACACGAGGGGACGCCCTGCGTGGGGGCAAGGGTCGAGTGCAAGCAGGGCCACTTGGTGCGGCTCGACCTGCGTGATTCGGAGTTGCGGGAGGTCCCTGAGTCCTTGAGCGAACTGACATGGCTGGAGCAGCTTGATTTGGACCAAAACCAGTTGAAGAGCATCCCGGAGTCGCTTGGCAGCTTGACGAGGCTGAGGCAGCTTTTTTTGAGCGACAACCAGCTGAAGAGCATCCCCGAGTCGACGGGCAACTTGACATGGCTGGAGAGCTTATATTTGGACGACAACCGGCTGGAGAGCATCCCCGAGTCGCTGGGCAGCTTGGCACAGCTCACTTGGCTGCAAATGAGGCACAACCGGCTGGAGAGCATCCCAGAGTCCCTGGGCAGTTTGGTGCGGCTGAAGAGCCTTGCTTTGAGCCACAACCAGCTGAAGAGCATCCCCGAGTCGATGGGCAACTTGACGCGCCTGGAGAGTTTAGATTTGAACGACAACCGGCTGGAGAGCATCCCAGAGTCGATGGGCAGCTTGATGAGGCTGAAAGTGCTTGGTTTGAGCCACAACCAGCTGAAGAGCATCCCCGAGTCGCTGGGCAGATTGATGAGGCTGGAATGTCTTTATTTGAGGTGCAACCAGCTGATGCGCGTCCCAGAGTCGCTGGGCAGCTTGACGAGGCTGTGGAGCTTGGATTTGAACGACAACCGGCTAGAGATCATCTCAGAGTCGCTGGGCAGCTTGACGTGGCTGGAGCTGCTTTATTTGAGCCACAACCAGCTGAGGACCATCCCCGAGTCGCTGGGCAGCTTGACGAGGCTGGAGAGGTTGTTTTTGAACGACAACCAGCTGACGAGCATCCCCGAGTCGATGGGCAGCTTGACGGTGCTGAGGGAGCTCGACCTTCGCCACAACTTCCTCGCACAGCTACCTGACGCCATTGGCAGGCTCGGTAGCTTGGTGGTTCTGCATGCTGACAGGAACGTCCTTACCGAGCTGCCCCAGAGTTTAGGACAGCTCCCAAACCTCAAGCGGCTTTATTTGCAGCACAACAAGCTCCAAGATTTCGTCACAGGCTTGGCTCTGCCAAGCCTTGAGGTGTTGCTTCTGCAAAGCAACAGGCTCCGAGCCATCGAGCACTTTTGTCAACTGCGGAATCTTACCACGCTGTATCTGCACAAAAACCATCTGAGCGGCCGCATCCCACAGTGCCTGTCAGCCATGGCATCTCTAAGAGTATTGACTCTACATGAGAATTGCTTGACTGGAGAGATCCCCAGGGGGCTTCCGGCAATGCGGTTCTTGAAAGTCCTGACGCTCCATCAGAACAAGCTGTCCGGCCAAATTCCCGCAGATGTCGGGTCTTTTGCGCAGCTTGCGTTCCTGTCAGCGCACGCAAATGCTTTAACAGGGCCAGTTCCAGAGCTGAACTTAACAGATGGCTGCGCGAACGACGACTCTTTCAGCATGATTGTGGAAGACACTACTTCGGGTTCCATGGAGTTCACATGTGCAGGCCCCATATTACCATTCCTGTGGACGGGCCAGAAGCAGAGTCAGACGTTCCAGGATGCTTGCCCGGAGCGTGTGCATATGTGTGAAAAGGCTTCTGCCAGAGGCCCAACGCTTCTCCTGCACAGCAATCGCTTGTCTTGTGGAGCTCCTCGCGACGTAACTGCTTTTCCAGAATCCTTGAGATCGTTGGTAGTCATCGGCAACATGTTGGGGGATCCATCAACGAAGTTGCCGGACTGGGTCGCAAAGGTGGAGCAACAACCGTTCCTTTACGTCTCCATCTCCACTGCGCGCCTGTTGTGCTGGCGCTTTGCAGCTTTGGCGCTGTTTTTTGCTGGGGCTTGGAGCTTTGTTCTGGGCAGTCGGCATCACCTGCAAATCACAGAGGCGCTCGAGGACGAAACTGAGATCTCTCACCGGTTTCTCGTCACGGCAGCTGGTCTCTTTGCCCCTCTTGCACTGGTGCTGTTTTGTCTCTACGTGTTTGGATCCTTTTACTACGATGGGTGTGGAGACGATTTCCTGAAGAGCACCGTTGCTTACTTCCAGAGTCCGGAATGCGAACCATGGCTTGGCTGCACGTGGTCCGTTTGGAGCTTAGGCTCCGCGTGGCTCTTGCGGCACGTGCCAAAGCCTAAGAAACACCCCGACCCAGGCCGCCCGAGCGCCAAGACCTGCAAGGCGCTCTGGTGGATTGTATGGCTGGGGTTGGTTCTTCTCCTGTCGGCACCCTCCATGGCTTATGCCTTCATGAGCACGCTGCCACAGCAAAACCAGCTCCTGACGAGGCCCTGGGTGCTATGGGCCATCAAAAATCAAGCTGCCTTAGTCATGATGCTGGTGGACATGCTTGTCACGCCAAAGTTGGCCGCCATGATGTCGCAGCGCTCCCGCATCCGCCGATCGATGCTTCTCATGGCCGCCCGGACATCCACCATGTGGCTCAACGCCTCTCTCTACACGATCTACCTCAGCGAGCACTGCCAGCGTGGGTGGACGAGGTATTGGAATGTCTGCAATGTGGCTTCGGAGGAGTACAAGCAGTTCAACATCAGCTTGGGAGAGCATCAACTTCTTGAGCCCGTCGCTGACTTATGCGGTCAGAACGATCGGTGGTGGGCCACGGACGCTTGCGCGAGGTCTGTGGTGGGCACTCTGGCCCCGCTGCTCCTGAGCAAGATGATCCAGCGTGCCTTGCTGCAACCAGTGATAACGGTGGCGCTGTGGAAGCTCTCTGTCAAAGAGGACGGTTCACTCTACTTTGCTCCCCTGCGGTTTCTGGGTGTCCGATGGAAGATGTGCACCAGCCGAAACCTCGACAGGGCGCAACAGGCAACCTTCCTGGTGACATCGGCAGAGGTGTTGATGATCTGGGCCCCCTTGATCCCTCTGTTGCTGCCCGCAGCGGCCCTTGCGGTCCTGCTGAACCTCCGCGTCTTCCGTGTGGGGCAGAATGTCTTCGGAGCCGACGTGCCAGAATTGGAAGAAGGCGAGACAGCAAGCATGTCCAGGAAGTACATGATGGCCAGCGTGGTGGTGCTCCTGCTCTTTCAGAACTGGTTCGCCTGGACCTCCGAGATGTCCGGCATGTGGCTGCTGAGCCTTGCGAGCTGTCTGGCGGTCGGCCTCATGAGCAGCATGGCCAGCACGGCGGGAAGTGCTGGTGCTGCTGAGGAGGAGTCCGTGGAGTTGGCGGCCCTGGGGCCAAGCGCTTGAAGCGCTTTGAAGGGCTTTGAAGGGCCTTGGCGCCAGTGAAAGAGGGAGCTGATCGCATCACATACCTGTTCTACATACAACTGTGGTACTAGAGGATGTCAAATTTGGGGCTGTAAGGCTTGAGGCTTGAGGGTTTGCCCCAGGCCAGAGCGGCGAGATCCAGCAAGAAGAAAGAGGAAGAGTCGGAGGAGGCACGTCGCAGCTGCATATTTTCAGCCGGCGCACCCTGCAACCCTAACCCTCGAAGCCCCTGGAGCCTCGGGATCCTCAAATTCCTGAAAAAAGCCCTCAAATCCCTGAAAAAAAGCCCCAAACTCCCAGGAGCCTAGAACCCTGAACGCCTGGGCTATCCCGGTTTGTAGCTTTCTCCGCATTTCTCCGCCCCAAAATTGCGAAGGAGAGTTTCAGCTTCCGAGTGAGCCGTTCCGTCAGGATCCGAGTGCACCCGCTCCAGAAGCTTAGCGCAAACACCTGGTATCCTCAAGCCTAATAATGATAATAAGAATAATAACAAAAATGATAGTAATAATAGAAGAATAAGAAATAAGAAGAAGAAGAAGAAGAAAAATAAGAAGCCGAGGGGTTTTTTGCTGGGTGCAGGATTCGGGTTTAGGAGCAGCAGACCATGAAAAATGCCCGAAAAAGCAGGCGATTGGCAAGCATGCAATGAGCAGTCATTCCTTGATTCTGGGGTTTCCGAACATAGGGGTACCCTTTTGAGGGCGTCCCTTTAAGGTACCCTTTTCGGGATTCCGATAATAAGGATTCTACTATCTTGGAGCAGGGACAATGAGGGAAACGGCTGAGCAAAAAACTTTGGAGGCATCGCATGCGCTCTCAGGGTTGTGAGGGTCCGAGAAGATGTCTTGCAGGAGTCGGAGGAAGAGGTCAAGCCCGCCCGGAGCTCGGACGGCACTGCTTCTTCGTGGGTTTCAGCCCTAAACCCTACACCCTAAACCCCCAACCCTCCTCATAAGGATCCTGGGCCCAACACCTGTTTGGGGGTTCATATCTATCGAAGCACTTCAGGTGGGTAGTTTCAGTCATTTACCCTTTACCCCCTATACCCGAAATACCTCCCCTTATACGCATATGGGGGTTTCCTAAAGTAGAGGTACCCTTTGTGGGGGCCCCTTTAAGGGGATTCTTTTTCCATTTTGGGGTATAAAAGGGGTGCCCCCATTTTTTCGTAAACCTCCAAAATATAAGCCTAATATAGGGCTTCCTGGAGTTGTCATTAATACAAGCAACCCGGAGCATATTTGGGAGCCCTGTAAACCCAAAACCCTTAAGCTCCCAAATCCCGAAATCAAGCTCCAAAACCCGTGCAAGACTCCAACGCGCAAGCCTGGTTACAAAATAAACAGTGAGCCCAGGACCTTAGACATCTAAGCCCTGCGCCCTGAGCCCTAAGCCCTAAGCCCTAAGCCCTATAAGCCCTAAGCCCTCTAAGCCCTCTAAGCCCTCTAAGCCCTCTAAGCCCTCTAAGCCCTCTAAGCCCTCTAAGCCCGAAGCACAAGCCCCAAGCTCCTTTGTCCCCGCTTCTCCTGGCTTCGCCTCCAGGCTCGCAAGCCGCGGGATGATGCTTTCGGAGAGGTGTGCAACCCCAACGCAGCTGCCTCGACGTTCTTGTGGGGAGGGGTGGGGTGGGGGTTTAGGGTTTAGGGTTTAGGGTTTAGGGTTTATAGGGTTCAGCATCTCAAGTCCTTTGAATTCACTCGTCGAGCTTCGTATCATGTGACGGAGAAGTACCCACCCAGCCAGAAAATCCCACAACATCAGCAAACTATAATAAAGATCACCCAATTCATCAACCTTGGGCTCCATGCCCTGGGGCCTTGAACCCTAAGCCTTAAACCCTACCCCAAGCTTTTTCAATGTAGGGCTGTCGCCTTCACTTCCCACCATAAGAAGAATTCACCTCAGAGTGTCAGAGAGAGAGCGGTGGCTTGAAACGAGTTTTGGCTTGGGGGGAGGTAGGGGGGGAGGCACGAGGGAGGGGGCAGGCCAGAGGGGGGAGGGGCTGGGGGGAGGTCCGGCGTTTCGGGTTCGGGCTGAGCGTGTTGGAACGTTCGTTTGGAAGGTAGTTGAAGCATCATGTATTCTTGTCCGGAGGGTCATAGGTGGCGCACTCGTATGATCTTGACTGCGCCCTGTGCCCAAGACACGCAGATCTTCAAGGAAAGCCCCCTGTTGGAATTGGCCGGATGTTGTGGTTTGTCAGCGAAACTCCGCCGGAGTCTCTCAAGGCCCGGAATCTCAGACACCACGTCTGCAGTACCCTGGATAAGAGGGGCCGCCTTATAATAAGGACCCCGAAAAGGACGATAGTTTTGAGATTAACTCATAAACCGATTCCTATTGCTCTCTTATCTCATAGGAGGTCCTCCAGCCCCAAGCCCTAAGCCCTCTAAACCCTAAGTCCCACACCAAGGCGGGCGGCTACAACCATGTAGACAAGCACGGCGCCAGGGCCCCGCAGGCTTTCATGGGTCTTGCGGTGGGGTCTCTCGCGGGGGGAAAGGAGACCTCAGGAGTTAGGGTTTAGGGTTTAGGGTTTAGGGTTTAGGGCTGCAGGCTCTGAGGGTTTTTCGGGTTTGGGCTTGGGGTTTCAGGATTTAGGGTTCTAGGAGTTTCCCAGCTGCAAAAGTTAAGGTTTTGAAGGTTTTTTGGGTTAGAGGCTTTAGCCTTGGGGTTTGGAGCCTCCGGGCGCCAGCAAGCAGCGGACCTTCCTTCTCCTTGCCTGCCCCAGAAAGTCCTACAAGTCCTGAAAGCCTTATAAAAGCTAAAACCCGAAACGTCCCGAAGCACTGTCCCCCCCAAAGAACCTGAATCCCTGAACGGCCCTAAGCCCCTTAAGCCCCAAAGCCCTTGAACTCTCGTATGCGAGTGCTGACTCAATTTCCCAGTGCTAAGGCGAGAGTATTTGCAAAATTGCGTAGGAAACCATGAAGCCGAGGTCGAGCTCACGCGCAAGCAGCGGGAAGAGCTGGAGAAGCCGGGCTTTCGTTTTTTCTTCGGTTTGGGGTTTAGGGTTTAGGGTTTAGGGTTTAGGGGGGGGAGGGTGTGGTGAAAAGGCCTGCATCAGCACCTCAACCAAACTGCTTGCTTGCCGCATGGCAACGGTAGACAAACCCAAGCCCGAAACCCCCAGCCCCGCAGTAGAACTCGTGTGTCGCTTATTGGGTTTAAGTTGGGATGTTCCCCCGTATACTTTTTTGTGGTTTTGGTTCCCGTGGTGGAAAGTAGTCTTCCCGGAGGGCTTGGGCCGAAAAGTACATTCTTTAAATTTCGGGGGTTTTATTAATCAGATCCTCGGATTAATATAAGGGGGGAACATCCCAACCCCAAACCCTAAACCCTGAACCCTAAACCCGAAACCCAAAACCCTAAACCCTAAACCAAGGTCCAAGAGTTTACGAGGATGTGGTTGCGGAGTGTTCGGAGGGTTTTTAAAGGGGCCCAACCTCGCAGGCAGGCCGCCCGCCGCCGGTACGAGGAGCTGCACAAGGCAGCAGGGGGGGGGCACCTTAGGGTTTAGGGTTTAGGGGTAGGGTTTCGGGTTTCGGGTTTAGGGTTTAGGGTTTAGGGTGTAGGGTTTGGGGTGTAGGGTGTAGGGTTTAGGGTTTAGGGTTTAGGGCGGTGAAGTTGAAAGGTCCGCATCGAGTTCGTGAGTTGTCCGAGGCACAAAGAACGGTAAGCCCTCTACACCAGAAAATTCAAGATCTCCTAGGACTCTTGACTCCTGATAGAATTGAAAGAGCTGAACCCTAAACCATAAACCCTACAAGCTTAGCCCGAAGCCTTAGACCGCACGAACTGCAAACACTTAGCCCAAAACCCTAAACCCTAAACCCTAAACCCTAAACCCTAAACCCTCAACCCTAATCGCTTTTTTTAGCCCCAAAGCCTGCTCTCTCCGAAGGCAGGAAAGACCGATGAGGCCAAAGCCGATCTCAAGCGCCTCGAGGAGGCGGCGCCGAGAAGCTCTTCTTAGGGGTTTAGGGTTTAGGAGTCTAGGAGTTTAGGAGTTTAGGGTTTAGGGTTTAGGAGTTTAGGGTTTAGGGTTTAGGAGTTTAGGGTTTAGGGATTTAGAGTTTAGGGTTTAGGGATTTAGGGTTGAGGGTTTAGGAGTTTAGGGTTGTAGGGTTTAGGGTTTAGGGTTTAGGGGTTTATAGGGTTTAGGGTTTAGGGTTAGGGTTTTGGGGTTTTGGCGTTTTGGGTTTAGGGTTCTTAGGGGTTTCTGTTGGGTAAGATAGGGGTAGAGTGGCAGGTTTCATGTGTTGTTTTTGTTAACGGCTTTATGGGTTCAATAAATTCCGTGGCTTTTCAGGGCTGCCTAGGGTTTTAAAGTATTGTCTAGGGCGTTTTGGGTTTAGGCTTGTGGGTTCAGGGCTTCAGGCTGATAGCGCTTCAGTTATTGAGGGACTAGAGGTTCGGGTCTTTCTTGAGGATCGATAAGTTTTAGGGTTTAGTTTAGGGTTTAGGCTTTCAGGCGGATTTAGTCCGCTTAGGGGTGAAGGGTCTCCGGTTATGCTCGGGGTTTGACAGACTGGGTTTGGGGGTATCGACTCGGGAGTTTGCCTCTTGAGACCGCAGCAAAGCGGCGGGAGCTTGGGCTGTTTTTTTTTGGTTTTTGCGGGGGTGGGGGGGGGAGGGGGGGTGGGGGCGGGGGGCTGAGGTTTTGCCCTGAAGCCAAACCTCTAAGCCCTAAACCCCCCAACCTCCAAAGCCTGAAACTCTAGAGCCCTAAACCCTGCACCCCCTAACCATGAAGTCTAAAGTGTTGGATCTGGCGAAGGAAGCTCTTCATCCCAACCTAGGTTTAGGGTTCAGAGCTTCCCAAAACTAGGTGAAGCCCTGAGCCCGACGTCGTAACCCCTAGACCCTGAAGCCCTCAACCCCGAGCCCCTAAACCCTAAACTCTAAATCCCTAAAGCCAGCCCCTAAACTCCTACACCCCTGAACTCCTACACCCTAATTCCTAAACCCCTAAACCCCTAAACCTCCAAACCCTAAGCCCTAAACCCCCTAAACCCCTAAACCCCTAAACCGCTAAACCCCTAAACCCCTAAACTCCTAAAACTCCTAAACTCCTAAACCCCTAAACCCCTAAGCCCCCCGAAGCCCCTAAACCCCTAAACCCCTAAACCCCTAAACCCCCCGAAGCCCCTAAACCCCTAAACCCCTAAACCCCTAAACCCCCCGAAGCCCCTAAACTCCTAAACCCCTAAACCCCTAAACCCCTAAACCCCTAAACTCCTAAACTCCTAAACCCCTAAACCCCTAAACCCCTAAACCCCTAAACCCCTAAACCCTAAACCCACCCCTAAACCCCCCTAAACCCCTAAACCTCGAAGCCCCCCGAAGCCCCTGAACAGGTGAAGAAGCGACGCGAGGAGGCCGCCCAGAAGCGCGCCGAGGAGCAGGCGGCGGGGACCCCCAGCTGGGTTTAGGGTTTATAGGGTATGGGGTTTATAGGGTTTTGGGGTTTTAGGGTTTAGGGTTTTAGGGTTTAGGGTTTAGGGTTTAGGGTTTAGGGTTTGGGGTTTGGGGTTTCCCTAAAACACCCTAAAGACCCCAAAAGACCCTTTAAAACCCTTCAAAACCTAAAAGAACCTAAAACACCCTAAAGACCCTATGTGCCTCCAAAAGCCCTCCCAAGGCGGCTTCGGCAGCTCAGAAGGAGGATGCCAAAGCCGTGGGCAAAGCCGCGCTGCCCCGGGGCCTGAAATTCTGGCCTCTCTGGGTCGCGTCGTTTAGGGTTTAGGGTTTAGGGGTTTAGGGTGTAGGGTTTAGGGCTTAGGGTAGAAGGGTATAGTAAGAGAGGTTGAGGGTGTTTGGTTTTAGGGTTCGGGCTTAGAGTCTCGGACCCTGTTTCGCGTCGGATAAGGGGGGGGGAGGCGCGGGATCAGAATTCTGGGGCCTTCGGGGAACTGCCCTACTTTGGTTTTTTGACACTACACCCTAAACCTTAAACGCTAAGCTAGGCTCGGGGGCCGTTGTGTCTCACCCTAAACCCTAAACCTGAACCCTACAGTACACCCTAAACCCTAAACCCTAAACTCTAAGCTCGGGCCGTTGTGTCTCAGGATGAAGGAGCTCAAGCAAGCCATGGGCAAGGAGGACGAGGCCTGCGCCGAAGCCTTGACTGGATTTTGGGGGGAGCTGTGGAGCACCCGAAACCCTGAACCCTAAACCCTAAACCCTAAACCCTAAACCCAAAAACCCCTAAACCCCTAAAACACTACTACACTAAAGCCCAAAAACCCTAAACCCCGAAACCCTAAAGCCCTAAAGCCCCCAAAACCCGAGGCCCCTTGCCACAATCCCAGTTATCTTCTGCCAGGCCTCCCTAAGGCCTGGGCCCACTCTGTGACAGAGGGCTCTTCCCATCGTAGACTCGCAGAATTTCCGGAAGTCCTCCACAACTCTGAACCCAAAGCCCTAAACCCTAAACCCTAAACCCTAAACCCTAAACCCTAAACCCTAAGCCCTAAACCCTAAACCCTAAACCCTAAACCCTAAACCCTACACCCCTAACCCTAAACCCTAAACCCTAAACCCTAAACCCTAAACCCTAAACCCTAAACCCTAAACCCTAAACCTCTCTTACATATATAATTAATTTAAATGTTGGAGAGTTACTGGGCAAGGTCGCCGTTTTACTGGGCAAGGTCAGTTCGGTCAAAAAAATCGACCTTGCCCAGTAAAACGGCGACCTTGCCCAGTAAAACGGCGACCTTGCCCAGTAAAAAACGGCGACCTTCCGCCCCTGCCCAGTAAAAATGCGACCTTGGACCCCGAAGGTCGCCGTTTTACTGGGCAAGGTCGCCGTTTTACTGGGCAAGGTCGCCGTTTTACTGGGCAAGGTCGATTTTTTGACCAAAATCGACCTTGCCCAGTAAAACGGCGACCTTGCCCAATAAAATGGCGACCTTCGGGGCCGAAGGTAGCATTTTTACTGGGCAGGGGGGGGTGTCCGAAGGTCGCCGTTTTACTGGGCAAGGTCACCGTTTTACTGGGCAAGGTCGCCGTTTTACTGGGCAAGGTCGCCGTTTTACTGGGCAAGGTCGCCGTTTTACTGGGCAAGGTCGCTGTTTTGCTGGGCAAGGTCGCCGTTTTATTGGGCATGGGCAAGGTCGTTCTATAAGTAAAATATTTTCTTAATGTTGTGGGATTCTTTGGGCGGGTGGGTATTTTCCTGGAGTAATTGCTTGACTAGTGAATGCTTGGACTTGAGATGCTGAACCCTAAACCTTAAACCCTAACCCCCGAAAGGCCCTCAACCCGGCGCCTTCCCCCAAGCCCTGTCAGGCGGCGCCTGCAAAGAGTCGCCCCGCAGCAGGTTCAGGTTAAGCACCGGACCCCGCTTGAGGAGTTCCTAAGGGTTTAGGGTTTACCCAACCCTCAAAATATGCGAAAGAATGGCCCCTTTATGGGTTTGGGCGATTTTTTTTTTTTTTTACGTACTTTGGGGGTCCAGGTAGGGTTCATGGAATCTTGCAAAATACTGTTTAAGGGGTACTGTTGCACTTTCCCTTGTTGTGTAAGGGTCCAGCTAGATCAAGGCAAAGACGAGAAGGAAGAGAAGGATGTCGTGTTTGAGAAGCCTGCCGAGCCAGTGGAGAAGGAGGACCCCTTGTCAGGGCATCCATGTCATTTTTGGCGACTGAATTCCATAAATTACGGCACCTTTTTGGGGCCATAAGCATATTCCAGCGGCCCTTTAAAGGCTAAGGTTGAGGCATGTCGTGTCTTTCGCGTCCTTTTCTTTTCGAGGCGTAGGACCTGTCTCATCGGCTACAACCCACTTTGGGCTTTCAGACCAAGACGTCCGACCAGCCCAAGCCCGAAATCCTGAGTCGCCGGATTCCTGTAGCGCGTGTTTGTTTTTGTTGAAGGATTTGGGTTTGGAGCTTAGGGTGCAGGGTTTAAGGATTCTGGGTTGCGCTTTAACTTGCCCTTTTCCTGTACTCATGAAGCCGCCTGCCCCTCAATCATCTTCAAAGCGGTTCACGCACAACTCAGTTTCAGGATGTTGTGCCCGATTCTGGAAGGGCAGGGCCTGCAATGTTAGGGGCCTAATTTGCAGTTCGGCTTAGGGTTGAGGGTTTTGGGGTTTAGTTGCCAGTTCTAGCCCTAGACCCAACACCCCAACAACCCGAACCCCAGACCCTAATCTCCTAAACCCTAAGCGCACAATTACCAGACGCCGGCCGCGGAGGATGCTGCCCCAAAGAAGAAGCTCATGAACGGGGTGCCGGCCTCGCTATTTCTCCGCAGGGTTTGGGGTTTGGGGTTCAGGGTTTGGGGTTTGGGGTTAGGGATTAGGGAGGAGGGAGGAGGGTTTTGGGGGGGGGGGGGGTTTAGGGTTCCGAAACCCTGAAGCCCTAAACCCGACTAATGTTAGGGTGACATTTATAAACCTTCCCCCCCCCCCTTGATCTTGCTTTGGTTTCCGGGATTTGGAGGGTGGTAAGAAAAGCGGGGGTGGCAATCAAGTGGGTCTGGGGGTCTGGGGATTCCAGGACTTTGTCTGTCTGTTGTCCTCTGCTCTGCTGCAATGGAACTCTTATAAGCAACCTGCAGTTAAAAAAAAGTAGACTTCTGGCCAGCCGAATTCTTATAAATGTCACCCCAATTATTATTCTCACCCGACCCCCTTATATAGCCTTCTTTAGACACATCAGCCCAAAAAACCTCCCGCAATGAAAGTAGTCTTGGACCGGGATCCCCGGGCCCGCCGAATATTTTCTCACCCCATTTCTAAATGTGACGTTCACATTAGGGGTTTAGGGTTTAGGGTTTAGGGTTTAGGGTTTAGGGTTTAGGGTTGAACCTCTTCGTTTTCCCGCGGCTTGCGGGGCCCGAGGGCTGTGAGGAGCGAGCGATTGAAGATTGGACTTTGGGTGCTCAGAGACCGTCACCCTCACTCCAAGTTCCCAAATCCCCTAGTAACCCTAAACCCTAAACCCTGAACCATAAAGCCCCCCAGTCGCTCGAAGCCCTTTAGGGTTCAAGGATTAGAGTTTCAGGTTTAGGTCTTAGGTTTTAGAGTTCAGGGATTAGAATTTCGGGACTTTCCAGGCGGACCTGGCCGACGTCTACTCCTTCGTCTCCTCGGACAGCAAGGTGAAGGAGGAGGGAAGTCGGTTCAAGGCCGGTGACGCCCAAAGCCTGAAGCTTCTTTCGTTTCATGAGATCTTCCTAAACCCTAAGCCCCAAAACTCCTAAATCCTAGGAACCTAAACTCTGCCGACCGAAGACAGTTGAGTGCTGCCCCAGCCCCAAGCGCCGGAAAGGCAACGCTTTGAATATTTCGTTTTATGGTTTGGGGTTTAGGGCTGTAGGGCTTTGAAGGCCGAGGCTTACGTTGGAGTTCAGGATGCACATTGAACCTAAACTACAAACGGCATGTGAGCTGCTTTCTGTGCTGCAGGATGAAAGCCTCAACTCCCTGAAATCCTATATCAACCCAAGCCTCAAACCACCCCAACACAGTGCACCCCTTCTGGTGTGATGCCCTGCGCCCCTATGCTCCCAAAAAAAGAACCCGAAGTAACAGAACAGGATTCACATAAGAAAGCTGCATTCATGCAATATAGCGGTCGGAGAAAAATTACTAATAGTGTTCCCTTAGGGTCCCCTTTATATTTTTTTACTATAATACCCCCCCAAAACCCTATTCTAATTATTAAGGCCATCCCCACGCCTAACTGCCTAACTAATGTATAACGGGGGGGCGTGTACTTAGGGGGAAAATTGGGCCACCAAGGCAAAAATGTAACGGGAGGGGGGGGGGGGGGGGGGGGTAGGTATAGTGAGGTCTGAGGTGCCGACATTGCAGGGATTCAGCCTGGATTAAGAGCACAAAGGCGAAAAACGATCACATGTCATTAGGGTCTGTTATGCATTTCTCCTGGCCTGTTAAACCCAGGAAATTAAATACCCGGGGGGGGGGGGGGGGGGCGTCGTAAGTAGGAGTTAGGCGTCGGTATTTAAGGCCCCTACAGTAGACATGGAGTATAGTCCCTGTATAAGTATACTATAATAACCCCCCAAACCCCTATTCTAATCATTAAGGCCCCTATAGTAGACATGGAGTATAAGCAAAGCAGCTGGAGGAAACAGACGGCACCATTGAGGCGTGCCGAGCCGCCGAGGTCTTCCAAAAGGGAGTTTTTTTGTGGGGGAAACCCTGAGCCCTAAGCCCTGAAGCCTAAACCCTAAACCCTAAACCCTAAACCCTAAACCCTAAACCCTTTTTTTGGGGGAGGGGGTGGGTGGGTGGAGTGGGGGGGCATCTGGGAGTCGGGTTAAATTCGGGTGGGGGTTCAGGAAGGAGTACATGACCAAGCTCGAATGCCTTCGAGTAGGGTTTAGGGTTTAGGGTTTGAGGTTTAGGGTTTAGGGTTTAGGGATGTGTTGGGTAGGGGGTTCCGTTGGGCATATGTAGGTTAAGTGCTGAAGTTGTTGAGGGTGTTTGAGGTAGTTAGGTAGGCAGGTAACGTGTTTTTTGCGTTTCGCTCCTTGAGAGGTCCCCGGTTAAAGAGCGCCTTAGGGAACATACAGTACTTGGGGTTGCAGCGCCACAAGGCCTTAGAGCAGCCAGTAGTGATCCTGACGCCGCAATGCCAAGGCCGACTTCATGTGAGTGGGCAGCGCCCGCAATGCCGTAGTTGAGCTGCGGCTTGTTCCTGGTCCTGAGTTCATTTGTTTCATGGGTACTCTCAAGCACATTCATGAGTTAAGTAAGGAAGTTGAAACGACTATAGCCCTCACTGAGGAGCCGAGAATTCTAGTGGGCACTGTCCCCAAACCCTAAACCCTAAACCCTAAACCCTAAACCCTAAACCCTAAACCCTAAGCCCTGAACCCCCGACTACGAGGGCCGGCCCCCGAAGCCCAGAAGGGGGGATTTAAGGGGGCCTCCAGGCCCAGGGACTTCGTAAGTAGGTTGGTTTTTCGGACATTTTGTGACGGGTTCATAAGGGACCCTATATTTTAATATTTTTCAGAGGGTTTAATCCAGATAAGAAAATTCCCGAATATTCCCGGGCACCGAATCCGTGCCTTGAAGGGAGTTTTTTGCTGTGAGAAGTTCAACACTGAGTCTGGGTTGATTGGCTTTAGGGCTCAGACTTCTAGTCAGGAGGGTTCAGGGGTGGGGTTTGGGGCTTTGGGGCTTAGACTTCTTTAACCCACACCTCCTCTCCCCCCCCCCCCCCCAAATCCCTCCCAGCGCCTAAATCCTAAACCCTAAACCCTGAGCCCTAACCCTAAACCCTAAACCCTAAGCCCTAAGCCCTAAACCCTAAACCCTAAACCCTAAACCCTAAACCCTAAAGGGGTCTCTCAAGTGGTGGTCAAGCATGAATGAGCCCCAGGAGCCAAAGCTCCCTGGCACAATGTACTGGGGCTGAGAGGCTAGGGTTTGGGGTTTGGGGTTTCGGGCTTAGGGTGAAAGGGTTGAGGGTTTAGGGTTTAGGGTTTAGGGTTTAGGGTTTAGGGTTTAGGGTTTAGGGTTGAGGGTTGAGGGTTTAGGGTTCAAGGAGGAAGAAGTCGCGAGCTCTGGAACAGATCTCGAAGTGTCCTGCCATAAGTCCGGCCTGTGCGCGCAGCAACACGCAACCCGCAGACCCGACTCCCCCAAATCCCTGCTGTTTGGGGTTTAGGGTTCAGGGTTCAGGGTTCAGGGTTTAGGGTTTAGGGTTCAGGGTTCAGGGCTTGGGGAATTAGGGCACTTTTGTCACCTCGGTGCCCTACAAGCCGTACAACTCACAAGGGCCCACCGATGCAAGAGATGAGCCGGAACCCCAAGTGGGGTTCTCCCTATAGAAGAAGCTCCTGAATATGTAGGGTTTAGGTTTAGGGCTTAGGGTTTAGGGTTTAGGGTTCGGGGGGGATTTCAGGGACTAGCGGCGTGAACTACTTTAGTTGTATTCAGCTTATTGGCTTGTCAAGGCTTTTGTTGGCCCATTTCATACAAGTTGAAGAGATCTGGGCACAAGTCAGAAACCCTCATTGAACCCCCAAAGCCCAACCCCAAACCCCAAACCCCCCCAAACCCGAGGCCAAGCCCCAAGCCCTCAGCCCTGGGCCCTAAGCCCCAAGCCCCAAGCCTTAAACCCTAAACCCTAAACCCTAAACCCTAAACCCTAAACCCTAAACCCTAAACCCTAAACCCTAAACCCTAAACCCTAAACCCTAAACCTAAACCCTAAAACCCTAAACCCTAAACCCCTAAAAACCCTAAACCCTAAACCCTAAAAACCCTAAACCCTAAACCCTAAACCCTAACCCTAACTAAACCTAAACCCTAAACCTAAACCCTAAACCCTAAACCCTAAAACCTAAACCCTAAACCCTCCTACCCTTCGACTCTACACCCCCAAACAAGACGCGAAGCCGAATCGCAGGCCGGTTGGAGGGGGCACACTCCCAAAAAATCCCCAGCCCCCATGCCAAGCCGTCCTTCTTAGGGTTTAGGGTTTAGGGTTAGGTTCGGGTTTAGGGTAGGGTTAGGGTTTAGGGTTTAGGGTTAGTTTGTTTAGGTTTTGGGTTTAGCCCCCCCCCCCCCCCCCCGAAACCTGGAAAGCCCTTGCGGCTTTAGCAGCTTTAGGGTTTAGGGGTTTGGACTTATAGGGGTTTGGAGTTCAGGGTTTAGGGGCTTGAGGTATTACGGTTTTGGGGTTTGGGATTATAGGGATTTAGGGTTCAGGGTTTGGGGTAATTCCCCGGGCGCATTAAAGGGGGGGGGGATTCGAAGGGAATTGTAGGGAGTTTAAGGCTTCAGGTGGTGTTCTGATATCGAGATAACCAAAGCGGATTTCGGAAGATTCCCTTCGAAGGCATAGCTTACAGAGCTGAAGCCTCTACAAGCTCCAAAATTTTATAAAGCTCGACACAAGCCCTAAACGCCCAATGAACACTAATAGCTAAACCCTCAACCCTAAACCCTAAACGCTACACCCTAAACCCTAAACCCCCTAAGCCCTAACTCCGATGTAAAAAAAAACAAAACACGTCCGAAACCCTAAACCCTAAACTCTGAACCCTAAACCCTCCTGAACATCTCTGCCGGGCGCCTGGCATGACGAGCCCGCAGGAAGTGCCTTAAGAGGGCCTTTTGGAGGATCCAATGTGAGTGAGGTTTGCTTTTGGTGGTTTAGGGTTTAGGGTTTGGAGTTTAAGGGTGCAGGGTTTAGGGTTCAGGGTTTAGAGAGGAAATTCAGGAGGTTCAGGGTTTCTCTGTTTGGGGCTGACGATGTTTTGGATTCTTCAGGGGCTCCCCTCGCCATTTACATCAAGTCGGAGCCAATTTGAGGGAACCTCGTCGGCCGTCGGGCACAAAGCAAGCCGGGGAAGCCACAACCTTAAGGACGTCCTATTCTAGGGTTTAGGGTTTGGGGTTTAGGGTTTAGGGTTTAGGGTTTAGGGTTTGGGATTTGGGGTTTAGGGTTTAGGGTCTAGGGTCTAGGGTTTAGGGAACCTGAACCCCATGCGAGATGTTTTTTGGAGGGCTTTCAGTGCTTAGGGTTGATGGTTCAACTCTGAACCCTGTTGTCCCAAAACCCTCACGGCGGGTCTTCCAGAGGCCTGGCCTCAAAGGAACATCCGTTGGTAGTGGAAGAGAGACCCTTTCCAACCCAACCGGAGCCACTAAACCCTAAACCCTAAACCCTAAAACCCTAAACCCTAAACCCTAAAACCCTGAAAGTCCCAAGCGCCCAAAGCACCTTCTCTTCCGACGAGCGAAGGAGGGTTTTCAGTTTGGGGCTTGGGGTTCAGGGTTCAGGGTTTAGGGTTTAGGGTTTAGGATCTCCAACCTTGAGCCCTAACAATTTGAATCTGCAACTCCCTTTCCTTAGCCACTCCTTTTCCTTCGCTTGGCTCCAAGAATCAAGGAGGAAACTGCCGTCTCATGGCCCGGCCTCATGGGCATCTGAGGAGGAGTCCATGGAGTTGGCGACTCGGGGGCCAAGCGCTTGAAGCACTTTAGAACGGCTTTTGAAGGGCTTTGAAGGGCCTTGGCCCCAGGAAAAGAGGGAGCTGATCTCTTCTCACATACCTGTTCCGTGCCAGCGCAGACGCAGCAGCATGCCCACCACCAGACACCACATCTGCAGAGTACACGCAGAAAGCCTATAAACCCTAAACCGATTCCAAAGCACCCCTAGACGTCAGCAACCAGGAGGCGCCCGAAGGCCTAAGCCTGATATGCGCATTTCCAGAGGGGTACCCCTAATGTGCCCCAAAACACGATCATCCTCTTTATAGTAACCCCCCAAATACCCCTATTTCGGAAACCCCCCCCCAGATGCCTCTGAAACTTGACCTTTGGAACTCGTGAGGCTCAGGCATCCCTTCACAAGACACAAGAGGCCTCAAAGACAACCCATGTGCCCCCCCGCCATGTCATCCCTCCTGAGCCTGCTCTGTGTGGTCGCTGCGGCGGCCCTGTCGCCTGAAGAGCTCCGGGTTCTCAGGGAGCTCTTTCCGCAACACGAGGGGACGCCCTGCGTGGGGCCAAGGGTTGAGTGCAACCAGGGCCACTTGGTGCGGCTCGACCTGAGCGACACGGAGTTGAGGGAGGTCCCTGAGTCTTTGAGTGAACTGATGTGGCTGGAGCAGCTTGATTTAAGCCACAACCGGCTGAAGAGTCTGGGGTCCGTCGGAAGTTTGCCGAAGCTGACGCATCTTGATTTGAACTACAACCATTTGAAGAGTATCCCCGAGTCGCTGGACAGATTGACGCAGCTGATGTGGCTTGACTTGGGGCGCAACCAGCTGAAGAGCATCCCTGAGTCGATGGGCAACTTGACGTGGCTGCAGGAGCTTGATTTGAACCACAACCAGCTAAAGAGCCTCCCCGAGTCGATGGGAAGCTTGACGAGGCTGGAGAGTTTGTTTTTGAACGACAACCAGCTGGAGAGCATCCCAGAGTCGATGGGAAGCTTGACGAGGCTGGGGGGCTTGGATTTGAACAACAACCGGCTGCAGAGCATTCCCGAGTCGCTGGGCAGCTTGACGTGGCTGAGGGAGCTTGATTTAAGCGTCAACGTTCTAAAGAGCATCCCAGAGTCGCTGGGCAGCTTGACGGAGCTGACATGGCTTGATTTGAGGCTCAACCGGCTGGAGAGCATCCCCGCGTCGATGGGCAGCTTGACGCGGCTGACGTGGCTTGATTTGAAGGAAAACCAGCTGAAGAGCATCCCGGAGTCGTTGGGCAGCTTGACGCAGCTGGCGCGGCTTGACTTGAGGCGCAACCAGCTGAATTGCATCCCCGAGTCGCTGGGCAGCTTGACGAAGCTGGAGCGGTTTGATTTGAGCTACAACCAACTGAAGAGCATCCCCGAGTCGATGGGCAGCTTGACGCGGCTGAAGGGGCAGAGTTTGGAGCACAACCAGCTGAAGAGCATCCCCGAGTCGCTGGGCAGATTGACGCAGCTGACGTGGCTTGACTTGAGGAGCAACCAGCTGGAGAGCATCCCTGAGTCGATGGGCAGCTTGACGTGGCTGCAGCAGCTTGATTTGAGCCACAACCAGCTGACTAGCATCCCCGAGTCTTTGGGCAGCTTGACGAGGCTGGAGAAGTTTTTGTTGAACGACAACCAGCTGGAGAGCATCCCAGAGTCGATGGGCATCTTGACGAGGCTGGGGCAGCTTGATTTGAGCTATAACCAACTGAAGAGCGTCCCAGAGTCGCTGGGCAACATGACTTGGCTGAAGGGGCTGAGTTTGAGGCACAACCAGCTGGAGAGCATCCCCGAGTCGCTGGGCAGCTTGACGCAGCTGCTGTGGCTTGATGTGGGGCGCAACCAGCTGAAGAGCATCCCAGAGTCGATGGGCAGCTTGACACGGCTGAAGGAGCTTGCTTTGAACGACAACCGGCTGGAGAGCATCCCAGAGTCGGTGGGAAGCTTCATGAGGCTGTGGAAACTTGATTTGAACGACAACCGGCTTGAGAGCATTCCCGGGTCGCTGGGCAGCCTGATGAATCTGTTGGAGCTTGACTTGAGCCACAACCAGCTGAAGAGCATCCCCGAGTCGCTGGGCAGCTTGACGCAGCTGGCGCAGCTTCAACTGAGGCATAACCAGCTGAAGAGCATCCCCGAGTCGATGGGCAGCTCGAGGGGGCTGAGGAACCTTGATTTGAGTCACAACTTGCTGAAGAGCATCCCGGAGTCGCTAGGCAGCTTGACGCGGCTGAAGGGGTTGAATTTGAGGTACAACCAGCTGAAGAGCATCCCCAAGTCACTGGGCAGTCTGATGAAACTGATGGAGCTTGACCTTCGCAACAACAGCCTGGTAGAGCTGCCTGACGCAATTGGCAGGCTCGGCAGCTTAGAGGTTTTGCAGGCTGATAGGAACTTCCTTACCGAGCTGCCCCAGAGTGTTGGACAGCTCGCCAAGCTCAAGCGGCTCTATCTACAGCACAACAAGCTCCAAGATTTCGTCACAGGCCCGGCTCTGCCAAGCCTTGAGGTGTTGCTTCTGCAAAGCAACAGGCTCCGAGCCATCGAGCACTTTTGTCAACTGCGGAACCTTACCACGCTGTATCTGCACAAAAACCATCTGAGCGGCCGCATCCCACAGTGCCTGTCAGCCATGGCATCTCTAAGAGTATTGACTCTACATGAGAATTGCTTGACTGGAGAGATCCCCAGGGGGCTTCCGGCAATGCGCTTCTTGAAAGTCTTGACGCTCCATCAGAATAAGCTGTCCGGCCAAATTCCCGCAGATGTCGGGTCTTTCGAGCAGCTTGCGTTCCTGTCAGCGCACGCAAATGCTTTAACGGGGCCAGTTCCAGAGCTGAACTTGACAAACGGCTGCACGAACGACGACTCTTTCAGCATGATCGTGGAAGATGCCGGTTATGGCTCCATGGAGTTCACGTGTGCAGTCGTAGGCATGTTACCATTCGAGTGGAAACCGGACCTGGGTCAGAAGCAAAGGCAGATGTTCCAGGATGCTTGCCCGGAGCGTGTTCATATGTGTGAAAAGGCTGCTGCGAGAGGCCCAACGCTTCTCCTGCACGGCAATCGCTTGTCTTGTGGAGCTCCTCGCGACGTAACTGCTGATCCGGAATCCTTGAGATCGCTGGTAGTCATCGGCAACATGTTGGGAGATCCATCAACGAAGTTGCCGGACTGGGTCGCAAAGGTGGAGCAACAACCGTTCCTTTACGTTTCCGTCTCCACTGTGCGGCTTTTATGCTGTCGGTTTGCGGCTTTGGCGCTGTTTTTTGTAGGGGCTTGGCGCTTTGTTCTGGGCAGTTGGCATCACCTGCAAATCACAGAGGCGCTCGAGGACGAAACTGAAATCTCTCACCGGTTCCTCGTCACGGCAAGTGGTCTCTTCGCCCCTCTCACACTGGTGCTGTTTTGTCTCTACGTGTTTGGATCTTTTTACTACGATGGGTGTGGAGACGATTTCCTGAAGAGCACCGTTGCCTACTTCCAGAGTCCAGACTGCGAACCATGGCTTGGCTGCACGTGGTCCGTTTGGAGCTTAGGCTCCGCGTGGCTCTTGCGGCACGTGCCAAAGCCTAAGAAACACCGCGGCGCACGCCCAGGCCGCCCAAGCGCCAAGACCAGCAAGGCGCTGTGGTGGATTGTGTGGCTGGGGTTGGTTCTTCTCCTGTCGGCACCCTCCATGGCGTATGCCTTCATGAGCACACTGCCACAGCAAAACCAGCTCCTGACGAGGCCCTGGGTGCTCTGGGCCATCAAGAATCAAGCTGCCTTAGTCATGATGCTGGTGGACATGCTTGTCACGCCAAAGTTGGCCGCCATGATGTCGCAGCGCTCGCGCATCCGCCGATCGATGCTTCTCATGGCCGCCCGGACATCCACCATGTGGCTCAACGCCGCTCTCTACACGATCTACCTCAGCGAGCACTGCCAGCGTGGGTGGACGAGGTATTGGAATGTCTGCAATGTAGCTTCGGAGGAGTACAAGCAGTTCAACATCAGCTTGGGAGAGCATCAACTTCTTGAGCCCGTCGCTGACTTATGCGGTGAGAACGTTCGGTGGTGGGCCACGGACGCTTGCGCGAGGTCTGTGGTGGGCACTCTGGCTCCGCTGCTCCTGAGCAAGATGATCCAGCGTGCCTTGCTGCAACCAGTGATAACGGTGGTGCTGTGGAAGCTCTCTGTCAAGGAGGACGGTTCACTCTACTTCGCTCCCCTGCGATTGCTGGGTGTCCGGTGGAAGATGTGCACCAGCCGAAACCTCGACAGGGCGCAGCAGGCAACCTTCTTGGTCACATTGGCAGAGGTGCTGCTGATCTGGGCCCCCTTGATTCCTCTGTTGCTGCCCGCAGCGGCCCTTGCGGTCACGCTGAACCTGCGCGTTTTCCGTGTGGGGCAGCGCGTCTTCGGAGCCGACGTGCCAGAATTGGAAGAAGGCGAGACAGCAAGCATGTCCAGGAAGTACATGATGGCCAGCGTGGTGGTGCTCCTGCTCTTTCAGAACTGGTTCGCCTGGACTTCCGAGATGTCCGGCATGTGGCTGCTGAGCCTTGCGAGCTGCCTGGCGGTCGGCCTCATGGGAAGCATGGCCAGCACGGCTGGAAGTGCTGGTGCCACTGAGGAGGAGTCTGTGGAGTTGGCGACCCTGGGGCCAAGTGCTTGAAGCGCAAAAGAAGGAGCTGATCGCGTCACATACCTGTTCTTTTGTACTAGAGGAGGGCACATTTGGGGCTTTGTACGGATATAGACGCCCAAAATATACTCTGCACCTCTCCTTGGAAGGTTTCGGGTTTAGGGGTTTAGGGTTTCGGGGTTTCAGGGTCTCGCTGTCCTTAAAGCAACTCTGTGGTCATGACTGGTTGAGACTCGGGCCAAGCCCCAAAAAAACCAAGCAGCGCCCTGAACATGGCGGGCTGCGGTTCAGAGTTTCGGGCTGTAGGGTTTGTAAGGCTAAGGCTTACGTGGGAGCCGAGGATGCACATGAACCTAGACTTTCTTGGGATTCCGAGAGGCCAGAAGCATTCGAGCTGTTTGTCGCTAGGAATTTCAAAAAACCCTCAACCCCCTGGAGCCTCAATAACCCTGTAAACCCAAACCTGAAACCACCCCAACACGGTGGCCCCCCCTATCACTGCTGTACGTAAAACCTACAGACCTACATACACCCTACCCTCATGAGCCCTCAGCCTTGACTCCTTACAAGCCCAAACCCTGCAAACCCTAACTCCTTTCAGCACTTTAACCCTAATCCTCGCCCTTCGCCCCAAAAAGTATGTAAGCAACATAACGGAATCAAAGTCATAAAACTACATACAGACATATAGTAGCAGCACAAAGCAGCTGGAGGAAACCGACGGCACCATTGAGGCGTGCCGAGCCGCTGAGGTCTTCCAAAAGTTTTTTTGTGGGGGAAACCTGAACCCTAAACCCTGAATTCTAAACCTTAAACCCTAAACCCTAAACCCTAAACCCTAAAGGGTAACCCTTTGTGCAACCCGCCCAAGCCCAACTTCTCAGATAGTCGACGCCCGGCAGAAGCCTACGTCCCGATGCCCTGGCACCCTTTTTTGCCCTGCAAGCTACAAACCCTACAACTCCCGAGGGCCCTTGGAACCCTATGGAGGGAACCCTCAGTGGGGTTCACCCTACAGAAGAACCTCCCGAATATGTAGGGTGTAGGATTCAGGTGGACATGAAGGACTTCTAGCTAAGTGATAGCCAGGCCTTGTGGTGCTTATTGGCTTGTCAAGGAACCCTAAACCCTAAACCCTAAACCCTAAACCCTAAACCCTAAACCCTAAGCGCCCCTTTTTGGGGGATCGGTTGAAGAGGCGAGGGCTGCCTTCGAACCCTCGAGCTGGGTTCCGCTTCTTTTAGCAGAGAACTGACCCAAGTCAGCAACCCAAATAGCCGAAATAGCCCCCTAAACCCCAATCCCTAAACCCTGAACCCTAAAACCTAAACCCTAAGCCCTATATAAAACCTAAAACCCTAAAACCTAAACCCTAAACCTTAAACCTAAACCCTAAACCCTAAACCCTAAACCCTAAACCCTTAACCCTTAACCCTAAACCCTAATCCCTAAACCCTATCCCTAAACCCTATCCCTATCCCTATATCTCCTATACCCTTAAAGGCCCTTAAACTCTACACCCCCGAAAGACGCGAAGCGGGATCCACCGGCCGGTGGGACGGGGCATACTCAAACCAAGCCGCCCGACACCTGGAAAGCCCCCCCGTGGCTTTAAGGTTTGGGTTTTGGGTGGTTTTGGGGCTTATGGGGTTTAATCTCGAGATGGCCAAAGCAGATTTCGGAAGATTTCCCGTCGAAAGCATAGCTTGTTTTTGGAGTCTTGGGGTTTACAGAGCTTCAGGCTTTGGGGCTCTCAATGCCTCGAGAAGCTCCAAAACCTTATCAACCACTATCAGCCGGATACAAGCCCTTTGCACCCAATAAACACTCACAGTTAGCCCTAAACCCTAAACCCTAAACCCTAAACCCTAAACCCTAAACCCCCTAAGCCCAATGTAAACACGTCCGAAGCCTTCGGGACATCTCGGTGCAGGCTGCCCGGCATGATGAGCCCGGCAGAATGTGCAAAAAAGTTATATTATTATCATTAGAGTCAATAATATTATTATCATTAGAGTCAATAATATTATTATCATTAGAGTCTATAATATTGTTATCATTAGAGTCTATAATATTATTATCATTAGAGTCTATAATATTATCATCAATATTATTATCATTGGAGTCTATAATATCAAAACTACGTGATTTGTCCAAGGTTGACCATCCTTTTGAAATGCCATGATATTCACAAATAATATGTTAATAATTGAGGGGCTTGGAGAATCCAATGCGAGTGAGGTTTCCGGTTTAGGTCTTAGGGTTTAGAGTTTAAGGGCACAGGTTTCAGGGTTCGGGGTTTAGGGTTTAAAGCAGGAAGAATGTTTAGGTGGTTTCAGGGTTTCTCTGCTGGGGCTTACGATGGTTTGGGATTCTTCAGCGGCCACCCACGCCAAGTGCATCAAGTCGGAGCCAGTTTGAGGGAACCTCATCGGCCGTCAGGCACAAGCAAGGCCGAGAACTGCCTCAACCCTAAGCAGGGGTTTGGGTTTAGAAATAAGAGCTTGGGAGCCTCCCGTGGCCCCTAACCTGAAGCCCATAACAGCAGTAGGTTTAGGGCGCCGGATTCCACTCTCAACCCTTTTGTCGTCCGAAAATCCTCACGGGATTCCCGTAGGCCTGGCCTCAAAGGAGGATTTCGGATCCCTGAAGGGTGGCGGAGACGAAAGCCTCCTCCAACCCAACCACAGCCCTGTAAGCACCTGACCCTAGGAACTCCTTCAAGGCTCCAGGTTTGTGCACGGACAATACTCTCTTGAAACCCCGAGCCGCCTGGCAGTATAGGAGCCCTGAACCCTAAACCCTAAACCCTAAACCCTGAAAGTGTTTAGGGGTGCCTCTCTGCTCCCTAAGCTGAACTCCAAGAATCAAGGCGGAAGCTGCAGTTTCATGGCCGAGCTGGCTCAAAGACTGGTCCCCCCTTGTCCTGATAGCTAGTAATTGCCGGACAGTTGGCATCACAGCTTATCATGTCGCTTGTCCAATCGCTTGGTGTCTCGCTTGTCCCTTCGGGACAGCAACACCAAGCGCAGAATCAGAGGCCTTCGGAGACTGTCCAGCTTGTCCAAATCGGTGTGTTCGCACTGCTCAGCCTCGCGATGCTGATGCGCAGTGACCCTGTTGTCCTCGTTGCTGAGATTCGAGCGACCATCTTGGACTTCGTTGCTGAGATTCGAACGACCATCTTAATGCTAGCTCCAACGTGCATCCAGCTTGCCCCCTATCTTGCAGGCCTTGCCCTCGCCGCCATCGCCCTTCGCATCTTGTTCGAATACCATCGGGGCCGGCTATATGTTAGGGCACTGGAGGCTGAGTCCAGCAAACAAAAGGCAGAGATAGAAGCCAACCGCGCAGTACAAGTGGAGGACGCAAAGGCCAGAGGCAAGGCGGAAGAAGCAAGAATCGCAATTGCCGCGGCAAAAACAACCGAGGCTGCTGCCAGGGCAGCGGAGGCCAAAAAAGAGGAGAGGGAGGCCAAAGCAGAGGAGAGGGAGCGGCAGGAGCGACAGGAGGAGAAGCGCGAGCGCGAGGAGCGGCTGCGTAGTGAGCGAGCAAAGAACGCGAAGGGAGATGGTTGCGCCATGATGTAAGAACATCTGCGCTTGTACAAAAAGACCATATTCATGATTGCCACGATTTTTGAGTGGTCGCCCGCAGGACTCAATTGTAGGTTGCAACAGTTCAGAGCGACGTTGGAAAACTGACGTGGAGAAGACTGCGGCCCTTGATGCGTTTTTAGGGACTTGTTTTTGAGGTCAGGTCTTTTCGTGGAGTTTCCTTGCTTGGTTGTTGCCTTGTCCCGGGCTGCATTCTGTGCACTCTCGTTTGAAGAGCCAGGATCCGAAACCCTGATCTTGGCAGCCCAGTGGTACCCTTTACCGTTTTTTTTTTGTTCTGGGTTCCCTTATAAAGTAACCAACCCCAAAAAGGGCGCCCTTATTGTAATATGGTTACTGGGCTACGAAGTGATTCCGAAGTCCGAGCAGCCCTAGAGCCCGAAAGCCCTCAGCCGGGTTCAGGCTTGGTCGTTCACTCACAGAGAGTTTAGGGTTTAGGGTTTAGGGGGTGTAGCGGGATACAAGCTTCTAAGCCTTGTTCATTGCCCTCTCTGAGTCACATAGTTTGTTGCACCCCCCAAACCCCGCCCGCCTCCCTCAACCTGGGGCCAGGAATATCTCTTCACTCCGTTAGTGAAGTGTGCATTCAAGATATTCAAGATATGGGGCCGGGCTGGTGGGGTTTTTAGGGCTTTTTAGGTTTCGAGAAAACCTAGCCACTCAAAACGAGCGGATACTTTGCTACCCCGCCCCCCCCCCCCCCCCCCATGCTGACTTCTAAAGGCACGGTTGAGTATTCAAAGGCGAAGTGTAAGGTTTTCGGTGATTTTTAAAAATCTTCTTCAGGGTCAGGAGGTTTCGGATCTGGACCTTTCCAGGCCCACGTGAAAAAAAAAACAAAAAACCGCTGCCTCCGGCTCGAGCCTCTTTCTTGAAAGACGGCTTCGTGCAGTTTCTAAACCCAGCGACTTGGCCGAACGATGGTTCCAGGTCCGAAGGTGTTGAGGGTTTCCATGGTTAGGGTCTTTGGTGAGGGCTTACTAAAAGGCTCGGGGGTTGTTTCTAAATTATAATTTTTACGTAAGTGCCCTCAGAAGTTGTGTTACCACCTCCCCCCTCATAGTCTTAAGTTGCTACCCTGAAAAAACCCGAAACATCCGGGTTTGCTTTGCTTGTGCTCGCAGAGTCAAAAGCGAGTGTGTGTGTGTGTGTGTGTGTCATACGCTTTCGGGTCTCCGGTCAAACTTCGGGATCCTCCTTGCAAGTCCACGGGTAGTTCGTGGTGGCGCGTTTGTTTGCCTGGTCGTCTCGTCTGTTGTCCTGCTGCTGTCTTCTGTTTTGGTTTCTTCTCTTCTGCTTTGTCTTGGGCAAGGGGGGGGAAGAGGAGGGGGGGAGGAGGGGGGGAGGAGGGGGGGGAAGGGGGAGGATGGGAGGGGGGAGGGGTTAGTTACGCCCATTTCGGACCTTATGGCTAACCCCTCTTGCATTGCAATCACGAAGTCTTCGCATCCCGGCACCCTGAAGTAGTGCGCGCACGAAGTGTCGGTTTTTGTTTGTTTGGTTGTTTTGATGTCGGACCTTGTGGTTTGGTGGGTTTGGTAGGGATCAGAGTATCCAAATAAGATCTAGTGAAAGAAACCCTCCACCAGTACAATCGCCGAAGCGAATCACCTAGAGACTCCGTTGGTTCCAACCACGGAGTGAAACTGTTGGCTTTTTCTTCACTGCTGCATTTCTGAGCGTTTGCAGCCTTCGCTCCGCTTGCAACAACAAGTTTTGTTTGATCCGCCTACAAATAAATTATCCCCCAAACCGTCTACTGTTGGGCTTCTAAATTCATTTAAGGATTGCCGACATTCTGAGGACTGTTGCCGGGTTCCTGGGCTTTTTGTCTCCCTTTGTCTCCCTTCGTCTCCCTTTGTCTCCCTTCATGTGGGTGGCTTTGCCGGGTTGCTGTGCTCCTCGCATCCTGTTTCTTTGACGTGCCTTTGACTGTTTGGGGTCTTTCGGGGGTGTGATTTTTGAACCCGAATACATATCTGTTGATGCCCTACCCCCTCTTGGCTTGCCATGCCATGCACACAGCAGTGGTCGCCCAAAATCTCACCGACAATAATCATCCACAAGTAGTTCAGGGAGGCTTTCAAAGCGCGCTTTTCCAGAAAACCACGACACCTTCCAGTAAACCCGATCATAAGTCATGCCAGAAGCAAACCTGGCAAAACGAGGCACCAGAACCGCGTATTTACACACGGGGTTCAGGGTTTAAGGGTTTGGGGTTTGGTGTTCCCAAGATCTTCTGGACTTCCCTGAACCTGAAACCCAAGGCCATCAATCCTCGACGATCTCACCCCACTCCCCCAAGGGGGCACGGTGTACTTGTGGGTGTACGGGGTTACAAGTATGGCTCTTAAACCCTCCAAGACACTTTGGGCCTGACCTAAACTCTGCACCCTCAGTTCTGTGAGCTGCTCATGGTTTCGGGTGCGTATCAAAAGTGGCTTCGGGTTTCGGAGTTTAATTTACGTCTACCCCTCTACTTCTTGCACTGCAAGGCGCCTTTGCCCGGTGTTCCCGCTCCGTCTTCGGAGAGCCGCTGGGGTCAGCAAGAAGCTAGAAAAAATCCTAGCTCCGCTGAACTGTCTTTGAGGGTTGAGGGGCTAGGGGGTTCAACTCTGGTACTCTGGTGTTTTCGGGGCTCAGAGCTTCAGAAACGCCGTAAGTGCTGAGTAGGCTCTCAGCCCTAAGCCCTCAGCCCTGAGCCCTCGACCCAAGCCCGCATCCCTCGTCCCATGTCGTTTAGGTGCCAGGCAACCTTCTCCCAGGTTTGTTCGTGGAAGTATGCCGCCCCCCCCCCCCCCCCCCCCACCCCCCCCCCCCCCCCCCCCGCCCCTAAACCCCTCAACCCCATAACCCCTAAACCCCTAAACCCTAAACCCTAAACCCTAAACCCCTAAACCCTCTAAACCCCTAAACCCTAAACCCCTAAACCCCTAAACCCTAAACCCTTAAACCCCCACAAACCCGAAACCCCTAAACCTAAAAACCCCTAAACCCTAAACCTAAACCCCTAAACCCTAAACCCCTAAACCCCTAAACCCCTAACCCCTAAACCCCTACAACCCAAACCCTAAACACCCAACCCCTAAACCCCTAAACCCGAACCCCCTAAAACCCCTAAACCCATAAACCCATAAACCCCACTAAACCCCTAAACCCCTAAAACCCCTAACCCCTAAACCCCTAAACCCTTAAACCCCTAAACCCCTAAACCCTGAACCCCTAAACCCTAAAACCCCTAAAAACCCCTAAACCCTAAACCCCTAAACCCCTAAACCCCTAAACCCCTAAACCCCTAAACCCCTAAACCCCTAAACCCCTAAACCCCTAAACCCCAACCCCTAAACCCACAACCCTGTTTGCCCATCCACCTGAAAGCCCCCAAGCCGACAAAACATCCTCCAACTTGCCGAGGGAGTCAGAAACTTAGCCCCCTACACTGGCCCATGCCCCTCGAATGCTAGCTGGCCACTGAACCACTGAATCTGGTTTAGGGGCTAGGGTCTAGGGTCTAGGGTTCAGGTCTAGGGTTTAGGGTTTGGGGTTTGGGGTTTGGGGTTTGGGGTTTGGGGTTTAGGGTTTAGGGTTTAGGGTTTGAGGGTTTAGGGTTTAGGGCTAAAACCGCACAATCGGAAGCCCACAGGCCTGCTGCAAGTGAGCCTCGAGCCTGAAACAGCCTGCAAGAGCCCCTAAACCCTGAGCCCTAAACCCCCTCAACCCCCTTCAAAGCCTGAAAACCCCTAAAGCCCCCGTAAAACCCCTTCAAAGCCTTAAAAAACCACTAAAAACCCCCTAAACCCACTTAAAACCCTCTGAAAGCCCTTCTAGGACTCCGGGTCTCGATATCTCCGCCGGCCTCACCCAACACGGCCCTGGACTCAGGCTTAGGGGGTTTGGGTTGAGGGTTTTAAGGTTTTTGGGGTTTGTTTTTGGTGCTTTAGCGTCGAAAGTTCAGGGGTTAAATGAAGGGTTTGGGGTTTGGGGTTTGCGGGGTTCTAGGGTTTAAGGTTCCAGCACCTTTGGGAATTTCTTGAAATTCTTCAACTTGGTTCGTTTAAAGGGATCCTACTGCGAGCCCCCAGGGAAGCCCAAGAGTGTAGTACCAACATAAACGGAATATACGGACCCTGGTAGGTTTTTTTCCTTTTATACTGTATTCCTACTATACTCATGAAGCTTTCAAAGCCCCAAACCCCAAACCTTAAAACTTCGAACCCTAAACCCTACAACCCAAAACCTTCAGGCCCTAAATCTCGAACCCTACAACCTCAAGCCCCTAAACCTTAGACCCTAAAGCCCCAAAACCCTAAACCCTCAAGCCCCCCAAAAGCCCAAGTTTGACCGGGACCTGCCCAAGGCCATGCGCTTGGCGAGCGCGCTGTGTGGGGCGTGGGTCTTGGCGCCTGTAGCAGCCGTGGAGGTCAGCAGCCAGGAGGCGCCCTTTAAAGCACCTTGAGCCTTATAAGCCTTTTTGGGCGTTTAAGGCTTCAGGTTTAGGGTTTAGGGTTTAGGGTTCAGGGTTCAGGGTTCAGGGTTCAGGGTTCAGGGTTAAAGGTTTAGGGATGCTCCCCCTTATACTAAGAGTCCTTAAAATGGATTAGATCAGGGGGTACCATAATCCCTATGAAGGACTGTTAGTCTAGGGGGGCAACATCCCAAACCTTGAGCCTTAAGCCTTCCCAATATGTCGCAATGAATGAATGATTTTTGGGGTTTGGAGAGTTCGGATTTACAGGGTTTCCGGATGCTTGATGTTGCTTCCAGTCTAAGCCCCGAAGAGTAGGGCTTAGGGCTTAGGGTGTGGAATTTAGGGTTCAGGGGTCATGTCTTAATGTCCCTGAGAGGGCATCCATCCATCACAGTTTTCGTTGGAGTTTAAGGCGCAAGACCCCTAAAGCCCCTAAAGCGCCTAAAGCCCCTAAGACCCCTAAGACTCCTAAGATGCCCAAACCCTAACCCCTAACCCCTAAACC